AGAGAAGTCTTGTTTAGTATTCTCGTAAATGCCAATGGGAGGATAGGGTGTTGCCTTGTTCAAGCTTCTCCATCATGAGAAGTGGCATGAGAGACAATAATAATGATTCAAGCTTACCTTGAGAACCGACTTCTTGCCCAGTCTGGCCAGTTGAGACCGATCAAAGGCGTCAGGATCAACCTCCTCCGAGACATTTGTGAACGTTTGCTCCGGCGACTTCTTTGGGGTCACGTCGTCGAGCTCTTGACTATCGCGTTTAAAAACCATCTTGACGAACGAGCGTGTTATCAATGTCAAGCAAGAAGAGAACAAGCAGCCGTGGTGAGCACCAAAAGCCGGCGTGCGTGGTGAGAAAGGCGGGAGATTAGGGGATGGCTGATGCAAGATCTTACAGCCAACAACTGCACGGGGGTATTCTATTATGTAGGGAATACAGTTCGTTGGGCATGCAGAAAACGTGGCGAGTCATCCCCTGACTCGGTTGCGCGTGTTCATGCAGCCGATGCAACGATGCAACAGTCCCGGTAGCAGAGGGGGTGAAACTCACTTTCGGCCAACGCTGCTTCTCGTCGGTTTCCTCTGCAGGATACGACGAGAACGGTTGGCCGTTGGACGACTCGACCCCTGGGCTCACCCGAGAAATGCTGGGTCACCCGAAGGGAGAGATGTTGCCTCATCCACCAGGAGCCGAGCCGATCCCTGCTACATCGGTGCGACCCTCTCCCCTGCCAGGATCGTTTGCTGCCTTGTAGATATACCGTGCACTATGTCCATGCACAAACTCCAGGGATGGACCTCGTTAGATCGAGACATCTGGAGATGTAATGCGACTTGTGGGCTGGCGAGAAATTACTGACAGATGTCGTATCGCTACGGGCCCGCATATGATCACCGAGGTCCGTGACAAACCCCATGGATAACAGAATCGATCGGGGAATAGTAGCAGCGGTAGTGGGAACGCGTCGGCTTAGGTGGACGGGAAACCCCTGTCACCGGGAGTGACACCCTGTGGCCCTCGTACGATGCGAGCAGAATATTCCTTGCCTGCATCAATTTTGACTTTTCCCGGGGAGGAGATTGTTCCACATTGATCTAATGATCCGCGCTGTCCGCGCAATTAATGCCCCCGTTTCTTGCGGTCCACTGAGAGTGTCCGTGTTGCTCTTTGACACTGCGACATTATCTTTGCGAGCCCAAGGAAGAAGCTGCAGTACAAGTCTTGATGGGTAGTTCTCTAATTTGAGAGTTTTGGGTCTGTTTGTCTGAGACATGTCTTGAAAATTAATGGGCTCTCCACAAGCTGTCGATTTTATGTATATTAAATCTCGATCAAGCACCTGTGGTGCCACTACGCTCCCTGTGTACATCCACTGTCCAGCTCTGCTCGACAAGCACCGTCTGGCTTGTCTGACTATGACGGTCCCACGAGCCATTGGCCTCAGAAGCTGCCGTAACAGTAGCCTGGTTTCCCCGGTCGCGAGACTTGCCCATATCCATCATTTCGTAATTCTGTCTCCGATAAGAAGCATTTGAAGCCATGTCAGCGACCGACATTATTCCCCTTGCGGACTTGTCTCGAGGACGGGTCGTGTGGGCCGAAGCTGAGGCGTAGCCACTTGGTCCGCTTCTGCTTCTACTGTTGCTTCCCTTGCTGCTCGCTCCACGAAGGTCTCCTGCAATCATCTGTCCCGATTCCAGACTGTCGAGGAATGGCTTGAGGTAGGGAATACACGTAGCCATGACGCTCAAGCACAGAATGACTTGGGTTATGATGGTCGGCGGCCACATGTCAAAGATGGGATTGTTGGATTCGGTCGCAGCCTTGTAGTAGTACATGTGGCAGATGATAGGAGGAATGATGCTTTACATCCTTTGTCAGTATTGTGCTTTTGCCAAGAATGAGGCTGCTTACAATGTGCGGCACCCAAAAACGCCAATGACCAACGTCTTCTTGGCGACCGATGTCTTTAAGTGGATGAACATGTCGACAAGAATTGAAGTGATTGCGAGGTCGGTGATGATGTTCAAAGCATCAACGTAGACCCAGAAGGCGTACTGTAGCAGTCATTAGATGCAGTCTCTTCCATCAGAATATGCGACGTACCCGATTGAAGCACTGGCCTTCCACGTAGTCCCAAGGCTCCGGGATAGAGCATTGGAAAAATGAAGCTGCTATCGATGATAGTGCCCAGGCACCAATCATGCCTTCGGTGGCCCAGATCAAGCCTCGACGCTTTCGAGGAGCCATACCCCAGATGGTCCTCGTGGCCGAGATCTTTGCCAAGAGCAAAGTGAGAATGAATAGTACGTCCGATGTGTATTGCGCCTGTGATGCAGACATGTCTTGTTAGCGCTTTGACTCTCGAGTCGGTGATGCTTCATAATTCTCCGTACCTTCAAGATTGACGAGACCTGATCGGCGGACAGGCCTTGCATCTTCCCCAGTCCGTTGGCACCCTGGATAATGACGGCGATCGACTGCGCAATAGCCATGATCTTCTGCAGTCAGCAAGCGACAACCAACAAAAAAGAAGTCTAGAACCAACCGTGGAGGCGCCAACAAGTATGTCGTCCAGCTTGAGGTTGCCCGCCGTTGCCATTCTGGTCACCAAACGGGTAATGGCAGATAGAATCGAAATGACCATGAGTAGAGCCGTCACGGCCCGTATCAACGGCGCCTTGTTGAAGGGCGTCTCATGCTCGCGAGGCAGAATCATCGTGTGGGCGCATCAAGTTGCAAACTCGCAGCGTTGGCAGCGGAGATTTGAAGCCACAGAATAATTCAAGGGATGGCAGGCCTTTTCGCCTGTTGGTCAATCATCCGCCAGCCACAGAAATATCTCTGCTGAAAAAGACGAACCACCACTTTTCGCAATCCAGACAACCGGGAAAACAACCCCCAAGCACCAGGGTACGAGCACCGTGTGATAGCCAAGAACGTGCCTCCTTTAACCTTGACACTGACAGGCACATGCCGTCCAATCGCAAAAATTAACCGTAACGGCCCACCGCACATCCGCTCAACTGAAGCGTCTCGGCTCAGGCGGGATCGACAGGCCCCCGATCCGCCCGTGACAGGGCCATCCCGGCAGATGGACCTTAATCCAGCTTCCAGACTGGTGATAGATCTGCCGCAGCGTCCACCGGGCGGTCCTTGCTGCTCCCCGGTTGCTGGGTTCAGGGTCTTAATGACAAGGGAGAGATACGTGATAATGTAACTCCCGCTTACCAGCGACACGTCGTTAACCAACAGACATATGCATCTCTCTGCATGTGCCGTCAATGCGAGACGCGCTAAATCAAACGAAATGCCCCCCTGGGCCCTTGCTTTACCCATTCAGGCTTTTCGCGTTAGTTCCATGGCCAGTTTTGCTTTGCAAACCAAACTCAAACCTTCATTCATCAGCTCAGTCTGCGGCGCATGCACACCACAGTTGTCACATCCCTTATCACCCTCGTTTACGTCCCGAAGCTTTCTTCAAGAGGAAGGTAGGAGGTGATTGTACCGAAGCGAAGGATGAGGCTTGAAAAAATCTCCGCTGTCTGCTAAGAAAGAGTCATATGTGACGTGGCTCGGCACCTTAGAAGGATCCATTATTGTTAGTAGTGTCGCTCCAAGTATGCGTCAATTCGCCGAACTCGGACAAACTGCTCCCCCTTTTTAAACGACCTTGATTCTGTCGCATCACCGTCAGAGCAACACTCCTTCGACTGTGAACGGTGCAATTTGTCAACATGGCGTCGAACGCTTTGGTGCTAGAGAAAGCAACTCTGGAAGACGTTCCTGCGCTTACTGAGTTATGGTACGCCGGGTTCACAGACCCCGGGGTGCGATACTTGTGGCCCGATACTCCAGGCGTGCGCAAGTGGTGGGATGAGGCCAACCGCGAGGATCTTGTCAATAAGACCTACCAGCACTATATCAAAGTTATCGATCCCAGTTCAAAGGATCACCGGGGTCGGCCGCGGATAGCTGCCTTTGCGAAATGGGACACGGCTACGCAGGAGGAGCGAGGACCTCGATATCCCGCTTGGAACCCGGACATGCCTCTCCAAGCGATCGAGGATTTCATTCAAAGTCTGGAGAACTCAAGACAGCAAGTGATGGCTGGGAAGACAACGCATTACTGTGGGAGTTTCTTTATTTCGCTAAGGGAAGCGATGCTGACTGTTTTTAGATCTTGATACTCTCGTCACACATCCCGAGTATCAAAGACGAGGTGCCGGCTCAATGCTCATGAAATGGGGTTGCGATCTTGCAGACGAAAATGGTGCCGAGCTGTACGTAGATGCAAGCAAGGACGGCTCATTCCTTTACCGGAAATTTGGTTTCATTGAAAAGACCCTTGAGGGTGAACCTGCAGCTGGAATCATCCCGATGGCTCGGGCCCTTACAGAGAAGAGCCGAAGTGATGGGCGCATGGACCGCGTGCTCGTGTGAGGAGGCAGTGAGAAGACAGCCATTGGAAAGTGATATTAATCACCAATTTTTGAACATCCAAGAGACATGCGGGTTTCTAGATGGCCTACCTAATTCAGCGTAGTTCTAGAAATGCGAGGCCATGCTGCTTGACTGATCATTGGTGTTCTAGATCTGTTCTGGTGCTCCATCAGAAGGATGTAGGGTACAGGGGGTTGGTTGCACAAATTTGATCACCCCTGTTTTTTTTAGTCAACTCCTCTTTTTTATTTGCGCATGAAGTTCTGTTCTTTGCTTCTTACGTCTTCTTTATATAATTAACTTTGCTAGTGCACTTCTTCTAACATTACAACCATGTTTGATCCACATGTTCCAGAATCATTGTTTCTCAAAGTTAATTCAATTGGATTCAAGCAACCCCCGTCAACACCACCGCTTTGACTTTCAGATGCTACGTTACATAAATAGCGTTATTCAAAAACTGGTTCTTGATACTTGAATTGTTATACTTCTCTCTTTCGAAAGGGAAGTACGTAATTGCAAAACTTAGGCTCGTCCCTCAGCATTCAGCTTCATATCCTCATTCCCAAATGGTGACTTCGTCATGGATTCCAGTCCCACGAACCAAGGGAAGAAGTTTCTCAATGGATTCCTTGCCCATTGGCTGGTCGACGAGAACGAATGGATGCTCTTGAGCACCTTGGATACCGTTCTTGACCTCCTCGCGAACCCACTAGATGGAAGGTCAACCGCCAATCTTCACATGCCTTGAGCGAATTTCTACATACCGGGATTCCAAACGAGGTAAACATTATGTGGTCCGGGCGAACCCAGTCATTCTCTAGAACAGAGCGGTCCAGTGCCCCAGTCCAGAGAAGCACCACATGAGGCCAGTTGAGTTCAGCCGGGAGGCTGGTAGGGTCGACTTCATATCCAATGGGCGAACCGCACACTCCGCAAAAGTACCGCCATCGGCTCGGCGAAGATTCGTAACGTTTTAGAGGTGACGCTTCATCAGCCGAAAAATTGGAACTCATCGAAGCCCAAGGTGTCCATGTCCGCTCGTCGCCAGAAACCGGTGTAGTCGTTTTACCGTCCGATCCAGTCTCGGGAGCCATGATGGAGATGCTAACAGTCGGAGCATGAGTGGGCATTCCATAGACACCTATCTGAGCTGTTGCAGCACGACAGCCACCGCAATGACAGACAACAGACATGGGAAATCGAGGTTGAACTGAATCAGGAAGTTCAACACCTGGAGTCTTGTACGGACTGAGAGGACGGTCCTCGAAGGGAGGCACAGAGGCCTTGAATCTCACTGCTTTGCATCTGCACCCCCCTTGAAGCTCAAATGCGTGATCAGGAAAAGGCATCACAGAAGGTGGCCTTGGTGCAGAATGACATTGGTGTTTGAGCCTATGACAAAAGGGACGGTAAACCTTCAATTTATAACACGAGCCCCTCGTCTTGTCCGAGTTTTCCGAACTCGAATCCTTCCGTTGATAAATATCGGATGTCGCACCCAGACTGTCAGACTCCTCCCTCTTTCGGCATGCTATAGTCTGACATGTACAGTCTGACAGTGGTGGGCGCCAATCATGAATGAAGCCCAGAGTCGCAAATCGGCCCATAACACCAAACTCGCCCATCGGTTAGGCTTTAGCGTTACGGATACCATCATCCAAAAGCTATGCTTACACTATCATGATAAGCATAACTGAGGGGTTATGGTGGATGGAACCGAAGCGGTGAGCCTGGAAATAACATCATCATTCGGGATAAACCTGATTCTTGGCATTTTTTTGAGATTCCTCTTTGCTATTAGCACTATTATATATGATTGCTGCCATGCGATACTGTCTGCCATTGTGTGAATATCTTCCGTGGCACATGTATAGGTATGATTCAGGAATTTCACTCATAACGAGATATCAATTTATTTGACTGTATCAAGCGCCGTTGAATCTCATACGGTGTCAATATCGTATTCAAAGCTCTTTCGTCTGCTACTGTGGCTGGCTTTCAGTTGTAAATAGGTGAACAAGTAATACCGAGATAGGCTCAGGATATTAATTTCTTTGTGTGTATCTCTATTGTTTGTCTGTCTTCTTTGTCTTCCAACACCCAATGCCTACACAAATACGAGTGAAGTTGTTCCTCAAAGGGAACCTCCCACACCATTCTTTTTGTTTTGTTCACATATTGTCCACCCAATGACTAACCCCTGACATGCACTATATGATTCGGGCAGTGCTACGGGTGTGGCGGGCAAATGTGATGTCTGGAATTGTTCACCGTTATGAGACGTCCGTTCTTATTGCTAATTCTCGTTCGGCTCCGCATCAGCTTATCTTGGTAGTGTATAAATCAGTCTTTTGCCTCATTTCTCCATGTTCATTGCTAGGCGATTTCTGACCGTTGCTGAAACAGGCGACTAGACAATCCCCGCACCAAGTACCACGGAGGTTACATCTTCGATGACAGACGGTCTGAGACTCCAGGGAGATTCCCTTCCTATCGAGTACCCAACTTACGATTGGGGCAAGTCTCCATCCACTGATTACCACGATCATGACTGGTTCTGGCCTTTGAATAAGCGAGTTCTTACGGTATCCTTACTCAACGGAACAAATGAGGAGAAGAACATCATCATCAACCTCATAAATGAGCATTACAACACAATCAAGATGGGTATCCGGTTCAAGTTCCTTCAAGACGGTGACTCTACCCTATCCGACATCCGAGTCGCGGTGACAACGAGCTCTGAGTCAACCGACGGGTACATGGCTACCACTGTTCCCCGTAATGTACCAACTTTGCGGCTTCAAATGTCACTGAGCCGCCCGGGTGGCCCCCTCCAGAAGGACATAGACCGAAGGCAAAGCAAAATTTTGCACGAGTTTGGCCATGCCTTGGGTCTGAAGCACGCGCACTGTCACCCTGACTGCACAATCAATTGGAACCATCAAGTCATCGAGAAGCGAATGGGATGGACTCATGATGAATTCGAGACGCAAGTGCGTATAGCGAAAGAGGGAATATTTGCCCTGATGCCCTATGATCCGAAGTCCATTATGCACTACAGCGTCCGTAAGGGTGACACTCATAGCATGATCACGTGTCTTGAGCCCAATCTCGTTCTTTCCAAGGGAGATAAGAAGTTTCTCATGGCGATATATCCCCCTGACGGCTCAGACAGAACACTGAAAGGAGTAACCGAGCGGATGTGGAAGCCAACAAGCGTGTTGTTGAGAGAAGGTAAAAAGAGACGGGATCTCAGGTCCGCTGCAAGGCAAGACTTGGGTCATTCAAATGAGGGAGAGACATTTCCCAGTATTACTCTGACTGACAGTGAGATTCAGGATTTGGGAAGCTTTTTCACTGACAGTCAGAATGGACATCTAGGCACGGCCTTTCTGCAGACAATTTTTCCCCAAGCCTACCGTTTGGAGATATTTTCCATTGCGTTTTTCTACTGTGCATTTATGGGCTATGTTGGCTTCCTTCTATTCCATTAATTTACATTCTCAACCTGTATTATTGCCGACCCATACAAGAGCGGCCCCGTCTGTGGTTTCTTCGTTGCTCCCTACCTGAATGTTGCTGATCCTCGGGTTATGAGAGCCTACTCACCCCATCAATTTCTATCCCTCATTAACAAGCGAGCTACGAGTAGCCCGTGTCCAATTTGCATTGCGGGAACAACTTGGCAAGCAGCTGTTCCCATGCCCTTTAATTGTAGTTGAAATAAGGTTCGGCCCGGTCAACGAATCTCGAAGCTGCCTAGGAGCCGTGAGGTTGGAAACCATTAGTGAGGGGTCAAAAACCTCCAATCACAGATCGAGATAATGATATCTTCATAGGAGGAAAACCTACATAAACGCTGAGGCTGGGCGTCCAATTACTAGGTGGCCTACGTTATGCAGATATCTAGCATTAAAACTTGAACTTGTGACAGGTCAAGCTTGGTAATGTCATCTTTGACTTTCTTCGCTTAGGTAGTGAGAGTTGCACATCTAAAGCTTCATCGCACCATTGGGGCCATCATCCCTACGCAGAATATGTTGATAATCAAGGAACAGGCAAGAAATCCGGGGCACTGCCTCATTTCTCGCTCGATCCCTCTTTACTGGGTGCACCATAGGTAGCGTGATGCATCATCTCCAGCCAATTGCGTCCAACTTCACACACTCCGTTGCCTCCCCATAACAAAGAGGCGCAGCTGAGCCACGCTACAGCCTCATTAGGCATTCCTGCTGCAGAACCAAGAAAACCCCTCTCTCGTTCCTCACTCAAGTTCATTTACTTTGCAAACTCCATAACCTTTCTAGTCTTTGTCTTCAGCTCGCCATTCAAAGATCCAGAATGGGCCGAAGATCTAAAAAGCAGCATGAGCCGGCTCAGGGACAAGCCGCACAGCCGCCGCCCGCGAGGTAGGTGTTGAATTGTTCAACTCACGGTGTAGGACTAGCTAATCTTATTGTCCTGGGTGCTAGCCCGGCCATGTCTTTTTCTCCAATGCCGTACTCCCAAATGCCAAGCTCACCGATGCAGTATTCGCAAATGGAGGTTAGCAATTCCATGATGCATACATCCCCGCCCCCAGCTGGCCTCGTCGATTATTCACATGAGCTCTGGAAGATGCCAGAGATTACCCCGAGCTGGGGTGACGCGAGTGTACAACCAGTCCAGCCTTACCTGAATCAATCGGTGCCTGCAGTAATGCCAACAGAGCCATGGAGACACCAGCAATATTCTCAGTTATACTGGTACGTCATACACATACTAGCATCTCCCACTGCTCTAGAAAGCCTGTTTTCTAGTTTGACTATAACCCGGGGTATTTGTATTAATCTCTGAGACGTCTGATAGCATAACCTGCGACAAGCAATTCAAGCCCAACTCTGTGTCGCTGCTCTACTGTTCAGCATGGTAAGTCATCTGTGGTGCAGTGAAATCATTGAGATGCTCATGAGACTGCAGTTGCCAGGGTCTTGATCAAGGAACCCAACAGCGGGAGTCCGGGCTTGCATCCTCCGGGTTCACCTTCACTGGTTTTCCAACAGCCACTCCGGGGACTAAAGCCGAAACATCTCCCACGACTTCGTCAATCTCGGGCCTTGAATCTCACACCCTCCTCTCTCGCAGATTCGAAAACACTCGGAGACTTGCACCTTTGGGCCCTGGATCAACTCGTCCCAAGATGTCCAAAGACCCTCTCGATACAGGCTATGTCCTACCTACGACAAAAGATCACCAGTTTGGATCTCAACCGGATGATACAGAAGAGCCTGCAACTACCAAGAAATTGGAAGGAGATAAGCGAAAAGAATCCCACCTGACTCGCTCTTCTCTCAAGGCTCAACTTTCTCATCGGTTTAAAAAGTCCGGGTCAACACAAATGGGACCGCCCTTCCACGATGACTCTGACGCAGACACCACGAGTTCTGTCGATTCTGCCTGGGATGGCTCGGCGGAGCCAACCGAGCAACATTTTGTTCAACAGCTCGTCCAGGGTGTCAAGAGCAATCTTGGCAGCACATGCAGCAAGAGCATGGCTGTAGACTACCTTGGCAGTGCAGTGAAGGAGTTTGCATGTAGACTGCAAGACGAGTCCCTAAGTGCTTGCGGGTTAGAGGCAGGGGCCATAGTCAAACGACACAGGAAGTAAGTTCAAGCATGAAGATGACAAATTAACTCAAGTTGACTTGTCGGATCACAGACAAATCGTTCAACTGCTAGCCTCTTCTCCATCTGAGATGACATCCAATCGGATGGACCAAGATTTACTGGGTAACGACGGGTTGCCAAGCTCCAAACAATCCAACAACCCCAGCGACGCGATCCTTAATTGGGTGAGCGGCGTCCAGCCAGTGCCTGCTATTGAAATGTCGCCATCAGCCCAATACATGGAGTTTGTTCAACAGTCGGATTCATATCGTTGGCTGTTAGCCAAGATCCTTCAGCATGATCAATTGTCCTTCGGAGACGAAAATCTTGCAGCAGGAATCGGAAAAACCATTCGGAGAGAGTTGCGGGCTCGAGGATACCCTTCTAAAAACAGAAGACAGCAACGATCCCCCATGGTGGCCATGACATTCAACGTCAACTGGAACCCTGTTCGTTTCTTCCGTGACTTGGGAGCCAATGTTCCTTTCAAAGAGGCCCTTCTCAAGATACGCTGCTTGGTCGGTGCATGGGATGAGGCACAGGCTTTGACAGTAGTGGATTATATGAATCAAACGTGGCCTGAATCTGGACAACCTCTCATCACTCTCTTACAAGAGCTAGTATCACTTCCTGAAGGCCAAGAATGTTCACGCAAGTTCAGAATGCCATGTTTGTTTTCTTGGTTCTAATTCTGCCTTAGATCAGACAGCACAGCCCCTTGGGGATCAGCACCAGCGAGGTCTCAAAAGTCTCAGTGCCATCATTAATCCGGAATCATCCTTCTCCCTCACAGCGGTTGGGGGCCTTCACTTTGTTTCCGAGATAGGCGAGCAGCTTTCCTGGTTGGTCTCAGCTTTGCGGCCATCATCTATGAACGGGCGCGTGGTGAGTTACATCCCTCGTGTCCGCGGCCTCCAGATACTTCCCCGAGATAGGGGAACCGGGATAAGAAAGACAACTGCATCTTGCGATATTAGATGCGAGTTTGTAGGCACCGAAGACCCGTCTCTGAAACTCGGTCTCTGCTGGGGCAGTCTATTTTGCGGCCCAGTCCTAATCTCAGGGTTTCCAATCCTCAAGCGATCTATCCCCAAGACGGGCTTGGAAATGTCCTTGGCTGAAATAGCCACCATTATCGGGTCCAATCAGGTCGTTCGATGGGACCAAAGAATCATCATGAAAGGGTTCAACATGCTTGCCGTCGCTACTCTTGCGGCTGCCGATATCATCGTCTGGCATCTTCTTATTAGTAATAAAGCCGACGAAAGGATTTCATATATTGAGCCCAGGCTGGATGAGTTGGATAGTGTGAATTTGGAGGGTATTTCTCTTCGAACGTTGGAAGAAAAACGACATGTTATCGGGTGGTGTGCAGCAGCGACAGACCTGTGCGGTAAGTGAAACCGGAATGCCACAGATCTATTTGTCGGTTATATTAACTGGTAGCAGGAGGCGCATTGGCAAATCATGGCGTGAAATCATCTGGACTCCAAAAACCGTCAGGCTCAATTGTTATTGACAGACTATACCTTGAGGCTGGGGTTGACGTGGTGGGCGGTGTTAGCATGAAGATCAATTCCAAGGAGCAACCATTTTGGCTCCAGCGCGGAAAGGACTACCCCAGCCTTCTCAAGTGGGTTGGAACTCAACCCATTGCTTTTTATGATGTAACAAGCCGCCGTACATGGCTCGTCGACGGTGCTTCTGCGTTGCTCCAACTTGTTAGGATATCTCTGCATCTCGACGAGAACGATCCTGATTCCACTTATGACTGGGTATTCGATCCAAGCCAGCTCAAGGACAAGTGGGATGGGGTCACAGGTCGACAAGCAGCCCTCAGGACTTTGAAGAGCTGGGACAATCTCGACTTGAACATCTACATTGTCGACAAGCGACGAGGGCCAACGGGTACGCCAGAGGTACAGTATGCCACATTCGGGACGCGTGTCAAGGAGGTACTTCATTCTATCGAGCTCCTGATTGATAGGCAGTCCACAACCGCCTCGCAGGAGGGAATAAGGATCTCTCAGTCTCTAGACCCCCGCCGCGAGATTGTTGGCTTCGATGTTCTAGATGTTGTCACTCCACTTGGTCCCATTCTTCCTCGGGTTCAACATCTGAAATCATGGGGTCACGGCTGGATCGATTTTATGCCCTCAGTTGGCGTCACCACCATCTTCGGCAACGGGTTTGGTGATTTGATTCGCCCTGATCAGCCTCAGAGCTTGTGTCAGGGCTGGAAGTCTTTACCCGAAGGAAAAGACTATATGGCGGCTTCCATTTCGACCCTGCAGATGTTGTACGAAAAGCGCCTTCTGAGAATGGATCCGGGTCTGAAACAAGGTGAGATGGCCAAAAAGATTGTCTGGGCCTCTTTTAGCCACCCCTTCAGGCCCTGCAACTGCTTGACGGAGTGCATCAACAAAGTGGCTGCAAAGACAACCAATAATGAAACCCAGGGCTGCCATGGCCCAGTGCAGTTCTTTGTCAAGAAGTCATGGCCTCGCACGGTCCCTCATGGTATGACACCAGTGCACTTGGCGGATCTTGATGAAAAGGGAGCAGTGGTCTTTGGGCATTTACCCATGATGTCTCGAAAGAGTGAAGGGAAAGCCACTGCCCGACAACGAGACGAGGATGTGGAAGCATCTCCATCGAGTGCCGATGGAACATTGCAAGCGCCCCTCACAAACTCAGCCACAAGCGAGTCAGTTGGATCAACTGGGATCACAGTGCCAAGCTCAGGCATATCAAGTCCTAGAGAGGAACAGAAGGAGGATAAGTCAACGGATGGTAGTGCTAAAGAAGCAGGGGCAAAAAGAAGGAGATGGATATTCTTTAGGAAATAATATAAGGACAAAGAATTGCATCTTTTAGCACTAGTTAGATGTCTTGTTGGGATATCTCATCTGAAACAATCGCTTCTCCTGTCAACTCGACCATTGTCCCCGACGGCCATCCACACCCAATCGGAATCATGGGCCGAATTGAGAACATCGGACAACAACTCAATCGGGCGAATGGTTTAGTGGTATAATACTCCCTTAGCATGATTCGTCCTGCGATCCCAGCAACTGGGAGTGGTCCAGGGTTCGATTCCCTGTTCGTCCATCGGAGGTGGTTTGAATCCACCAGCAAGTTTTCTTTTTGTCCTTGAATCTTTTTTTTCGCGCGGTCTTGAGATAACGCCTATCGATAAGATATACTGGCAGGTCAGCCTCCATCGCTTGCTAGAGGAAATATTCGCGCAATCTTGCGTGGTCGACGGAGAAGCGTGGAGCGAGTACCTTGGCGCAATTAGCTATACTTGGCTCTGGCACATAAATTCCGAGACCCAGCGTACCTTTGATCTAGCGCAGGTTGATTCATTAGCCGAGACTGCACGTCCCACTAAAACTGCGTTGATGCGCTCCAATGAATGGCCTTTCCATCCTCGTTCTGTCTGAATGTAAAACAGAAGGGCGTGCGCAATTGAAGAAATAGGCGTTTGTCTTGAAATGGGGGGTCATCAGGCAGTACTTTCTTACTCAATTTTGAGAAATGGGTTGCTTGTCAGGTTATTGGTTGGTCAAGCGCGGCAGGTCGCGTTATTTCGACGCCGAATCCTTCACAATAGAGAAACACAAAGCATCGTACATGCCACGTCTGCGATTGGGGTCCTCATGAAACGAGGGAACTGAGTTGAGACACATCAAAGTAATCAGAACGCATTCTGACGGCCAGCAGTTATTATAGAGTCGCAAGAAGGCCACTGTGCAGATTAATAACTTGTGCTTTCGATAAAAAATCCTAAGTGTAGGGTAAGGACGGGAGTGTGGCGCATGCATGTACCTGTTTGTCGCTCACGTGGTTCCAGAAAACTGTCACAGCGGCTTTACCGAAAAAGGTAAGCCCGCTCGCCCGCGAGACGCGTCTCAAGGCGCGTCAGACGGAGATTGCTCCTCCAATCGTCAAAGTGGTGTAGATTTTTCCAGCGATCACATTGCTGGAAAAGACAGGAATAATGAGCTCCAGTGAACACGGATTTGTGGTTGCAACGTCCAGAGATACTCGCTATACTACGTATGAGTTTTACAGAGGAGTTTTGTCCGCCGAGTTCAAGGCGTTGTGGAATGTGAGTTTCGCGAGCCTCAACAGTCAACTGAAGAAAGTAATGTGTTATTATAATATGTACTTAATTCTAAACGCAACAACAGTGTATGGCCCTAGTCGGTATACGTTGCTAATTAATAACCCCTGGCCTCTGCAATAATCAGTCTCGCCGCATTCTCCGCGATGCCGTAGACAGCCGTCTGGATATGGGCAGAAATCAACAGAGGAATGACACTCGCATCAACAACTCGGAGATTCTTGGTACCATAAACCTTGAGCTTGGGGTCGACAACACCGCCATCGGCCTTGGGAAGCATGGAGCACGTTCCAACAGGGTGGAAGATGCTGAGCGTCGTCCTCCGGGCATAGTCCCTGAACTGCTCGTCCGTCTTGACGTCGTCCAGGCCAGGCTCGTACTCACTCTCCCACACCGACCGCATTGGCTCTGTAGTGGCGATCTTGCGGCAGTACTTGACGGCTTGAGTGACGGCTTCCAGGTCGTGAGCGTTGCTGAGGTAGTTGGGGTTGATGACAGGCTTTCCAGCTGGGTCGGATGGGTTGATGTGGATGCTACCGCGGCTGAGAGGGTGCATGATAACGGCGATGAGGGAGAAGAAGCCCTTTCCAAAGAGGGGTGATGTACTAGCTGGGTAACCCTTGACACCAGTGTACCCATCCGAGAAGATGACTTCCAGTTGAGGAATTGAAGGGTTGCTCAGGAACTCGAGCTTCTTCTTGTCCACCTTGCTGGCATCCTTACCAGCGGCTTCCTTGGCCAGAGCGACAAGGTTTTGGTCACTACCAAGAGCCTGCTTCCATGTTGTAAAGGTATACCCACTGCCAGTGTAGTCATACAGAGAGGGCTTGCCGGCATTCCAAAGGGCCAACTCGGCAGCGGCCACGACAGGGTTGCTGCGGAGGATGTCGAAGGAAAGGAACTCCTGCTTGAGCTGGTACGAGCTCATGACACGGAGATGGTCCTGGAGGTTCTCGCCGACACCCGGAAGGTCGATGATCTGCTTGATGCCTGCGGCGGAGAGAACGGACTTGCTGCCGATGCCAGACTGTTCCAACAATCCAGGGCTTTGAACTGATCCGGCTGACAGGACGACCTCTCGGCGCGCCCTGATGACGGTCCCGTCCTGAAGAGTGATGCCAGTAGCAATCTGCTGCTTGCCACTCTTTACCAGGTTCACCTTGGCCACAGCGGTGTTCGTGAGGATTCGCAGGTTGGGTCCAGCGATCTTGATATATGCGTTGGCGCTGTAGGATCGCTTGTAGCTTGTTGGGTCAATGCTGCTCGGCTGGTACATGACACCAATGGGGTTTCCGCCCAGGGACTCGAGGTTGGTCTTGACTCCAAGCTTGTTCATAGTGGGGATCCAAGTCTCCTGCTGGTCGGGAATGAGCCGGTTGATGACAGCCTGCACAGGACCACTATCACCAACACCCGCAGAGCCGTATGTGTCGGTGTTCTTGCCGGTAAAGGTCTCAGATTTCATCATGGCCTTGATCATGGTCTTCCAGTTCCATCCAGGATTGCCCAGGGCCTCCCAGCTGTCGTACTCTGCCGCAGCAGCCCGGTCGTAGGTCATCAGATTGAGGGCAGAGCTGCCACCGAGGACCTTGCCACGGTTCACGGGGAAGACGCGGTCATTGGCACCAGACTGTGGAACTGTCGTGAAATTCCAGTCGTATTTGGTCGCCAGGGTTGAACCTTTCATGCCTGGGATGTTGATCTTGGGCTCATCCCAGGCAGCGGGGCCAGCCTCGACGAGGAGGATACTGGATGAGGGTAGGCCTTCACTCAGTCGAGCGGCAACAGCCACTCCCGCAGTGCCGCCTCCGACAACGATCTGTAAGCCACAAGTATTAGCCAGACGTGTCACTTTTGCCACCTGCGTCTCAGGTGCAGATGCTGCAGGTGGGCTAAGGCAGGTTTTGGACTCACATAATCGTATGCCTGCTGCTGAGGCCGGGCTGCGAGAGCAGCTGCAGAGAAGCCAACCCACAAATACGACTTGACAAGCATGGCTGCAACCGAAGAGGGGTTGATCCGACAATGGAAAAGTTTATTCAAGACTTGCCTGTCGTGGGGGCGAAGAAAGTAGAAGTGGAAGAAGCACGTATTTGTAACGGGTTGCGGAGCCCCTGTAGAGTCTGCGGTTCATCCGGAATCATGTCTTCTCTGGGCAGCTGGAAGGCTCTGACGACGCATGCAGGGAAATTGGATTCTGTTAGTTGACAATTAGCGGATGATACACTTGTCCCTTGACGTGAGGCCACGAGCGGGACGAGTGCCGGACTTGGTCGAATAGGGGTAAGGTAGCCAAGACACCTTCCTTTCGTATCTGCAAAGGCCCGGCGATTTCGTTCTTTGGGGTTTGGAACGGGCCGTCACGGCGAATCATGATCCCTGTCAAAAGCTTCTTTACATTGATAGCAACAGGCACTATGTCGCATTCCATGCTAACCGTTGCAAACCTTATTCCTCGCTTCGGGACCCCTGCGTGCGAGAAAATGCCTCTGACGCGGCCAAGTCGTTGATGGGATGAACCTGCGCATGAGCCATGTAGGATAGACAGGTCGTTCGATCCTTTCGCTAATACAGATCCCAGATCAAGTAGATAGAAAGTCTTGGGAATGTGAAAGACCAAGCGATTGGTAAGCTCTCTTCGCTGCGAGACACTCTAGATATTCCAGGCATACCCGCGGAGGCCGCCACAAGGCATCACTAAACCCCCTGCATTCAGTCCACAAACAAGGGCCCTTGCCCTTGCAGAAAAGCCTGACGAGCACTCAGATAGCAATCCTCCCCCGCAATCAGTTGGGACGGCCGCGGCTGCAGAATTGTCCCAGATGCCAGACACTAGCCCTATTGCCTCATCGGGTGGAGGAGGAGACAACTTGACGGCTGGGGGAAAACATGGCTAGGTCGGCATCGCCGCTGAAATGTTCAGATGCCTTTTCTGGCCTGGTAACTGGGTTTCCGTTTTGTAATATGCGGCGTGTGAGTGGGATAGGTGTACAGTGCACTCTTACTTAACTACAGCATTGGCTCGACATTGTTGGTCCATTCCTTTCTTATTCCCTCTTCTGCGATCATCCGCTACCTTCTGCAATCACTACAGTACGCATGTCGGCTGTAACGCCCCCAGATCCACTACCACCGGACGAAAATGTCGGTCCCATACTGCTCGGAGTCTCTAGTGTGCTGATCGCGCTTGTCATCATCACGACAGGCTTGCGCGTTTGGGTACGATCAGCCCTACGAGTTCTAGAATGGGACGACTACACCATGATCATTGTCACCTTTCTCGGAATCGCTCGATATGCAACCCAGGTCGCCCAGATCAGCATTGGAAACGGCCGACACAGATGGTACATCTCCAAGGAGAATTACGTACGAAACAATATGCTCGGATGGGTCGCCCAGATTTTACTCTTCGCCAGCATCTGTCTCCTAAAAGTCTCTATTCTGCTGCTACTGCTACGGATCAAGAACTCGAGGGGGTTGAGATGGTCCGCTTGGGCGGTCATGGCGGGCTTGGTTGTCACCAACTTCGGATGCATCATCATTCTTCTCGCTGAATGCAACCCCGTGGAAGCGTACTGGACAGGTTCCGGGAAATGCTGGGATGCACGGGTTCGCATCTACGCCATCTATTTGACCATCGGTATGTCTTGCGTCGAGAGACAGACTAATCGGCGGCTGACACATCTTGGGCAGCGTACTCCATCGTCACCGACATCATTTGCTCCCTGCTACCCATGCTTGTCATCTGGAAAGTTCGACTTCCCTTGAAGACGAAGATCTCCGTCTGGGCCTTGATGAGCCTTGGTTTGATGTAGGTCCCTGCATGGCGGCACGGTCCAGCCTCGAAGTTACTGACATGCATGATCGACAGTGCTACCGGCTTTGGCATTGCACGCGCAGCTTCTCTGGGCATTAAAACATCAGACCTCAGTTGTAAGCTGGAACCCTCTGTGTTTCGATAACTAGTACTGACAGCCGCTTTTCCTAGGGGTCTATGCCATCACGGCCATCTGGTCCAACCTCGAGTTGTACCTGGGCATCGTTGGCGCGAACCTCGCCCTAAGTCGATCGATATACGGATTCTTCTTTAACAAGAACAAGTCCAATGTGCCATCCTCGTACGCCCAATCTGGGTCCAACTTGGCATATAACAACAGCGGGTTCCGCCATGATACCTTCCCCCGATCGCCACGAGCACCGTCCCCATCACGAAGTGATAATAGTGATATACCACTAGAGCCGAGAACTAAGATGCAAAGCAATATCTGGGTTACAGAGGAGGGCAGTAAAGAGTCAATTGGTAGAGCTACTTGACAGGGTAGATACACGAGGCAGGCCCAAAAGAAGGTCTCTGCAAAGGCCAATGAATTATCTTGAATCTTTTGTTCATCATATTCGTGTTCCACTATTCGCTGATCAGAGGCGTTGCTTCATCGCTCACTGCATGCATTGTGTGACCAATTAACAGGATAAGGTATGGCTCCTTAGAGTTGTGGCGCTTGCTTGGTTGTCGGTTGAGGCCGGGATAGAAATTCTAGCGCTGATTGCCTGAATCACAATGTCCGCTGCTATTCATCTAACAACCCATGGCACTGTTGCTCCCACCAAGAAAAGCAACGAAAGCAATGTCCGGCATAGCCGGTGCCAAGGAATCTGTTGTTCATTCGCCATCTGCGCAAGGGGTAACCCCAGCCGCCAGCACCACTTCCTGGCCTGCCAGGGCTGGGGGCGACCCCTGAAACGTACGTCCTCAACTTTAACAGGGCAGCAAAGTTCCTCTACCCTGAGGAAAGCTCAAAGGCCAATAGTAATCATAGTCGCATGGAATTAAAGATAGGTTTTGAGGATAAAAGTCGGCTAGATTATCAAGAACCCCATTCTGACTATTGAGCACCCTTCTTAGTGGCACAGCACTCTTTTCATGGCGCAGAGATACCAAAGATCTCCTAAAAGGGCGTCTATTTTCTGCAAGAAATTGGTTAAGGGTTAGGGTTAATTAGGATCAAATATGGTTTAGAAAGGTTCGAGTTATGGTTGGAAAATAAGGTCAGAGTTGAGAGGATGGGATTCAGCCACTTTGGGTGTTCAATAATCAGAACGGGTTGCTTGATAATTGCCCCGATCAAAACTCAACCCCCACGGTCAAAGAAAGTCGAAACCTAACATCGAGATAAAAAGAAGGTACTCTCTTCAAAACGAAGATAACAAGCCGTAGAAAATAGTGACAAATAGCTCCAGCTTCCGGCGCCTCGGCCATGCGAATTGTTCGCATTCGACATGGCGATGTATGATATGCAAATTTATCCCCCCCCACATGTTTCCATTGTCATCACTACCCAGGGTCCCATACGCAGGACATAGAGTCTCCTTAATTCATTATCTTTACCTTGACATCTCCTGCCATCGCAGCCTCCTGCTTCATCTTCATGTGTTCAATTTGAGCCAACTCCTCAAACCTTCTCTTGACATCATTGCGTGGGACTGGGGCCTTGGCAAGCCCGATACTGGCTAGAGTTCCCCAGAAAAGGGCGTAGATGAAGTAGAACAGGTTGATGGCGCCAAGATATATGACAGGGACGATAACCATGGGAATGTTGCCAAAGAGTCCTGAGCGGCGAGAAATGGTCTCCCACAGCTCACCTGTGAGGATCTCGGCGGCGCCGTCAAACTTCCAGGGCCCAACCAGGCGGAACTTGGCGTTGAAGCTGGCACCGCCTGCCCAGATGTAGGGCAGTCGCCAGCCGCGTGGTGTGTGGAGGGAGATACGGAGGATATCAGTAAATGAAGGGGCCATGTCCAAGTCCTTGGCGAGCTGGTAGGCATAGCTGTCGTGCTCGACGCCGTAGGTGACACGGGCGCTGGGAGAGTGGATCACACGGTAGTGCCACTCGTCATCCTTGAGGAGCGGGCGGGAGATGCGTCTGAGGAGATGGGTGACGAAAAGCATAGATTGCATTTCAGCGAGAGGAGGAATGGCACCAAAACCGGGGCGCACGAAGCCGATGAAGCCGATGGTAGGGTCGTTAGAAGACCAGACCTGACGGACGTCGGCATCGTGGGAGACGGGATAAGGACGGCGACCGGCATTATGTTCGGTGTTGAGGAAGGGGAAGTGGGGGACATAGCCAGTTGCAAAGATAATCATATCAGGCTTGACGATGGACTCTTGGATGCGCTGAGCCTCAGGGCGGCCGTTGTCAGGGAAGTGGGCGACGCCGTCTGGAGTAATATGAGAGGGAAAAGGGGCAACGTCGATGGTGCGCTTGGCCGGGATGATGGCCGTGTTGAAGAAGAACCGGCGGATACGGGTAGCCAATGTCCACTTGGTCGGACGCCATGGCGTAGAGATGTTATTCTGGACTCGCTGCCAAGCCTTGTTCCAGAATACTGGGACGGCGTTAGCTATGCTCATGCAATTTCAAGGTTGAGGATGACTTACATCGCGAGGCGTGGAAACGATCACTAAAGATCTGACCAACATACTGATCGACACCATATTTCGAACCGCCACAAATCCAGCATCCGGCAGGTAGAGCAAGGAAATGGTAATAATCCCAAACAATCATGGTGTCTCGAACCATAGGATGGACATACATGGTGTCGAAAAGAGTAACTTGGCTGACATCGATGGGTAGTTGCGGTGTGTCGTAGTCTTGGTCTCCGCGCAGCCATGGCAGGAATCGCTGCCCTGGAGCTCTCTTGGGAGCACCAATCCAGCCATCACGATGGCAGAAAACGACTCTCTCAGTAGGGGATGTGATGGCGAGGTAGCACATATCACAGCCAGTCTCGCCGCTACCCAAAACCATGACGGTCTTGCCTGTGCCAAATTGCTCACGCTTCTTGAAGTCTTGTGAATGAATCACTTCGGGGACATTCTCAATACCAGGGATATTGGGGATATGAGCTTTTGAGTGGACGCCTGAGCAAATGGCGATGGCGTCACACTCCCATTCAATCTCCTTACCATCGGGTCCCATGTAAGTGACGACATGTTCACTCACATCTCCCCTCCTGACGCCTGTGACGCGAGTGCTGAGATGAATGTATGGCCATAAGTTGAAATGTGTGGTGTAATCCTCTAGATACTCCCTGTAGCGCCCGGAAGAGAGGAAGTCACCGTCTTCGGGACGGGGACGGAAGTCAGAGAAGCTGGTGAGAAATTTGGAGGAGACGAGCTCGGCATCCTCATAAACGTGATGCAGGAAAACACCACCAAGCTTGTCGTAGGACTCAAAGAGCTTTAGCTCAAAAGGTTCCGTTGATGGGAAATAGTGATGAGCGGTTGCTAGTGTTTTGAGCTGGACAAGGCCAGAGGGGCCGCCTCCGATAACAGCAACGCGCATGTTGCCAGTTTCGACAAGTATCTGAAAAGAAGAATGAACACTTCTGAATAGAGCTTCGTTGCTATACTTGACGGCCGAGGTTCTTTGGGTCTTCTAGAAGTTTGCAACCAACAAAAGACAAGTAAGGGGCATGGAGGCTTGAACCACCCGGTCGGTACCAAGGCCACCTCTTATCTACCTCAACACAGTCTCTTGGATCCATATCACGCTACATAAGTCCCCGTAAACTTTCTGGCTGATTGGCGCCAAGTGAGGGGATGGATGAATGAGAAGAGGGGGCGCAGGGAGACATGATATCTTGGAAAGCGTAGGCGAGTCTCCATTGCATGGTTAGTTTGAATTCGTATATGTAGCTAAGGACGTTAGTTTTGCTCGTCAATATGTAGTCGTCCTCTCTGGAGGAGCAACCGGCACATGCCTACATAAACATACCCGCTTACAGGCATTCTTCAGCATATCTGCAGTTGCAGTGTTGCATTCGCTGCAACCCCACCGTTACCCGCAACCGCTGCACCAAGGAAATGGTGCAAGCTAACGCACGCTTGACAGGTGTCTCTATCCCACTCGTTCGGGTATGCGGGATATGCGGGATATATGCTGGTATGGATGTCGGTGTTGTGGGCCATGTCGCATCGGGACGCTTCGGCTCGTTAATAGCGCTGATGCAATCATGCTGCATGTGATGAACACGTCATACAGGATATGATATCTCAACTGGAATTGTTACAATACCGAGGCTTCCGCGAGAAACATCCCCTTACCCTATCTTCATCTTCACCCCACTCTGGGAGATCGGTAATAGGCTGCTGCTGAACTGCATGAGAATGTATTTTATATACTACTTTGCTTTCCCTATCCCCTAAACTGTAGAGCACTCCCATTAAGAGCTCCTTTTGGCTTTCCTAGGATTGCACTATACTGGATCGTGAAGAGTGTATCAGTGCTGTATGGAGCTAGTCCTGCCAGTGAATGGGATCGACGATCTTCTGGCTCAGTTAACCCATCAAGGGCTGGGCAGCTCTGGGCTTTAAGTATAACTAAGAACGCATTGTCAACACACCATAGCATCATGAACCCATGCTAAGGATAGGACCGACATCCCCACGACGCGATGCAAACTCGTCGACATACTCCTTAGCACCTAGCCACTACGTAGTGAACTCAAAGTAGGTATACACAGCCGAAAGCCCAAATATCCCAAGAGGTACTAAGCATACGTGGGCGAGACAAATTACGCCTTCTCTTGGTGGTCCAGGAAAGAAACAGCAGATATGAGCGAGCCGGGCCGGGTCCTTGCCCGGGAGGTGCATTGCGCCGAAGGTAAGGAAGATTACTATTCACTAGATACCACACAGAGAAAGACATGGCCCCGTTGCAGTCTTTCTTGTCACCCGTTAGGGCGGTTATTGGTTCTATGCTCTTGTCTATGATGGGCTCGATAATATATAGGCGTAACTATTTGGAAACAATGCCGAATCATATCATAGTACAAATACCAAAAGGTATTAATAGTGTAGAAATAAAACGACTCTAATAACCACCCACGAGCTATGCTATTCTATAACCGATTCTAAACTATCCGAACTGGAAAGGTTCTGCCGTCTAACTGCAGGCCCTCAAAAACTCGGTGCCGCCCACCAAAACTCGCTTTTCGGAAGTGATCCTCTTCTTTTGGTGGATCCATTATCCTGTCCCCAACGTCGGACCCTTGGAGGCCCAGAAGGAATTCGATCACCCAAGGGTAATCCGGAGAAGGGCGGAAGAGTCGCTGCTTGATATCTTCTAAGTGGTATGATACCACACCCTCCTCAGGCTTGAATTGGCCTGGCGTCCTTTTCCACCACCCCTGTCCCTGCATCACATCACCGTACCTACTGCTCTGCAGATTTTGGAACTCTTTACCTAACGACACCGTGATACGGCCGTTGGATATTTCAGCCCACCTGCAATATGGGCGTACCACGTTAAGGTAGGCTCCCCCGAAGGTTCCCCACGATTTAAATTTGTCTCTAAACGCGTCATTTACGAGTCCCAGCACAAGAGGAAACAGTTCCTTGAGCTGAGAGGTCGGTTGCATGCCGGGAATTAGGTCATCTCTAATAAAACCATTTGCAGTAGTTTGTTCAAGACAGTTGTGAAGGTGCATGAGGTCGGTGTATAGGCTTTGCTGGAGATCTGTGATGGGGATGGTTCCAACCTTGGGGCCTTGGCGATGATCTCCTGAAGAATGGAAAAATTCATTATTAGGGAATGTGCAAACGCAATAAGGACACGCTGCTATCAACTTAAACTCCAGTTGATTCCCTGTGGGGCGCAAGACGAGATAGATAGGCTCCGTCGTGTTGTTGTCAAAGAGGTAGACCTCGTCCTCGACTTCCACTGTCGTATCGAGTTTGCTTCGACTCGCCAATAAGATACTTCCTAGATAGAGATCTGCTTTCATGCAGGTGAATTGGTACCAGGTTAAACCTTTGTCTCCATTTGCCCGCTTGAAGCCGCCAATGGTGAATAGTTTTGTCAGATTGAGAGTCATGGCCCCCGAATCAGCGTCCACTGTCGCGTCTTGATACCAAAGCCTTCTGCCGATGGTTTTCGGCGCATCGGCTTCAGTAGGTGGACTGGTAGTAAATCGGAAATACGCGTCTTTCTTGGAATCCTGTGATATGGATACGATCCTCTCCATCTGGTCCCAGCTGGGGGTTTCTTCACCCTCATTTCCAAAGAGTTTCTCCCAAGTAACGGGGTCCTTGCAGTTGGGCATCCACGAAGGGATTCCGACTTCTGCATAGGCACCCGAGGCCTTGAGGAGTAGTTGAGAGGCTCCCTCATTGATGATAGAGTGGGCAAAGAAGCCGGTCGCAAGGTGCTGGAGAGAGATGCTGTAATCTGGCTGAATTTGAATGCCATTGGGTTTCAAAGTATAAGGACCCCAAACAGCGTAGAACTTGTCTCTGACATCTGAAGAGCGGCTTTCCCAGGCTAAACGTAACAGTTCAAACATGCTCTTCGGTAAGAGTAAGCCTCGTGTTGCGTGTTGAAACCAAGGCGCTCTTGTTTGTTCCCACGACCAGGTGTATCCTGTCAACTGATTTAAATGCTCCGTCATTAAAGGGTCCACTGAGAATACCATATCCCCGATAGGGATAATAACCCGCGCCGCAAGGATCAGCTCTTGAAGGACCCATGCCCGGCTGAAGTACCTACGCTCAAGGAGCTTTTGGATGGTGAGTCTGTTCAGGGGAGTTGTAGATCCCTTTATTGTTGGCATCAAGATCTCCAAGCTTTCAAGTTCGTGAAAAGAATGTCTTGTTGCAAAGACTTTTGAGGGCTTGAATGCGAGGTCATCCCCCAGCCAAATAACAACTTGGAAGCATTGCGAATAGATCCGACCCATCTTGGCGACTTGTTCACCTCTCTCTTTTGAATCTTTCTGATTAATGCAAATTGCGTCGACCCAAACCACCCGCTCACCCCGTGATGGTCGTAGATAGCGGAGCATGGCGCAACAGTTGCGTGTCTGGGGTAGGATATCCCAGTATTCGCCGACGTAGACAGGGTGGCGCCTAAAAACGAGATTGTTAGACTTTTAGACCCAAGAACGCTCTTTGACGCGTATAAAGAAGAACTGAGTCACGAGCGGGGGGTGGTCGTCTCAAGCTTACAAGGTAGCATCTCCATCCTCACCACCCCATGTGTAGGAAACGGCCTCGTATTCCGGGAACTCCCTGTCTGAGTAGGTTTCCAACAGCAAATGAATCACATCTTCCGGGGGCTCATTCTCCTTCGCCACTAGGCGAATCAGGCGGAATTCGTCTGTTCCCAGAGCTCGATCATGCGCATGCGGGGTCTGCCTTCTGGAACTCGAATCATCGCGTCGACAAGTTCCCTCGGAGAGCTTGAAGCAAGCCAAAGACTCTGTTTCTCCAGACTCGAAGCCGCATCTGTGCGACTTGGTTCGTGTATAAGTTACAGTTGATGGCCAGCTAAGATTGAGCTTGCCCGGTGGTTCATCAGGTGGGGGCGACGGGGCTGGACTGGAAGGGTGCTCTGTGAGATCGCGCAGCAGCTGATGAGCAGAATTGCCGCAGGCTTGGCAACTAGGGACCGAATCTCCCCCAACCTCGACGCGAGGGGCCCCGCAGGATAGTGCATGCCATCGGGCCATTTGAATGAGTTATTGGGTTAGTTTCAGCGCTGGAGGGATGCTGGTGAGCAGAAACAGGGTATCATGTATCGTAGGAGCTGATGTTGAGATGGTCAAGTCGGAGGCAGCCTGCGGACTTGACAGCCCAAACCAGGCTGTGCTGATGGCACCTAATCGCATTTCTCTTAATTGCATACGGAAAAATACCGATGTACAACCCATAGCATATGTCCAAAGAACTGTCCGTAATCCCACTATGTTCATGAGGGAGGTATGATCCTTCGTCTTGTCCGGTCAGAGGTTTTTGGTCCACCACAGGGTACATTATACCATGTCCCAATATGCACATGAAACTCCAGTAGCTATGAAAGATGATCATGGAACAAAAGTAAAAATATCTGATATGGCTTTGCCCGGCAAGGCTTCGTCCAAAACCACTGTAGTCCCCACACCACCACTCTCATCACCGCCAACGCAATAGTCACAGAAGAGCAACAATATCTACAGTGCACAGGGGCAAAAAGAAGCATACAACAGCGGGGATTCGCTGGTCGCCACAGACCCAACTACTAATCCGCCCCTTACTGGCTTAACTATGGGAGAGCGGACGGGATCCCGTGGTCTACAGTAAGTATGGCCGTATGTGATAGCCGAGGCGAGTTTAAGGTCTATGCCGGTGAGGGCAGGTCGAACTGCTATTATTCAGGATCTCTGGAACTACATTCCTATACTGGATATGCGAGATTGAGCTGATGAAGCAGCGTCCCTCCCAGGATGTCGAGATTCCTGCAAGTAGCACCTCGAAGAGTCTCCTGTCAAGCCAGGGCTATTGAAGTATGGGGTTGTTATATTAAATGACATAACCAAGTTTCGAGTTATTAAGCACAAGTAACATACGTTGGACATGACTACATGAGAGCCTTGGGAGCTAAACGTGGATAGAACGGTCCTTGTTGGGGCCTTGGATGAGACATGCGAGCATGAAGCAACCGCTCTGTTGGGATTTCCATTTCTTCAAAGGCCCTTCACGCAAGATCAATTCTAGTTTACGGCCAGGGTAACGTCTTAGCCTTTAGTCGAAGCGATGTTTGCTTCAGAGGGCGATGGGGTGGGGATGAGTGACAACACCAGACAACCTCGACGGAAGTGAAGGCACAAAGCTAAAAGAACAATGCCCAAATGTTGTATGGCAATCAAGGTGAATTAAAAACTCGCTGAAGGTATATCATTCCTTGTCATCGCAATCCAGAAAGCCACCATGTCGCGTTCCTTAACCCGCATACCCCAGGATATCATCCTCCGACTGGGTACCATAGACAGTCTTTGCCCGCTTTTTGTACATGCCTCGTGATAAATAGATACATTAAGAAGTGCTTCCAAAGTTCCGCCAGCCTAAATAGCACTTGGCTGGCTTTCCCTCCACATCCGTCTTTCTGGTCCTCGTCAGACCACAATGCCTCTAACTCTGCCAGATCCAGACAATGTCGGCTCATGTCGATTCACAACTAGTCGATGACAATGACTTCTTTATCTTTGGGTATTGAGAATTTCTTTCGGCGCTTTGTTGGGGATTCTAACCGCTCGTCGTCGTTCCGATCACGCTTCTTGTTCACTTGGAGACGTGCAAACGGGCTTTCAAGGCCGATGCTTGTCGTATTTCTTGAGGAAGGCGCTGTCTGCTCGCTTCCTGCATCGGATGCCAATTCGGCTGCATCCGTATAAACACTGCTGCTAGGCGAAGATGGAGGTTCTGAGTCGTCGACCTCGACTGTGGGCTTGGGCGCGGCCGCTTCACCCGGCAGCATCACGAGCAGGCGACGCCGTATCTCATCGATAGTGTCTTGTATTTGTGCTCCCAGACGACTGTCAGGATTAACAACGTAGAGTGTCTGCTCCAGGGTCGCCTGGCAGAGCGTGAGTTGGCTCTGCTCACGCGTTGACCGTTGGGCTGGAGACAGCTGAGCAAAGGCCGCGTGGGCGTTGCGCCTAAGCGACGGGCGGTAATATGGAAATGAGCAGCTCATGACCTTGCGATGGCGTCTAATATCGATAAGCTTGCGGTCTGTGTGCGGTGCACGTCGCGCTTGTTTGATAGGTACGCACGAGCTGTCAAGGTGGCGGTCTGATGTCGAAAGAGAAAATATTCACCAGGCAGTTTGCGACAGACAACTCACCGCGTTCAAGGTGACTGACCAATGACTGGGCCTTGTTTCGCAATCGCTGCCTGTCCTGTTTCAACACTGAACAAGGAAGTGTGTTGCGCGAGAAAACCAGAACAGTTGCTGCGGAACAATAGATAACCCTCTTCTTCTTTGACTCCCATTTCCCGGGACGCTGCAGATGTTTCCAGAGGCACAAAGACACCGGCAAATCTCAACAGCATTGTTTGCGCGTACGTACCCGTCGCTTCTTTGTCTGAAGCCAGCAGTGATGATGGCCGGACAGGGATTATTTTGCTGTGTTTGGCGGGGAACAGTCGCAATCACAGTGGACCACGCGACTACGTAAACTCATCTGAATGGACGAGACGTCGCATGATGTCACTAGCTTGTTACACTTTTGGTGCCCAAGCCAAAGTGAGTCACTTTTGTGACACCTCTCTGTAGCTTCCCTGTAGCTGCCCTGAAGTTTCAGACAAGACAGCTTGTTGCCCTATTGCAAGTTTAACAGGGAGAATAGTTTCATTGCCTTATCTTCCTGCAGTCTGTTCCTCTCTATACGCACTATTGAAAACCACGATCCAACTCATGTCCGCCGTTGAGCTCAAGCAATCGAAACCCCGCATTCCACGACTCAGAGTTTGTTTGGGGCGGGGACTCAAAACGAATCCACGACTCAAGTGGGGTCACGGGATCAACACTTCAATGGCCCGCGCAAACTTTTCTATCTAGCCAGGAGTTAATTTGAACGTGCTTCAGCTTTCTACCCGTTGGTTCATGTTATTGGATGCGCAGGTTTTCTGGTCACATAAACATTCGTTTCTCCTATGTGTTTGTAGTACTCTTTCCCAGGCGGTCATCAGCCACGAAGGTGGATGGTGTCGTCATGAAGAGATGTGTTTGCAGTACAGGGATTTTTTTCAGACATTGATTCATATCTCACTTAAGAGTAGGAATGACTGAATCGAGTTGACTGAATCGCGAAACTGGACTTATAAACCTATAACAGTTCGATAGGTTTCTAAGCTGGGAGACGTCTGACTGATGATTCTGAGTGAAGATCATATTTCTCCCCCTCGTAGCCCTTCTCTGAATACTCTGGCTGTTCTCAGCAACTATCGCGCCAACAACCGAAGAGGTCACAGATAGACCATCCTGAACCGTGCAGACATTCAACTGTGAAATTCACGGTCATTCTTGCACAATTGGTAAGCTCCAGCAACCCCAACATTTTACAGCTATACCCTTAGTGCCTTTTTGTTTTCTCTTTATTTATTGCATATCAGCTTCTTTGCTGGCAACAGTACTGATGAGTCTTATTATAGATTATCAGCTGTCCTTGCAGATGTTCCTTAAATTTATACATACTCTCAACAACATTGCGGCACTATGACGGATCACCACGTTGGAAAACAGGCCCAGCACCGCGTGGCTGAGAAGGAATACCAGCAAACTGGCCTGAGGCTAGCGGATCGGCTTGCCACACATGATTTGGACGACAAAGATCTTGACCGAGTCATTAAAAAAGCTGAAGCCATGGTTTTAGGGGCTGGTGCGGCCATGGGGGATGCAGGCCTGACCCTGGACATGTTCCGCGATGAAAGGAACGCCATCGTCAGGGAGCAGGAAATTAATTTCTATCGGGAAGAAGCTCTCCGCATGCACCTCCGCGACATTTTCTCAGAGGGCCATCCCACATACCTTCAAGACTTGGAAAACGGGTCTTCAGAGTGTGGGGATGCCCTTTCTCTTCGCCGCAAGCATATGGTCACGAAGAAGGACGAAATTATGTCACTAGTGAACGAGGCAGAGAAGAATGCGAACAACGCTGGAAGCTGTCACTCAGCCTGCCTCGCAATAAAGAAGCGTAGGATCCTACAGATGATGCCTGTGCCGGCACAGCAGGAAGGTGATGGAGCATGCCCTCAGGCTGAACAGAGCCTCGCCGTTGGCAGTGACGACTGGGTTCAGCAAGACCAAGAGTGTTTTGAACTCTTTTTCCAACTGCTCAAAACTGAGTAGCTTTATCAGGGACTAAAAACTGGAAAACATGCTCATAAAAGCTTTGGGACGAAGGGTAGGGAATACTTGGTTTCATGTTATGGAGAGTGTCAACTCGTTCGTATGCATACCAGCGTCAGTGGAGTTGGGTAGCAATTTGGTATGGGAAATAGAGGGCCAGGTATGCTATGAGGTTCAATTATTCTTCAAATAGAGGGCCAGTTTTAGCTTGCGTCTTGAGATAGCCTCAATGAAGCACGACTCGTCATGAGCCATGATTTCAGACCCCCAAAAAAAAGGGGGAAAGGAGCGAAAGGAGCAAAAAGAGCAATCATGTATATAGGAACAGCCCGATGCGGGGGTCGAACCCGCAACCTTGAGATCGCGTACTCATCACCCAGTGAAGGGTCATTTAAGAGTCTCACGCTCTACCGATTGAGCTAACCGGGCGTGACTCTGATTGGCTGAAACGTGATGCCCAATTCGCTTGTCAGCGCGGTGGTCGCGATGATCTCCGTGGTGTTGAGACCACACTCAAGTTATCTGCGAGATTCATGGTGTGCTATCACTAGCTTAACTAACCGGGACCTGATTTGAATGCTATAGAAAGCTATTGAAAGATTGGAAATGGGGTCTATGAGAAATGAATAAACTTGGCTTGCTGTTCTATTTGGGCAATATTCCCCTGATGAACCAACCCTCTCATAACGTTCTCGAGTGTAATGTCGAAAGGTAGTACAAATTGAATAGAATCAAGAGGACGGAATCGGTTTGATGCCAGCCTAGAGGGTAAGAACCTCAAAGTGATCAGTCGTGTTGAGAAAATGTCCAACACCGTCAACCATGATCATCAGGCCATCCTGCTGAAGACCACCTCCCGGAATGTAAATCTTGTTTCCAACTGTAGCGGCGCTTGTTCCGTGACGAGGCACCTGCATAGGCGTCAACTCCTCCCACTTCTACGTCTCGACGTCAAACACCTCCACGTTGTCAAATACGCCCGTCGCCGCATGTTGGTTCGTCTCACCGCCAAAAGTGTAGAGCTTCGCCCCAACAGCTGCCCCTGAAATGCCTCCACGAGCAGTTGGCATGTGTGTCTTGCCAGTTTTCCAACCGGCAGTCAAGTTGTTGAGGTCGAGCATGAAGACATCGTCCCGGACATTGGTCTTCTCGAACCATCGGCCCCCAGTGATGTACAAGGTCTCATCCACGATGGCGCCAGCTGCATGTTGTCGACCCTCAGGAATATTGGCTGCTACATCGACGAGGCGTTCCCATTTGCCAGACGTGGTGTTGAAGGCGGTAACCGTAGTGACAGCGTCCTGGTACGCGCCATCCAGGATGGTCATGCCTCCAGCGACGTAGATAAGCTCGTGATGAACACCCAAAATGGCACTTCCCCGTTCAGTCCCGGGAGGCATAGACTCAAGTTGAGTCCACGTGTCGGTCTGCGAATCATATACATGGGACTCCCCCGAAGCAACCCATTCAGGCAAAGGCTTGGGAGGATCTGAAGCATCGACGAGACCACCAAGGAGGTAGATCGAACCATTTTTTGTGGCGACGTTAGGATGGTTTACACGGTATGGGGATGGAGCCCCAGTGCGCCAGCTGTTGGGAGGGATGTCATAGAGGTGCGGCCAGTCGACGGTTGTGAAGACGGTGAAGAGGGATGCATTTCCAATGGGCGTGGCACCACCAATGACAGCAATAGTGTTATCATCAACGGAGACGGTACTATGCTCTTGACGAAGACGAGGGAGCTTGGCCAGCGTGGTCCAATGCTGGCAGGGCTTGTCAACAGATATCGGCATAGCCGAGGTCAACCCGCCGGAAATGGCAAAGAGAAGGCAGGCTCGGAAGAAGGCCATTATTGTGATGACAGCTTTATAATCTAAGGGAAATAGTATGATGGAGGTAAGTTTACAGACTTTCCTGGAGGGAGTAACCGTTGCTCCTTATAACCTCCAGTTCGGAGACTACGCATGCGAATTTTGATCGCCCATCATCGTCATATGTCCGAATTTATTCAATGTCAGCACATAAGAATTGCCCGGGATTTAATTAAACCTCGCCATTCTTATGCCAAGAGCCTCGTGAGCTGCGTACCCAGTGAAGTTGTCCATGATGGAAGAAATCACTGGGAGTCTATTCGCGGATCTATAGGCCTCCTGTTGAGGTTCTATGTTGGAGTCAAATTCTCTTCGTCATTCAAAAATGAAATAACAGATCAACTTACTATCGTCACTCACAAAGATGGCCTACCACAACCCCATTACTTCATCGCTCTCAAGACGTCGATCACCACCCGTGGCCTTTGATCCGCCTCGGTGATTTAGCGGGTTGAGCCAATGACATGTCGTAAGGTCTCGGTGATTTCACCATTCCAGCCAACAACCTCCTACCACTAGGAAACCCAACTGGCACTATCGGACGTAAGAGTTCGTCGAGACCGTCTCATCGGCACCCAAGCATGTTCTTCTTGAATACACCGCCCTCTTCTCCCCGCGTGTTCTTATCCTGTGATCACCTCCAATTCCCGAGCAGCCACCAGATTCCGCAAAGAACTGGAAAGACCGAACCCCAATGTCCGCCCCAAATGCTCCTCAAGACCCGCCGGTGAAGAAGCGCCGCAGACCGGCCCTGGCCTGTGAGCAATGCCGACGCCGAAAAGTCCGCTGCGACAGGACTTCTCCTTGTAATCACTGCTCCAAGTCCGAGAATCCGGAGCAGTGCACATATGTCCCCATCCAAGTGCCTAAGCAGAAACGGGCTCCTCGTCCGGGTGCTGCCACCATTGGCCCGGTGAGCATCCTCCCGGCACCAGCTCCGACGCCACCAGAAAGCCAAGGCTCTACAGGGAACTTTCTGCCAGTGCTGAACTCTTCTTCGACGCCGGCTACAGTATCCGAGTCTGGAGTTTCAGACGTGCGTACTCTGGAGCGGAAGTTTGAGGGAGTGATCCTAGCAAATGGACAGCCTCCAGGTTCAACTACCGAGAGTATTATAGGCGAGGGGACCGAAGCTACCAACGCCACTCACAGGATCCCCAAGACAAGATATTATGGCCAGAGTCACTGGATGAATGGGCTGAGTCTTGTAAGCAAGCCGCCTACCCTTGTCGTAGATGCTTACAGCTGATGACCCTGATAGCTCCCCGCAGGATTCGAGAGTCTTGTCAACCCCAAATCTACGACAAGCAATCTCCACACTCTCCTCAGCCAGTGCAAGATACTCGGTCGACGCATCAAAGAGCATCGCCTGCAGTCTACCTTGTCGAGCAGCCCCCTCGTCTCTCTCGACATCCCACGTTCGACTGCCGATCGCCTCCTAGATCTCTACATCTCCAGCTTCGAACCCGTGTTCCCGATTATGCACATACCTAGCTTCAAGGCCGACTATGATCGATACTGGAGTGACCCCGGCCAGGTTGCAACCGTCTTTCGAGTGCAACTCCAGCTCGTGCTTGCGCTGGGGGCCTGCCTGTTCGATGACACCTTTACCCTCCGCAATCAAGCTTCCCGATGGGTGAACGAGGCCCAACTGTGGCTTCTGACTCCACCGGAGAAGAGCAGAATAACCATTCACAGTATACAAATTATGATACTCTTGACTCTCGCAAGGAGTGTCTGCGGCGTAGGATAGGATACTGTGTGGGTACTTACTGGACTTCTTTTACGCACGGCCATGTATATGGGCCTGCACCGAGACCCTAGTAAACTTGGAGATGGAAAAATGACCACATTCAAAGCCGAGATGAGACGGAGACTGTGGTCGAGCATCCTGGAACTGAACTTGCAGAGTGCCTATGACGCAGGCGGGGCGCCACTCATCTCTGCTGAGGACTACGATACACTGCTTCCGACCAATCTGAACGATGAAGACCTTACAAACGAGCCAGAAAATCTGTCACCTGGCAGCCGTGCGGATGGAGGAAGTGCACGTCTATCGGTTGCTCTGGCCCTCGCTCAGTCACTTTCCCCTCCGGCTCAAGATACTTCGGCACGCCAACGACTTTCGCGCGCAAGACTCGTATAGCGAGACGCTACGACTAAACTCGGAGCTTGTTCAAGCTTGTCACCAACTGTCTGAGACGCTGAAGAGGCATTCCAGTTTGCCCAATGGCACGGTAGTCACACAATTCCATGCCTCACTGGCTGAGTTACTGGCCTATCGGTGCTTCCATACGCTACATCAGCCAGTTATTGTGCGCTCGTTGAGTGACCCAAAGTACTACTTCTCCCAGAAGATGTACATTGACGGGGCGCTCAAAATTGCACACATCTCAGGGCTAGCTGGGGTAGGCGTCGATGAGAACAATGCGAGCCGACTATCTCCCATGACTGCATCACACGGTAAAGGCGTTGCTTCTCATGAGCAGTTCCCACTGTCTCATCATCAATCAAATGACACCCGAGCCTCCGGGGACAACCAAGACGGCCTTCCGAATGTCCTGTTCACCCGCCTCCTCACTAATGGTGCCGGCATGTTCCGTAACATCCCCATCCAAGCCACTCTTGGCATTATCGTTGAGTTTGTCAGTAAATGGGGAGACAACTCCGCGACCGGGAGGGCGTCTTCTGGGATTGGCTGTCTCCCTGGCATACACGGCACGCGCGAAGCTGATTTTGCGGCTCTGGCATCCTTCCTGAATGCGGCGCGCGGCTGGACACTTCGCCGCATTCGTTCGGGTGAAGTCAGCATAAAGGGCCACTACTTTTTGACTTGCTATTTACTGCATGTGTCTGCAATTGAGCAGGAGATTGACAAGGTTGCCATTGAGGGCAATATCATGGCGGGGGCGGTAGAGGCAGCGGAGGAGTGCGTCAAGGAGCTGAAGTCTATGGGGGTAGCAAATGGGTTGTCGTTGGAAATGCGACTGGGAAAGAATTCGGAAGATTCCTCTTGGCTTGAAAATACAGAGTTTCTGTCCTTGGATATAAATGTATCTGACTTTGGTGACACGGCCGTCGATGCAATGGACATGGATTGGATGGGTGGCTGGCCCTTGGATGGCATGTCGGATTATATCAACTACTCCTAGGAGGTTGCTATAGATATCACTTTTCGAGAACTTTGTCTCGGGAAATTGCTGAGATGCTGCTGACAGTTCTTCCACTCTTCCTCCTGCCATATGGATGTTTGTGAGACAGGAAATGGCTAATGAACGACAAAAGACCCTTGTCCTTACCTGATGAACTCGACATCACCCATAAACACGAAGAGGGAAAGAAAAAGGCCAAGGTTCCTGAAGCCAAACTTAGAATTGACCCCGAGGAGCCTAGTTTCGGGCGGGAGTGGGCATGCAGTAGCACGCGGACAAGACAATGGGTAGTGTCTTATGTCCGATTCTCATCCCCACACCAACCAACACACTATCTACTCGCTATGTCCGAAAGACGATAGCTTAACGACCTTTTATGACAGTCACCTTTCGGCCGAGGGTGGCTCACTCAATTCTCCGACTTCCTAGTGTGGGCCGTTTGGCAGATTACAGACCTGTACTGAACCGAGACTCCCCTGTTTTTTGTAAAGCCGGGAGAGGGAATTGGACGTATATCTATGCTTGGTAATCACCAGTACAGAAGTTCTCACCTGCATCCAACTAGTACTCAAGCTCATCCTAACTAGAATCCGTCAACTCATTTAGTCTCTCGACTATTCCACATCTACAGCCACATCAGTATCACCAGAATGTCGTCACAACACAAACATACGCCAGAGGTTCGTACATGACGCAGCACATGTCTCCCCTTCATGCTGACCTTAATAAAGGGACCCCCATATCTCCCTCGTGGTGCCATCCTTGGACTCACCCCATCGCCCATCCCCGACGTTCCGATTTCCTCTGTCCTGGTCGTCCCCCCCCGTTCTTTCCGCGACCCTCAACATGACGAGATTTCAACTCAACCTCCGCCGCGGGCACAAATTCGTCCTCTCGGCACTTCTTTTCGGACTTTCCATGGCTCGTATCATGGCCAACGTGCTGCGCATTGCCTGGGCTGTCCACAATGACAACGCCCGCCTCGTCATCGCGGCCTCCATATTCGCCAACGCTGGCATGCTGCTTCTTTTCGTCGTCAACTTGATCTTGCTGCAGCGCGTCGTCCGGGCTTACCAGCCTCAGATAGGCTGGAGCAAAGCGTTTGGTTGGACTTTTCGACTCTTATACTCTGGTATCGCCGCTTCTCTCATCATGGTTGTTGTTTCAGTTGTGTACAGCTATTACACGCTCGATTCTCATACCCAATCCCAGCTCCGATGCATACGGCTCGTCACGGCTGTCTACCTCGCGGTGTTGGCCTTTGTTCCTATTCCAGCAGTCATCACTATACTCCTACTTCCACGCTCGTTCCCCATCGAGCATTTTGGCCGAGGCACTATGCGTATCAAAGTGGTTCTACTCCTTTTCACCTCGGTCCTCCTCTCTCTCGGCGCCTGTTTCCGCGCTGGCGGTGCCTTCATTCAACGACCGACCGAGAACCCTGGATGGTTCAATTCTAGGGCGGCTTATTACTGCTTCAACTATGTAATTGAGTTGGTTGTGGTCTTCACCTACGCCTTGTCTCGTTTCGATCGCCGATTCCATATTCCCAACGGAAGCAAAGGTCCAGGCGACTACTCCAATGGGGGGCTGGGCGGTATGTCAGGGCAACAAAGTACCGATGAGGAGACTCTTTCGGGGGATGATGATGGCGTGCCGTCTACCGGACAGCAGGTGCCTTTGAAGAACATTGCAAACAAGAAGGCATAAATGAGAAGGTATGGAGGGAGCAAGTGGCAGTTGAAAGCCTTGAAATGGAATCTGAAGTTATCATGCTATATCAGATGTTCCTGAACACGGCATCTTCTTTCTCAAGACATTTTGAAACCATCGTGTTTGAACAACGTTCTGAGTCAGTTTGAGAGATTTAATACGAAGGTCATTTCATCAAGATCCGCTACCAGGGGTCCATCAAGGTTCAAGCAAGCTTATCAGGTTCTTGGCGCCCCTCGTCTTTCTCGTATTCACACAAATCAGCTGTCCAACGCGACAGCACGTGTTCGCGTGTTTATCGAGACGTCGCGTCTCATTCACGGTCGCGTCCCTCTCCTCATCTTGTTCCTTTTCATCTTCTCTTTTCACCACAGTCATATTGACTACACAAATTCCCCTCGCTGCCTTTTCTTCAATCTGTACCCGCACGTTCATCTGCAAACTCTATCACCTAACACATGGCGTCAAATATCCCCTTGTCCCGCCACCAGTGGCAGATATCCCCCAAGGGCACCTGGGCTCGTGATGTCGACGAATGCGAGAGATTTTACATCACGTCTTCACGAAAAGGAAATGGGTGCTTTCCAGTTAGCGGCTGTGCATCTTTTAATGTCACCCCTGTTGATTCGATGCCCACCATCGACGAAGAAGACTGGGTTGAGGCAGCTCTGAAGAAGGCCTGGATTACGCTTCGTTACCAGCATCCAACCCTGGGTTCTCGTATCGAGCGTGATGAAAATAGCGACCAATTGGGAAGGATTTACCAGTCATTTGATACCGACGATGAGCAGGATCGTTGGGTGGGTTCAACCTTCAAGGTTGTGGATACTGATGTTGAGCCGCTCGAGTGGTTCAACAACAACACAGCCGCTGCCTTTGAGACGGGCACTCTCTTTCTCGTGAGATCAAATGGGCAGGATAGCTACCGCCAGACAATACTTTTGCGTTGTCCTCACGATGTATCCGATGGTGTTGGTGTTCTGCAGCTAGTCAATCAACTGTTTGACTACGCTGCAATGGCTTTCGAACAAGGAGATGAGTATTGCCTCCCAAAATGGGGCAAGGAATATGAAAATCTATCTCCTTGTATTCGAATTGCTGCGGAGATGCCTGAATCATTGTCCGAGGCACAAACGAAACGTCTGGAGGAGATCCAAACTCAAAATGGAACCATCTACAAACACCAGGGCCTTCTTGCACTCCCCTCAAGCTCGACGCATGCCGAAGGCGCTAGAGATGGCAAGCTGATACGCCTTTCGCATGCAGTTCCCAAGGATCGTACTTCAAAAATTCTCCGTGGCTGCAAGGACGTTGCTTCTGGAGTGAGTGTGACACATGTCTTTATGACGGCCTTGGTAATGGCTCTCTCAGAGGTACAGCCCCAAAAGGAAGATTCATACCCAGTCCGATATGTCAATCACAGCATGATCAATCTACGTCCCTACTGCCAGGAACCTTACAACACCCCTGCTCACGCGGCTGCTGCATACCACACTATCTCAACACAAGCACTGGGCATAGACTTGGTTGTGCCCGGGTCATCAGACGAGACAACTGGAAACCACGCGACTGAAATGCGAAAAATCCTACCTCAAGTACAACACTTTTTCAATGATATCCGACCGGTTCCTTCCGAAGAGATTCATGAACAGGTCGCCTTCGCTCCCTCAACATTCAAGTCCTTCACGTCTCCATCCGGCGTTGATCCCCACGCTGTATCGGAACCGCCTTTTTGCCCGGTAGCTCTCTCTTCGATTGGGAATGTGAGTTCCATGGTTCAGCAGAGGCATGGGCCTTTTGAACTTACCAACGTCTGGGCCGCCAGCGAACCGATGGGGGCTGGCGTGGCGCTCTTTCTCGGGTCTTGGGATGACCAGCTGGAACTCTCTGGTGTATTTGACACGAGGTATCACGAATCAAGCTATGTGGAAAGCTTTCTCGAACGGATTCTAAACTGCGTTCAAGAAGGACTGGGCGTCGATGGAAATAGCCTAGCGGATGAAGCTAGACCCGTGGAAAGTTCACGTGACAAGAAGAGGAAGAGAGTGTAGGAAGTAAGTCCTATTGATTGAGACAGAGTCTAGATGGGTTATGTTTAGATAGAAAATATCTCTAATTCTGTGGCGAAATGATCTTGCAGTGAAGCCTGAGTTTTCTCGGTTTCCCAAACAGATCCCAGGAAAGGCTGGGGGTCAAAAACCACGAGACATAATGAACAGGGGTAAAGACAAGGTACCTGCTTTGCTGTGGGTTACGTAGGTATCTATCAAAAAAGAAAGAAAGCAAAATGCATATAAGAATGAAAGGTGAAAAAAAGGAATTAGGGTTGACTTCTAGTTACCCCTGAACCCGGATGTTCTTCGGGGCTTTCTTTAACGCAGACTCACAAAATTAGACCGAATCTCTCCTAAACACCCACCCAACTTCTGTCCAGCTTTCACTGCCTATCATGGACTTTGACGATGACAACGACCCCGTATGGGACCGGTTCTTCGCTACCGAGAAACTCCTCGAACTCAACACAATCGGTGCCGTCGCCGGTGCTCTCGAGCGCTTTGAAGACATACTTCTTAAGTCCCGAAAGGACGACTGCCGTGTGCAAGACATCATTCCCCATATCCTGCTGCGCCTCGGCCGCGAACAGGAATGCTACGATTTCCTCAAGTGGTGGGCCAACTTCAATGATAAGGACCATTTTAACGGGCGTTACAACTGGAAAGATAAGACGCTACCGTTCCTTGACATTCACGGAGCCGACCCTTTCGAACCTCTCAACAAGCTCTGAGCCTTAGCCAGCTTGTGGCTCTCACCCTTCTGAAAGTGCGCCTCTATCTCGACATCGGGGAATATTCGGACGACCATAACTTTACAGACGCTGATGAGCCTCATCCCGTCCGCCAGCGACCGGTGGGAAGGCTTGTACGGGCAAAGGTGCGAAGGTCGTCAAACATGAACAAGATGTTGGACACACAGGATGCGCTATAGAGGCAATATTCTAGGCTTTCACGGATGGTAAACGATGCCAATCCGTACCTCTGGGAAGCTTTGGTTAAAGAAGACAATCCTTCCCTGCCAATCTTCCACCCCCCTCGTTCTAAAGAGGAGGCGGATCTGGTTCTCTGTCGGTGTCTACATGCCTGGCAAGAAACGACAGGTGCCATTGCCTTGATTAATGGAGAGCGCTCCAAGTTTACCCGCGTGGTGGGGGGAGTACATGGAGTCTACCGAGTAATCACTGCTGATGGCAGGGATAGCCTGCAATCGGGAGAGAAGACGGAGGGACTGCCGAAAAGACGAAGCACCGGAAGTGCGTTTCCAAAGAGATTCAACCCTCCAAAGCCTAGATCGGAGCCACTTGAGCTTTTCCCCCCAACTCCCACGGTCTCCGGCCATGTCCGGTTCATCCACCGCAACGACGGAAACAGGGTACTCGCATACACCGATGGCGCTTGTATCAACAATGGGCAGCTGGAACCTCGCGCAGGCTGGGCCGTTGTGTTTGGAAAGCCTGGAAGTGACCAGGAGGGCAGCCAAAATGTTGTGTCCAGCCGCCTTGAGAACGAGGGCCCGTTTGGGGATGACAGCGTAGCGACCAGCAACCGAGCTGAGCTGCGTGCAGCAATTGCCGCTCTTCGAGTTTGCGACTGGCACGATGAGGGGTTCAAAAACATTGTTATTGCAACCGACTCTTCCTATGTGGTTCAGGGCGCCACCAGCTGGGCCAAAAACTGGGTACGCAAGGGATGGACGACACGCGTCGGGGGTAATGTCAAGAACAAAGATCTGTGGGACCTATTACTCGGTGAGGTGGAAAGGTTGAAGCAACAGGGACTGAGTGTTGATCTCTGGAACATCCCAAGGGAGAACAATACAGAGGCTGATGCAGCAGCCAAACAAGCAGCCCAGAACGAGATAGACATTGCTCACTTTGCAGACATCACAGCGGGATCTCCTCAGATCGACATTGTTAGCAAGGAAACAATCGACAGCGACCTGCTCCCTCGCATGCTTGTGTTTTGTCTTGAGTACGAGGATCTGTTCGACAGTTGCTTTGGAAGCCTCGTCGCAGAGATCAAACCGAAAGCCAAGATGGAACGAGCCTCGACACTAGAAGCTGCCCTCGCCATACTTGGCGGAAAGTCACCTCCTGACATCATCCTCGTCGCCGATGGGGGCATTACACGACAGAAGGAAGTCAGGAGAGTCGTCATTGACCACCTCCGCGAGGGGGCCAGGGTCGTGCTGGCAGGCTGTTTTAGCAGCATGGTAGGAGGAGACGAGTTCAATTACTTCTTCTCCGAGGCGGGCCTCCGCTGGCAAAGGGGATCGTACCACCGTGCAACCGTCACCTTCCGTTCCGCTTATCTCGACAACAAGCTAATGAACCACCTCACCCCCTCGTACATCCAAAAGGCGCTCTTTGTGAGCAACATCAGGAAGGAACATGTCTGGTACGCTGAACCCGGAGTGCCAAACGAGGCTGCAGTGGCATGGGCCTGCGTTGGGCTGGGCCGGCTGGGCTATATTGGTGACGTGAACGGAGAGGAGGCATCCAACAAGGTGGTGTTGGGCTTGTGTGGGGGGCTCCTATGATTTCCTGACTACCCAGTCGATTCATATGCCATCATGGCGGTTAGTCAAGAAAATAGGCAGCGACGGAGGTGGCATCGGGAGTAATAAGATGTGTTCGGTTGACGGAGGAAGTCCCCTAGAGGCCGGCTCTTGTAGCACCGGCCATTTCACTCATTAATTCACCGTTGAGATATCTATGACTCTAAATACCGTCTTGTCAATTTCGCTTTGAGCCCCATTGGGTACCCATAACGATGCCTCTGTATCTTGAGCATGAGTCTCATGCTTGCAATTTTGCTCATTCATCTTACTTTCTCATCATGCCCCGGCCCCTTCATGATTCGTGGATTAGGTGCGCCTTCTTCCATTCCCGAAAGGTCTCCCATTGTTCCATATTCTCGTGCTTATTTTCTGAATCTTCCCCCTCTCTTGATTGTTCTAAGTGAACAGATGTGTTAGCTCAAAGTCCGAATCATCCTGGATCTGTCAATGAGAAACTTACCAGAGTATGTCTGGAGCGCCTGAAGAAATGGCATACCCAAAAGGAGAATGGGAACCAGCTGCCCGAACCCCTTTGCGTTGTTCTCGTTATCGATGTCAACACGCCCTTTCCACAACTCGTGGAATCGCTTCCTGTCGTCAAAGGTCCAGTACAAGCCCAGCCCAAACCAGACACATGTGCCAAGAACAACTGTTCGAAGCTCAGACTCTTGGATGTAGTACAAACAAACAAAAATCTTTCTCCATAAGGGCAGGGGTGTTGCTGCTCCTATTCGCCTCTCCAAGTCCTTTGTTGTCAAGGAAGTGATGCCTCGCCTTGTCGATCCACCAACGCCCTAAGGTACGCCATAGAGCCAAACATTGTCTCGGATATTCGAGAAGAATCAAGACAAAGTTAACCACCGCCCATTGGAGTGGCTCGCCCCCCTTCTCTTTGCCCAGTGAGCATCTCGCAGGGCAGTGGTCATAGATATACCATTCACTAGCACCAGATACATAGGAGCAGTATAGTAACAAAGCCGCCAAGAGGAGCATGCTTATTATCCGGACAATAACATCTCCTCCCCACCCGATGGCAGCCCTGGCTCTCCTATGACGCGATGAAGCTTCCTGTCCTGGCCATTCTCGACGGGGTTGCTTCTTCATGCTCCCTATGACCTTGGTCCGGATAGCCAGCATAGTCAACAAATGCACTGTACTGCTGAACCAGGCCAAATTCGTCACCATGCTGAAGTGATAGATGCTGATTTTGTTTTTTTCGTCATGTAACTTGATAACGGCTGCACTGAGCATGGCGATTCCCGTCACAAGTTGCATATCCGCGAGCGACAAGACAAAGGAGAAGATGGTGGCCTCGATCTTGTCCATGCGGGTCTTTATGCATTGCGCCTTGGTTATGAAGTCGACGAACGGATTGCAAAACGTCCGTCGCGCCCAGCCATCAATGGGGTTGAAGCTGTCTTCAGGCTCAAGACCAGAACGAATGATGAGAAGATAAAGACATGTAGAAACAATGGCTAGGGCTGAAGAAGTCATAAATGAACTAATGACCTGTTTTATGTGTTAGTCTTTCCTCGAATAAGGGCCAAACGAGTCGCTTACCCCGATGCCAGCAATGTCTGGGTCCGGTTCAGGACAAGTGCATTCGCAAGAGCCCCAGAATCGAAGTTCTGGCGGGGGAGTGCAGTTTCGAGCCATTCTTGGGCATGGTTGAAACGGCTTCAGTTTCTTCAGCAGTCAGACTGGGTCGCCTTAAGTAGATAGATGGTGGGAACACGTTGACAAGTTATTGCCACACAACAACCGCCACCAGGTGTTCAGCATAAAAGATTTCCACGTCAGTGAGAGGCGCAGGCTTCCGTGGCGCTGAAAGTCAGCAGGCAGTCGCCCGCTCTCTAAAGTAAACTGAAGAGTTGATTGGGTTTACGGTGTTTTGTAGTCTTGGGTTCTAATGTTGCCGTGTCTCTCAGTGTGTTTTCTGATCATATGTCTGACAAGTGCGTCATTGAAAAAGTAGGAAGAGGTGATTGGAAGCCTGATCTTTGCCAAGACACGGAATCCGAATCCAGCCCGTTTTCAGCCCCTGCACCGTAGGACATCACTCATGCGGGCTGAAAATGAGGCCCTGATTTATCACGCGACTTAAGCCAGTGGCCAGGTAGCTTTAGCGAGAGGCCTCTGACTGAAACTAGGAGTCTAGCGCAAATGGGAACTGCGTTTGCCAGACTAAGCCAGCTGGATGTCATTCAAGTTTTCTCTGGTCTCAGCCTCAGACATTAGACCTACCATGAAGATGGTTCATGAGTCATTTGTGAGGTTGAGATATTGCTGTCGATCTTAGTAACGCCTCACGCCGTAACTGAGAGTACGTCTAGTCACACGCAGCGTGGTATCCAATCGAGACACTTGGCGAAGCTCCAGCTAATCTTGGTCTTCCAAGCCTTGCTAGCCTGAAAGTATGCCTTGAACTATATCCCTTAGTGGCTGTATTCTTTCACTGAACTTGAAGGATCACAAAGACGGCCCGCACATCTGTTCCAATAACCTCCAGCTTGTCACCGAGGAGCTTCACTTCTCCGCCCTTATCAAGCGCTTTCACTTTGTCCTTGTACCCACTCTTCTGCCAAACCGATTCTCTCACTGTTGCCACAATAAACCCGCCCGGCTTAACCACCCTGACAAACTCGTCAAAAGCGCCGGGTCCGACATGGCCTTGGGTCAATGTCCCAACACAGACCACAACGTCGTACGACTGGTTAGGTATCTTGAGGGTTTGCGATAGGTCCGCCACGTTCAGGGAGCGATATACACCGGTTCGATGGGCAACTTGAAGCATGCCAGGACTGAGATCGATGCCGTCGAGATGTGTCGCACCACGCTTGCCGAGATGTTGGCCGACGAGCCCTATACCGCATCCAGCATCCAAGATGGTCGCACTCTTGATATTCTAAGAGCCCACGTGCTTGAGGACATAGTCACTGGCAATCTCGGGCGCTGTGTACTCTTCCTTGCTGATATCTTCGTTGTAACTCTCGGCCCAGCTCTCGTAGGTAGCCAAGGTCTCGGCGACGCTAGAGGAATTCAGAGAACGTGCGAGGTTGGCCATCTGGGCGCAGAAGGTGTTTTAGAGGTACCGGGACGAGATAAAGAGGTTTAGATCAGGTCTGAGTCTGACCATTGAGGCTGGAATTGACATGAATGACGAAGGGAAGATGACGTAGTGGGGTAATGGGGTGGAATATGCAGGACCGGAAGCTGTTCCGATGCTGATCTTTCTTTTGTAACCTCGGCAACTCATCTCAAAGTAAAGGTACGAGAAGACTGTAGGATAGATTCAAAGGTTGATTTATTATGGTTAGTTCAGGAATTATTCTTGCTGACCCGCTCTCAGTTGCGCACTTACCTACAGTCTCGAAGTTGTCGAAATACCCAGCCAGAGGAGGCTGTACTACCCGGGACAATCCCCAGCACCGCCAGCAATCGAGTACAATTTTCTCGAATGTGGCCTGTGATATATTGCTAGCTCCGAGTCATATCTGCTCATCTGTAAGATGCTGGTGGCCACTATGAAGTGGTTGGTTGCGTCTTAATCCTGGCCGCCAGATCAACAAGGGCGATAACATCCCAACAACAATTTCTGGAAGTCGGACTCATGTAGCGGGCAGTGATGAAGATGGTAATCCATGTCAAGTGTGTACATTAACACTAAGAATAGCTATAACATATATTCAGTTCTGTCTGCCTAAACAACTGCTGATCAAGCACTTGCTTGCTTGAACTCAACAGAATCGAACTAAGCTTGCGCAGGGCTAGGGCAGTCAAAGCCGGCGGCGAGATAAAGGCTGCCAGTGTCGTGTTGCTGTTGGGTGTACTGGCAGACTCCAGGTATCTGCCGCCACTGCCCTGACGTTTGAGACAATTGTAATGCCTGGTACGAGCTGACAAGATCCGCGCGCCAAAGGTAGTAAAGGTGTAGGTGAGCTCCCATGGCTCCACCGACACAGGTGACGCGTCAAATCCAGGGTTGACGATATATGTAGTTTCTGGGGGATATTGGCTCGTGGTGGAGGGGGAAGGCTCAGCAGTAGTAGCCTCGGCGGTAGAAATGGCGGTAGTTACGGTGATAAACTCGGAAGAGGACGCGGTAGAAGAATCGGTGATAGATACAGTGGCAGGTGTTTTGACGGACTCAGTCGCAGACAGAGTAGTGGACTCGGTGGAAGAAACCTCAGTTCTGACAGTGCTGGACTCGGTCGAGGATTCGGAAGCCTCTGTTTACGTCTCTGAGGCCGAGGTTTCAGTCGTCAAGGAAGAAATAGTCGCACTCAATGTCGCGGTCGAGCTCGAAACTGTCAAACTCTCGGTTGAGCTGGACTGGGGCCTGCACGGACTGGCATTTGACCCCGACAGCATCAAAACTGCCATACAGGCAGTGACGAATGCTTGGGAAACCATAGGGAGCGTAAAAGAATGTATGTGGTGGAATAAGGAGAAAAGAGCGTGTGCAGCCATACGGGGGACAGTTGAAGTTTTGAGAAGGTAGGTTATACCTATGCCGATTCTCCATTGCGCTAGAGGAGGCAGCGCGATCGCTTCCATGAAATCAACAGGCTGATTGACCGCGCCAGGGCTGTCAAGAGTTGACTATTTGGTACGTCCAGGTCTAATGCCAATAGTTCAGCCATTTTTATTAGTCTCCTGTCAAGGTCCGCTGTACACTTGAGTAAATGACCACACTGTCTTGTAGTTTTTCTGGTGTCGGGTACATCAGACCTTAACATTTTCCGTACCTGCATAGCACTAACCAAGCCAACAAAACGTGGCTCACCCAGAAATGACCTCAGGGGAACGATTCAACCGGCCGATTCAGCCACCGCTGTCACTAAAGATGACTTCCCAGACAAAAACCAAAATCACAGCGCATGATAAATTGTCAAAACCAAAGATAACTCAAATAAAAAGCCCATGGATGGAGGTGAGCAACGTCCAAGTCAAGATAAGAACCTTGAATCAAAGCTTAGACCAGAGCGAAGAAATCGCAAGGAAGCAGGAACCGTTAAGGGAGAAGGATATAAAGATCAGGAATATCGAACTATAAGTGCGGTAGAAGCAGGCGAATTCGCAAAGAGGGAAGACTATGTAGAGAGAAAGGAGAAAGAATTAGCCAAATTGAAGGCAGGAATTAAAGATCCAGACAGTGAAAAATTCAATTGGATCAAGCATCAACACGAAGAGGAAAAGGAAAGACGGGAGAAGCTCAGGAAGAAGATAGTTCAAGAAAATGAAAAATAATCGGCCTGACCCTTCAACTGCAACAATTGGGGGACGAAATTCGAAAGGGAGAGGAATCAAAGGGAAAGCCTATATTCAAGGGAACGCAGCAGGTACAGGCTCGGCACAAAGAGAAGGAGGATCAGTCCTCTATAACGAACGGTTCAAAGTTGAAAATTAAGGGGGAAAACGGAGCTTCGATGAATAAGAATCAAGTCTGATAAAATCGAGACTAGGGGAAGAGAGATTGAGTCTAAGGAAGAAAATGTGCAGAGTCAAGATGCTATGGGGGTGCCTCCCGAGAGGGCCGGCGGTTGGGTAGTCAGGCAGCTCAGCAGAGATCCCAATAGAAATTAGGAATTGAAACCGAGCAGAAATGAAAGTCTGCGGGCCTTGGCGGGCTGCCGTCGCACTCAAGTCCGAGAACCCCAGGTCCGAAGGAAGCGGCATTTCTTGTCCCTTGCTAGCTCAGCCCGAAGCACGGCATGGCATGCATAATAACCCACTCTTAGTACCTATCCGTCGATATCGTCGCATCGGATTCCTCGGCAGTCCGTATTCTCGGTCCGTCGGTCTTCGTAATTACTTTAAATAAAAGAAGTCAGATGCTGACAGGGTGTGGTTTCAGGAGCTGAGCCCCTGGGCTGAGTAAGATGTCGATCCTTTGTCAGTCCGAACACGCCAATCAGATAAGATTCTTCTACGGCGGTGCAGTCACTGCCTCGATCGTCAGTGTTAATTAAGGTTTTACCCAATAGAAGATGTCTATGTTGGTTCTCCAGCGATGCGTTGTCAAGCCGCACCCTTGTTTATAGTGATCCTGCAATCATAGGGCTATCACCAGATGTAACAGAACTTTGCCAGATAGAAAAGTATAAAAGCAAGCCTTCCAATTCCAATCTGTCTACCTTTTACTCACAGTACAAGCACATCTAGACGCTCAGTTGCAAGACTCTTACACGTTTTACCTCTTTCACCAACCCTGATAATTCCATCACCATCCCCAACACCGTCAACATGGTCAACTACCTCACTTCCGTTGCTCTTCTTCTCACTCTCGCTACCTCGACTCTTGCTGTTCCTCAAGGCCTCGAAGCGCGTGCTCCGAGCTGTATGGACAACCTCCCTGGAAACACACTGGCCAATGTACGTCTGCATTACAAAAACTCATTCACAATCACTGACCCTCGGACAGATCAATGAAGCAGTAGAGTGCATCAACTACCTCGCCAGTCTGGGCAACCAGGCATGCACGGCTGGCGTCGGCGGCCAATCCTTCTGCAGACGCGGAAACACCCAAATTACTGGCATTGCTGTTGGCCTTCCCAGTGACCGAACTGCTACCTCGCCTTGGTGAGTCGAAGGCGCCCCTCATTTGCAGACGATTTGTGGTGGGCCACTGCTAACTTCTTCAATAGCCAGGCTGTCGCTCGGGGTGCTGGATTGGTCATGGACAGGTGCTCCAGGGCCGATGGCAAGGTCAGGGGCCAGAACCCTGCTTGGGGTAATGGAAACCTAATGGTTGATATCCGCACGGTTCCTCAGTAGGGGAGGAGTATTCTATCCTGAATACTGTGTTTCAAGACCTACGATGGCGTCTATTGGCTCTTCACATATATTCCTGTGTTTTTCTATTCTCTTGGAGCTGCTCAAGCCCCATCTTCCACTTTTTTTATTCAATACTTGCTAGATAGTTCAAATTAGACCGAGCCGATCCAACTTCGTCCACTACTGGTACAGTCAACAGTGATGAGTATATAAAGGCTTCCAATGTCTACCTACGGTTGGTCGTACGTGCAGGTCGTTGACATGCGTTGCCACTACTCAGTTTGGGCCACTTGCACCGCTACCGCGCCAACTTGAGCTTTCGTTTGGTAGATACATAACATCCTGCCCGACCTTGCACAATTCATCAGGTAATCAGTACCTGGAAGTCTTTTGGATCTACGGAGTTCTCAAGTTACTATTAAGCGACGCTTGACCCACCAGTCAGTCGGTTGAGGAAGAAGTAAGCGTAGAGGTCCCATTTCTACAGCTTATGCACGCTGCTATCCTTCGTCCATCGCCGGAACGTCTTTCCGTAGAAATAAAACATAACACCAAAGAGACACCACACTACAGTAAGAGCCATGTTTACCATAAAGGCGTTGATGAAGCTGCGGAACGACACGTTAGTTCATATTGGCGATGACTAGGTAGTTAGAGGAGGGATGCTTACCCATCGGCTTCTGTCCAAGGCGTAATAAACTTGCCCATACCGTACCCCCAAAGATTCTTGTTAACAGTTATGGCGACAAAAAGTGATCCTGCAACGGGCTTGTAACTATCAATGGCGTACGTGCTGCTGATGCTCGGGAGTGCCGCAACTTGGATGCCCGCTGTGGAATAACCCAGCACGACGATGACCTGCCATGGCCATTTGTACTGGTACCCAATAGCCGTGATAATGTGACCAAAGGCCATGATCAGAACATAGGGTATCATGGCTGGCAGGCGCATTTCAGGTTCCCGGATACCATTGTTTCGAGCCGTAGCTCGAGAAGAAACCCAGTCACTGAATGGGCCAGCCGTCGCGAGGCCTATCAAAGCCCCAACAAAGAGCGAGAAGTTAGTAAAACCTGCCCGCCCTGTTAGCATAGGCCTCATATTGCATTTCGTCAAGTAGACTTACCAATGTTTTGCGAGCTCATGTTGTAAGGAGGCGCTGAAAAGACCTGTGTCTGGGTCAAGTTGAGAATCAAGATGAAGCTACAGCTCCAGCTGACGACAAAAGACGCAAAGAGCACAATCGGAAAGGTAAACAGCTTCCAAGGAATCCAGACTTCGTAGAGGACGGATCGAAAGGTGGATGCATTCGGCTGAAACAGCTTCCACTGCTGTCGGCTCGGCTTCCCCTTTCCAAGACAAGGGTCCCTGTCGGCATTGAACTCGCTTCTATTGCATCCGTCTTCGGCCTCTTGCTTCTCCTGATGCTCAACTTCTAGGACTTTGGAGGAGGTCTCGGGTGGGATGGACTGGCCCTCAGTGGTTTCATCACGGCTGAACATGGTCTCGGGGAAGCCAAGGATAATTGTGATGAGAGATGCGGCCGTCATGGCGGCGTTGAGCCACCAGAAGGAGGGCCAGCCAGTGTGGTCAGCCATGGCGCCGGCGATGATGGGTGCGACCTGGAAATGTTAGGTTACGGAAAGCTGCGGCATTTTGGCGGGACATACGATCAAAGCTCCAGTATAGAGAACCCAATACATAGTGTTCCACTTGCCGCGGTCATGGAGGAAGAAGATGTCTGCGATGACACTCGGCTGAATGGTCTCTCCGGGGCCTGCACCAATACCGCTTACACTAAAATGCCGTTTAGTAGTTGAGCTTCGATATCGTCGTACTCAAACTTACATAGCAGCACCCATGAATCCGTTATATGTTGTAGCCTTCGCTCGCCAGATATGAGACGCAAGACAAACGATCTGAGAGAAGATCAAGACAGGGCGTCTGCCAAAGGACGTGGAAATCGGGACCCTGTCAGATCATTCATCAGTAAGTACCAGCCAAAGATGCCAGCTCTCTCCCGCTATGTCCACTTACCAGAAGAAGTTGCTAAAGCCAAGTACCAAGATGGTCACACCAGTAAACTGAATGACGTTGGTCAAGGAAGTATTGTAGTCTTCCATCAGATAGCCAAACATGGGCCCGAGAGCCAGCGGCGCGAAGCCCTGTGTGAAGCTCATGGTCGACACGGCAACAAGAGCAGAGACCTTCCAACGCGTGCTCCAGTTGAGGGGGTCGTGAGGCGAGCTAGAGGGCTGGGGGACGAGCACACGGTGGGATTTGTCCTCGCTCTTGACGAAGTGATGGCTTCCGATGTCTGCCATGATCTCGGTGCCGGGGAGGATCTCGATGTCGAGCTCATTCTGGATCTGCTCCAACTCCTGAAGAGGGTTAATGGGAGCTTGCTGAGGGTGTTTTGGAGCTGGTTCAACATACCGCCTGGCGGGAGTCCGTCGCCATGGTAGTGGTTGCGGGATGACCGACAGCTTTGTGATGGGATCGTTGAATGGGGCAATACACCTCAGCGAGCTGCATGAACGGGAACAAGAAGATTGAGACACGGTATGGATAGCCTCTTATATTTGATTGTTCTCTAATGAATAAGATCTCGGTGCAACTTCTGGCGTATTACCACGAGTCATGCTTCGGTGACGCTACTCGGAACGCTTCCGAGGGTACCCAAGTATATCGTCTCGCGATTACTATCGCCGCAACCCCAAACGTCCAAGCCAAGTGAAATCAACGATACATCACTCCCTATCTTCCCTGACGCTCGAGCCCCTTGCGCTGGACCGAAGTGCCCCACCAGTTGAGCCAAGGCCAATCATGGCACGATCGGATATTCGGATGTCCGGATATGAGCTCAGAACCTCCACATCCCCGGATTAACCCCAGACTGTTCCCCGGAATCTACACTTCCCCGCTCTCGATCCTAAGCTGAAGTGACGAGGCGCAGGTCTAGATTGTATTTGCTGAGGTGTTATTTGTCAGTGAGTTGCGGGCGTCGAGGGGTTGAGGGTCGGAAAGCCGTTCCGCGATACCGAGCAGGTCAGTCGGTTTTAGATCTGGATAGCGTGACTGGTGGCATGCGACGTGAGTTCTACCTGAGAACTGATGAACGCCATGTACATATAAGCCCATCTACGAGCTCGTCGTTTGGATTCACTTCAGCCAAGCCCTTGTACACATCCAAGTCTCTGTTCAGTGCCATATTATCGGTCTTATTTCACAAGTTCCTACACCATGACATCACCCACCAACATCGCCACAGAGGCGCTTGTCACCGAGAAACCGGGTGACAAGTTTGAGATGAAGCCTATCATTCTAGATGAGGTCCGGGGAGACGAAGTGCTTGTCGAGATGAAGTATTCCGGTATTTGCCACACAGTATGCCATTCTTTGCTACCCCCCTGCCAACTCAGGCAACTTACTCTGCTCAGGATGTTCTTCTACAGAACGGCCTTATTCCTGGAGTCGAATACCCTGCCATCTTTGGCCATGAAGGCGCGGGTATTATCCGTGCCCTTGGCAGCGACATCAAGGACAAGTCCCTCCAAGTCGGCGACCATGTCCTCCTCTCCTTCAACGTCTGCGGCAAGTGCAAGAAGTGCGTTGCGGGCAAACCATCCTTCTGCCACATCCACTCCCCTGTGAATGTTGGTTCAGTTCGCCTCTCTGACGGCTCGACTCCCGCTCGGCTTGAGGACGGCCGGTCTGTGCGGAGTCAGTTCTTTGGCCACTCTTCCTTCGCGAGGGTGTCGGTCGTGGCCGAGAGAAGCGTTGTCAAGTGCCCATACCCCGAATCTCTGCCATACTACGCCCCTCTGGGCTGCGGCTTTCAGACAGGAGCCGGCACGGTACTCAACGCGCTCAAGCCGGACAAGACCCAGACAGTAGTCATCTTTGGCATGGGGAGCGTCGGTATCGCTGCTCTTATGGCTGCGGCGTACCTTCAGGTCAAGCAGCTTGTGGCGGTGGATGTTGTGGATGATAAGCTGGCCAATGCCAAGGAGTTCGGTGCTACGCATGTCGTGAACTCAAGGACATGTGGCGAGGGCGGCATCGAGGCCAAGATCAGAGAGATTACAGATGGCGGAGCCGACTTTGCTATTGACTGCACAGGCTTGATCCCCGTTATCGAGTCACTATTCGGCTGTCTTGCACCAGGAGGTACGGCGACTAGTGTTGGTGTGCCACCACCTAATGCCGTTGTCAGAATCGAACCCCAGACGTTTCTGCTTGAGAATAAGCGATATGTTGGTGTTGTTGAAGGTGGTTCAAATCCCCAAAAGGTGAGCATTTGACAAACTCCAGTCAGGCCGGCTAGTCCCTAACATGCAGATAGTTCATTCCCGAGTTGATGGAGCTTCATCGACAAGGCCATTTCCCAGTCGAGAAACTATGTACTGTTTACTCGATCAAGGACTTTGAGAAGGCATTGGCCGATATGCGCGGGGGCAAGGTAAGTTGCCAAATCCATTGTGTTATCTGGCAGATACTGATGTTCTGCATGAACAGGTCGTGAAGCCGATTATTCACTGGGATTGAGATTAAGTTCTTTACGGTAGCGGCGAACTATGAGTAGAAATTAGACATAGATTTAACAAGTGTCTTGTTACATGTTCCCAAGGCGTCATACGATATGGCCGACCAGTTCTGCATCAACCACTCTGTAGCTTATGGCACCTTTGGCGGCGCAGCACAAGGCAAATGTGGCGTAGAATGCCTTACTCGGTTGTCCAATCCAATGCCTGTAAGCTTGACACCCTCTTGGAATATCCGGTGAGGGCCTCAGGCAAGGTGGCGTTGAGCATCCAATGAGCACCTCTGGCAGATGTACCAAGGGTTTCATATCTCTCACTCAGCCAGTGATAAAATGCAATTCGATGCAACTGATCATATGAGTACTCTCACACTGGCTGCCTTGCAGCTGTTGCCTTCTGTCCCCGCTTCGTAAATCACAATTCCACGCGGCTGTCTTTGTTCCAAATTCCAGTTTCTTTGCCTTATTTATTTAGGCCATTATCTCGCCCCTCTTCAAGTCATACAAGCTAGCAGACGGCAGTCAGTCAAAATGTCAATCCAAGTCACGACCGCCCCCGGTGCCCTAGTCGCCTTGGGCCTGGGTGTCAGTGATGTTTCCACCCTTGTTGCCCTCGGCAGGAGAGTGGGAAACTGGTGGACTGCTGCAGACGGCGACAAGGAGTTTCTTTCCCTTCTTGAAGAAGACGCGTCAAGCATCCTCCAGCGTCGTGGGCTTCTCGATGTCCCATCCTTCAACAAGCGATGGAGCAAGCAGATTCAACTCCTTGCAAACGGTTGCCCCTTGCGACTGGAGGACCGTGACATTGAACAGGTTCTCAAAGACAGCAAAGCTCTCTTGCAGGTTAGCTTAACCGGTTTCCGCTTGCAATTCCTCATGCTGACGGGATAGGACTTGTCCCTTTTTACCAGCGTCATGACTTGTCTGGTCGCTGTGTTGGAACAGTTTGTCAAACAAGACCTTGTGAGAGACATTGTATACAACATACTCAAGTCTCTCTTAAAGCTTCACGAAAACGGAGAGGACATTCTCCGATCTCAGTACTCGTCTCGTCTCAACGCCTGGAGATCCACAGCCGTCCTGCGTGGCCTCAATCTAGCTGCGGACAAGTACCGTCAAGAGTTGGTTCGCAATGGCCATGTCATGAGCGGACTGTTGCCCAGGACAGAATCAAGACATGTTGAAGATTTCTTAACCTGGCTGCTCGGCTCTCACGAACCGTTCTTCAAGACTCCCTCATCTGACGTTGCTGGGATAGCCATTTGTTTATCCCAGCTAGGGATCGACATCATCGATGTCCAATTGGCCGAGTCCTTAGAAACAAGCCAACGCCCATGCACAGTCATTTACTCACCACAACCATTTCTTCACTCCATAACAACTCCAGAAGGCACAAGAGCCATTGTGGAGAGAGATGCCTCAATCACAGTTCCTCTCGAGTATCCGGAGGAGGCTGTGAGCGTTTTCCCCATTGGACATGACGCTCAAAACCGGTGCAGAATCGCTTGGAAAGAGGGGCGGAAAGCGGCAAAGGCCATTCGAATATCCGTTCAAGGGGCACGAACCAGTGGCAACATGTACCAGGAATATTACCAGTCTGCCAGAGGCCAACGCCCCTGGGAGGTCTCAGGCAGCTTGACGGCCCGACTAGAAGGATCCAAGCTAGTCTATGTCCTAACAGACTCTGGAACGCCTGCTGGAAGAGCTTCTGATGAGCTTTACCGTCTGGTGTTAGATTTCGGGTTCATTTCGAATCAAGAAATCGTAACGGGGCTTGAAAACTGCCTTGGAAACACCTTGACGAGCGTTCTATCGTGGCTCTCGACTACCACGAGCTCAGGCGAGTTTCATCTCGGCTCAGATATTTCTGATGCAGAGATGATTGATACACAGAAGGTGGACGCATTCTGCATCTTCCAGTCATTCATCATGGGATACTACTATGACATCTTTGGAAGACTTGTAGACACCTCCTCGTTGGCATCCCAAACAGTGGAAGGCTCCTGGGGTTTTCGATCAGCCGACTTTTTGAGGTACATGCGCTCTCATTCACTACGTACAATGCCCCCAGATTCGCCACGTATGCGGTCGTTCGGACAGGCGAGGCTTCTTCCTTTACTTTCCATGCTCTTCGTGGGTGGACATGCCACCGGCTACGATCCAGAGAAGGCAGAGGAAAGGTTTAGAAATGTAGACTGTTTGGGCATCATCGGGAAGCGCACTTTGATTGCCAACAGTCTACTGGGTAAATGTTCTTCTCCGCAACAAATCGGTTGCTTTACCCTTCTCGACGTTGACGTTGGCGGTATACCAAGAGACTTCAACGGATTAATCAAGCCGGGAGTCTTGTCCTCCGAGGTTCCCCTTGTGGATTGTCTTGACGATGGCTACGAGGAATTTGATATCCCCGAATCATCTCCACCGGATGATGTCACTTTCCATATCGAGGCGGATTGGGAAGCAAACCCAGACACGGTGTTGCTCTGTGTCAGATACAGAGGCCGTCGACTTGCAGCAATCTCCCCCATCCCCGCAGACTATCTCTTCTGCGACGCTTATGTGCCGCCAGAGGTTGGACCGCGACAAAGTGCCACCAGGAGCCGGCTCTATCAGGGTGTGGAGGCTGATATATCAGCCCTCTTGCGAGACCCCCCAGTTCTGCCATACTCGTACCGCCCTGAAGTCCCTGTCCTTTTTCAGGCGCTCAATCGCCCCGGCCTGCGCTACGCTGCCACTGCATTGTATGGGAGAAGATCGGATGTCAAAGTGGCAACAGATTGCGTCGAGAGGGCGAGAAATGCAGCAGCTGGGGCGTTTGGGGCCGGTGAGGTTGGGTTTGTAATTGTTGGTGGCTTGACGGGAACGGCGATGGGAGACGCCCCGATGGAGAGAGCCGATGTCCAGATTCTGCTCTATGAGATTCCAGTGAAGAACTAGGAGGCTACACTTGTAGTATGAGGGCACCCATAGCTGCTAGCCGTTGATGTTTTCATGCTCCTTTTAACACATTAAATTTGGCGGAAACACTCCTCTTGTCATACAGCCATAGGGTGTATCAACCACGCGCACAATGCAAAACTATCGTCCGGCCTGTGTCAAGCCCGGCACAAGAAAACAGCCACCTCCGTGCTCTGTACTTCAGGCGTCGGGCTATCGGCCGCCTAATGACGCCTGGTAATCAAACTCCAGAAGTAGCGATTGCGTGATCATGATACTCCGTCGTACGCGGCTTGTCCAACTGCAGGATACCAATCGGGAGTCGCGATGTGGTAGGGTGTTCCAGCCGATCCAACCGACCCAGCCGATGGTGGTGATGGCCTCACTGTTGTTGTAGTTGCACAGACGCCAGTTTCGAGTAACATCACATTCCCAGCCAGTAAAACTCTTTGGAATTACAGCGTCACAATGCATTGACCCTTTGAACCAAATATTTTACTGTTCTTACTCTCTGACTACCTTCCACTCTCAGCAACACAGCTCATCCAGCCGAGAGTGCGCGTTCCAGCCGATCCAACCGGCCACCACTCCAACCACTCGAAGGCAAGATGAAGCAACAACAATACGGAATTCAAAGGATGCATTCGGATCACGCAATAGCGGAGATTTGCACTCTTAAGGTCTACCATCAGATTTCCTAGAAGGATAAATAGGCCTCGCTCCCACCCTCATAATGTCTTGAGTAGACGAGTTGATAACTTACCATCCCATTCTCTACTCAAAAGTCTATTCATAACAGTATCATCATTCGCAATAATCATCATGGTTCCTGGACTTGTCGATGACACTTCCTCCTGGGTTGCACCCGGGAAAGTCAACAAGGATATCTTCCCAGACGGCTTCAAGACATCGGGTCAACATGAGCCTCTCTACTCCTGCATCCAGCCCTTTGACAAGTTCCCCAAGGAAATCACGGGCCCAACAGCTTGGAAGGCCGAACATTACAAGGAGAACCCCGAGAAGTGGACGCACTCGTTCACGGAGGAAGAGATTGCCGAGATTGGAGGTGCAGCTGATAACTTCATCCAATCTAGTGTGCCTCTGACGGGCATCACCAAGGTAAGCGAATCAAAACTTATCAAGGGATAAATACTGACATCTGTAGGACCTCTTCAAGCTTCCCAAGCTGGCTGCCTTTATGGCAAAGCTTCGCAAGAGACTGATTGACGGTGAGGGTTTCTGGCTGTTCAAGAACCTGCCCGTCCAGCAATGGGGTTTGCAGAAGTCAGCTACTGCATACATGGGTTTGGGTACTCATTTGGGCTACTTTGTCAGTCAAAACAGCCGTGGACACGTCCTCGGTCACGTCAAGGACCTCGGCGAGGATCCCACTCGAACCGACAAGGTTCGCATCTACCGGACCAACGCTAGACAGTTCTTCCACACCGACTCTGGAGACATTGTTGGCCTTTTGTGCATGGCCAAGTCCATGGAGGGCGGAGAATCAGATATCTGCTCCCAGCACCGCGTCTTCAACTGTCTGCAGCGTGAGAATCCCGATGTGGCCAAGCTCTTCTGTGAGCCCATCTGGTATGCAGACAGGAAGGGTGAGGTGTCAGATGGCCAGAAGCCTTGGATGCGTACTGCCGTCTTCTACCTTGAGAACGACCCCAATGGAACTCCACGCGTGTACGGCAAGTTTGATCCCAACAATGTCACATCACTGTGGCGATTCAACACCGGTCCGGACGCAAAGATTCCTCCTCTGTCAGAGGCCCAACTGCATGCTATGAAGGTACTGGAGGACACATGCAAGCGAGAGGCACTCCACATGATCCTTGACCCCGGTGACATCCAGTTCGTCAGCAACCAGCATGTGTTCCATGCTCGCACTGCGTACACGGACTACGCACCAGGTGCAAAGGATGAGAACGGAAACTTGAGGCCTCAGAGACATCTCATGCGGCTTTGGCTGTCCGTGCCTGTGGATGAGGGCGGATGGAAGCTGCCGTTCCCCGACATGCATGAGAAGAAGCGCGGTGGAATTCAGGTCAATGACAACCCTCCAAAGTGCCCTCTTGATGCGGAGTAGGCTTGGGGTGGACAGAATGGGTGACGGAACGAGTGCTAGCAAGCCATTGTGACAAAATTGTGTATTTTCAAAGTGTTTGATAATTTAAATTGCCATGCCATATGAAGCACCTTATGAGCTTGTTAATCCGAGTGATCTCTACTCTTGTCATAAACCCGCCTGCGGCATCCCTATCCATGATATTGGTCCATCACCAACCGTCCCTGAATCGAGGAGCATCTCTGCAAGTTGCCAGTCCTGGGCTATATCAGGAGCAAAGAAAAGATCCAAGTTTTGCTCAAATCCATGAAGATCTTGATCCAGTTGAGGAGGCTGCAGCGACACCTCCTCGGGTGGAACTGGGCTCTTGCGCACAGATACTACAGGAGCGTGGCCCTCGGGGATCTCGTTACGCGCCATACGGAAAATGGAAAGTGGATGGAGATCGGAGTCAGCTGCTCTCTGGGAGGGCGCCTCCACGCCATTCTGCGTGTCTCGGCTCGGGAAGGCCAAGTACGGATCGTCTAGGATGACACTTGGTAGGGGAAGAATATTGTTGGAGTCAACGCCTAACTTCTGAAGCATGCTCTCGGCTCCGCGGGACTATCACGCAAAGATTAGCACACTCCTCACACATGGGGTTGACCACTCACGAGGCTATCCGCCATGGCGTTGGTGGCACGCATCGTCTTAAGAGCCTTGAGGTTGCTCTGCAAGTATGGAATGGTGCTCAACACCAACTCTCGCTTGTCAAGGGCCATGGGATCTGTGACTTGAGTCAGGTAGTAGAGCATGACTCTATTGCTCTCGTAGGCAATCGTGGGGAACCACGTGTCGCCGATTATTCGAGGGCCATGTTGCTCTGCTTCCGCGACAATCGCGGCCAACGTACGAGCCACCTTGAACAATGCGTATTGCAAGTGGCGTTGGAAGTCATGTTGTTCCGGCGGGAAATGGAATGCGGATCGTAGCTTGAATAGTTCGGGGGTTCCAATGCGATAAAAGTCCAGCATGGTCTGATGGTAGGTGCAGTGAAAGAAACATAAAGCCCCAAGTTGTGATGACTCCTTGCGGAGGTAGATAGTTGAAGCCGTGAACTGAAGACTTGGCGGAAGGGACGTGTACCAGGCCTGTAATTCTCGATCCAGTTGTGCAAACTCCGAGTCTGGAAGCCATGGCGGCTTGGCTTGATCAAGGTGCTTGATGTACCATAGAACTCGCCGTCGTATCTCAAGGTGCTGGATGAGGTAACCCAACATACCCATGTTGCTGTCTATGTCAACTGGTATCTTATCAGGAGGGATGAAGTCGAGAGGTGAGCCGCTGAGTGTTCTTGTGATACATGGTCGTTCATGGAGAAAATTCCGCTCATGACACGGCAGCTGAATCCCGATGTGTTTCTCGAATACCAAGGTCAGCTGCTCGACACCGTTGCTGCAGAGAACGTCTGTGACATAGCAACTCCACATCAGGCGTCTTCGACACTCTCTAGCTGTTGTCGAGAGAGTGGCGTTGGGTGACTGGTTGAAAATGTCTGAGGAAAACTCCAGGTTCAGTTGCAGAGCTTGAGTCATTCTCGCCATCAAGGCGCTCAATACAAAGGCTTGGGTGAAGTTGGCCATGCGAAGAGCGTAGTCGTAAAGAAGTTGGGCAGTCTAGGAGAGTAAGCTAGTGGCCGAAAGCATCGGTGTATCCCCATACCATCAATCCATCAACCGAGATCTGATGCGTGTTTCCAAGGAGTAGACGCTCGGCTGTCGCAGCCCATTGCGAACCGGCTTTCAGAACAACTGATGTCGGTAGTTCTTGGACTGTATCACTGTACTCGAGCGCAAAGAATCTGAAGTTGGTGTGAGCAATTATGTATCGAAAGAGAATAGTTGAACACTTACAGCGCTCCTATAGTACACATAATGTGTAACAGGGCATCCTCTCGCAGATCAGAGTCTAACCTGTCGTTTAACTTCTGCATGAAGGATGGCTTGTGAATAAACGCGTAACATCGAAGTGGATGGAAATTTTGGAAATAGTTCTCAACTAGAACTTTGATATGCTTCCCATCAGGTAGCTCTGAAGAACTTAGCCTTGGAACTGTCAGTATGGTATCATTCATAAGGTGGATAGGGATGGCACCAGTCCAATTGAGCATTTGTCTCGTTGACCAGAGGAGACAGTATAGGGCCCCGATGGATAGAGTCGACGATATTAGCTCTGCTCCTAGAGATCGTTAGGCTACTTTCTTGACCTGACTGAGGTTGCCCATGTTGATTTGTGATGTCTTGATAAGAACATCGGATCTTGTTCTCACGACACCTCTGACATGAGGGCTGATCCGCAGAACTCCCCGAGCACCTGCATCTAGCAACTCGACAGTCGTTGCAAGATCTCCGATTTCGTTTCGTAGCTGCTCTTTTAGGTGCTGGCTGCGATTCAGAATAAGTACATTCGAGATGTAAGCTTTCGCAGTTGGCACACGTGTCTTGACGCTCATCACATTTGACCTGTTTGGCATCAGTGAAGGAAATCAATGAGATGTAAACAGTGTCTAACCTTGCGCGCCTTGCATGTATTGCAACCTAACAAGTATAAGTGAGTTTTCTTCTTTGTTAAGCTGCTTCTTTGGTTTGGTTTGCTTCATCTCCCCTCATGCAATTTCACTCACCAAACCTGGAACGCTTCTTCAGTTGTCGCGTCTCGCTAGACGCGTTGACTCTTTGTCGCTGAAGAGGCATCCTTCCTTGATTTATCGCTCCTATCAGATGGCATTCGCGCTGTCCGTTTGGCGCGGTTGTGCTCTTCAGAGACCTACGAAATGATGCGGGATTTAGGATGACGCTCATTCAGTTGCATATGACGTCATCGTTCCGGGAAGAGACGATTCTCATGTGAGACGTGAGAAGCGTAAACTTTCATGTGTCATCTCCTTACTTGGCCGGATTATACACCAAAGACACCTCAGGGATGAAATCGATTTTGTAAGTCTTACTTAGACAACTTAGAGAATGAACATCATTCAGCCGAAACCCCCTTGCTCCTCCGCTCCATCTCATCCATCAACGCCTTGTACTCTTTGTTATCCTCTCCCAATCCTAAATGCTCAGCATTCAGAACATCATTGTCCATAACCATTCCATATTTCTCATCAATCTCAACGTAGGGCCAGATGATATCTTCGTCCTCTGCCACCATCCTCCGCAGCCGAGCAATGCCCTCCTCTTCATCCTCAGGAGGCTTCCAATCTTCACCTTCATCAGCATAGTTCTCTTCCTCGGTCAATGGAGGAGATTTGGGATACTGATAGGTCACACGGATAGGCTTTTCTCCCGTCTCTCTGATGGCCTTCCAAAGTGAGGCCCAGGTCTTCAGCTCAAAGTCGTAGTCGTTGGTCTCTTCGGCCACGCATTTCTTGAGATGGATTTCTCTCAAGTTGCGGGGCTTCCCCTCGAGGAAAGGTAGCAGGACTGCCGGTGCAGCCATGTGTTGCAGATGAAGCACCTGCAGCTCTGGCAGTATCCCAGGGGGTAGCCTTAGAGAGTTGTGATTCAGAAAACCCCCATCGTGCGCGATAATCTTTAGTCGTTCGACATTCTTTGCATGGCGGAGCATGATTGAATATAGCTCCTTGAAAAAGTCGTTGAAACCGGGCAAGGTGTTAACATGCCATCCAGCTCCATTGTCGGCTCCATAAAGGTAAAGAGCCAGTTCTTTCAGGCCACCCAAGAACTTGGACCACTCGGGTGTCCTCCAGCTTGAGCTCTTTCTCGGCAAAAAGTCAAAGACTTCCAGGTGCTGGGTCTCGGAGAGATTCGCAACATCATGCCACATGTCTCTCAAGGCTGCTCGCCAGGTGTACCTTTCCTCTTTCTTCTCGACATCCTCCCAGTGTTCGGTATAGCTGCAAAAGTACATTCCAGAGTCGCAAAGATCGTTGTCATCCCAATCAGCTTCAATCTCAAAGTCTTCGACTCCCATGGTATGAATGCTGAGGATGGAACACCGTGGTAGGCCTTTGAACTGAATGAGGTCTTTCACGGCTAGAACATCGGCCGACTTTCTTGCCCAGACCGACTCGGGCGGGTTTTTCCAGTACCAGCGATCCTCTTCTTCCTCATTGTCGTTATTCTCCTCTTCTTCTTCCACCTCTTCCTTATCGTCCTCTGAGCCATTCTCACCATCTTCAGCATCACCTTCCTCAGGGTTATCATGATCAGGCTCCTCGTTGTCGGAGCCCTCATCAGCATTTCCGTTCTCTTGGCTTTCTTCATTTTCGTTCTCGTCCACGGCGTCCTCTGCGTTGTCCTCCATCTCTTCGTTGTCACCCATGTCCACGTCCTCCTCCTTGTTCGGATCTGGTTGACCCGGGAAAAAAGTGACGTGGAGGTGCAAGTTCAGAACATGGGAGCCAAACTTTTTAACGATGTCCTGCAGGATATGATCTTCAGGCAACGGACACTTGACCTTCAGGCCCCTGAACAGAAAAGGGGCCATTGCATTGCGGATCGTCGAGTTTGCCAGGCTAAAATTCTTCCTGTCATCGTGACCGAGATGTTCGGTGATGATGGACAGAAGCTCAGGTGGCAGGATATCCAGATGGCCAGTCATGATGAGAGTTTATCGTTTGAGGTGCTTTAAACTGCGGCCAGGTCTTTCAGAGGCACTCCAAGAGTCAATGGCTTTTATTGGCAACATGAACGAAGAGATTAATGCATCCAAAGATGGTCCATGACGAAGTTGTGCACGTTTGCCTAATCTCACTTCCTTCTGCACCAACAGAACTTCCTAGTGCTTATTGCAGCCTAGCCAACCCCGTCATCCTCGAATCACGGCCAATAAGAGCCAAGGTTTCAGATCCTCATCATTCGAGGGATGTGGCTGTGCGTGCGTGCGCGTGAAGCAACGACGCGTTCATCGCGTTAAGCCCCTGAAGCGCGTCCTTCGTTGAAATCCATGCATTAATCGGGGCGAGGGCGTTATTCCGCTTTCGTATTCCGCATTGAGACTTTCAGGTGGGGATCTCAATAGCTCGCAGTGATTCGTCAAGTAAATCCAAGCCTTAACATGATTGGCCAAATGCAATCTGTCGAATTTTGAGGCGATGGTAAATTGGTGTTGTACGTTTCTGCCTTGAGCAACTCTATCAAAAAAGTCTCCCCGAAATACGGGACAACTTTCGCGCCAAAACAAGTTTTATAAAGAGATTTCCTTTTCACTGCCAAAAGGTTTTTCTACAAGATTTAAATAACAGTTTTAAACACGCGTTTTTAGGCAAGTAATTGTTGATTAAACAAATCAGTATAGTACTCTAGGGTAAGCAGGTAGAGCCAACGGGGTCAGCGGGGCAGTCTGCCGCGCTGCTAGAGCGCTAACAGCTGTGGTGGGAAAGCTCGTTCAAGTGCGTTAATGTATTATTGCGCGTCTGATTGGCGACCGCACCCCTATCAGATCAGCTATTGCCCATCCGAGACTCGTAATAACCACAATTTAACCCGACCAAGCTCTCTATAAACACCAGCTTAGAAATATAACTACCCTATTAGAACCCAATCTCCTCTCCCATATTAAAGCATTTCTCCATATGCCACAAAAGGTACGTCATTCCACACGGCGTTGTAATTAAACGGCCTTCTCTTCTTTGCATCCTTCAGCCAGCAGTTGCCCCCATATTGCTTATACGACTGTGCGATATTGGCACGGAACGAAACACTCTTGCATGTCACACCCGTGTCTTGGTTGTCATTCATGGCGTTCATCTGTGTGCAGGCCTGCAAGCAATCCTCCAGCGAGTAGGCGATGATTCCCACCAAGTCCTTCAGTGCTCCACCGCCCTCTGCACTGGTTGCGCCTCCACCATCAGTGCCGCAGTATACTTTGAACTCGAAGCCGCTAGTAAGTTGAATCGTTTTAGTCTGCTCTGCTTCTTCGCAGAACCAGGTGAGGTTTCTAATCTGAGAGGCTGGGGTCGGTGTGAAGAATGCGGCGCTGGTAGTGGCTGAGGGGGGTTGGGCTGGCAGTTGTTGAGCTTTCGTTGCTACCAACAGCCTCCCATGCGCATTTCGAGTCCGAGCTACAAGATAATGAGTGTCAGCATCATGCATATGTTTGATGCAATTAATAGGAATTGTACTCACTTTTGACAATTTGACAAGGCGGCCCCCAAGCCTCCTCCTACACCTCCTCCAACAATGGCGGCAGTGATAGCAACGATAATAACGGTAAAAAGCCAAAGGCTAAGGCCAAAGGGACCGCGGGGCTTTGGTTGATGTTGATGTTGTTGATCGATCGGCACGTAGTAGGGTGCTGGCGACGACTGATTGTACGCGGCAATCACCTCTGGTGCCTTTGTACCGCCCCCTGCATCGTGGTTCACCTGAAGACCTTCGCTGTCTTGCATACTGAATGGATATGGATGATTGGGTGCGGGAAGAGTATGATGACAAGACACCTCTAGGCCATTGGTAGCAACGACGATCAGCTTGGCGAGATGTGAAAGAGGGATGAAGGAAGGAAGAGCCTCTACGAGAAGAAACAGAAAATGGCTGTTGCTTGCGAGTGGCATGAGCATGCACGCCAGTTCAGAGGTTTGAAGGAATTACCCTTTTAGGAAGCAAACTGCGCTTGGAAATGAGTATGGAGCGCGGTGTGGAACTAATAAGCAACTTCGATTAGACTAGAGCCCTGTGCGTACATGAGCTGAACTGGACTTTTGGGGAATTTTGATGTTAGCTGGACCTGGATGTCAAGGCTGTGCCATGGTTGTGAAGACCGTCGTGGCTTGGACTTTGGTCCTGGTGGGCCTTGTTGAAGCGGATCAGGTGCGCGCGGGAGAATCTTCCTCGCCCTTAAAAATGGGAATATTAATGTAATCCGGCTTAAAAATATCGAAGAATGTCTCGTAGGAGTTGAATTTCGACCATAGAAGACCAAGAGAGTGGGAGTTGAGAACCTAACAGAGCTCGACATACCCATTGTTGGACCATCAACAGAGGTGGACGAGGATGGGCGTTAAAATTAGAACAGTACGGTTGCTTGGCGAGCCCAGGCCATGCCGGGCTATACTAGCCGAGCTGATGGTTTTCAAGGATCAGCTGAGATCACTTCTTGAATTAGTCTGTGTCGTTTCAGCCATGGAGCTTGTTCATGTAGGGCTGAGGAAAGCGATCTGTCCCAGAGTTGCTCTATGGCACGATTGCATCTCATTAGGCTAGTCTTGGATAATTGTAGGTGTTTATGATAACTCATATATTAAAACCACTGTAATGCCGAATCGCCTGCTGGTAACCCTAGCTCATGCAATGGGCCGCCGAAGAACTCGCTCGCTGGAAGGATAAAGTCGCCGACAAAGGCGGCCTCTTCTCCAACTTCATTTCCAAGAGTAGTTTGACCATCAGCTGGTGTTGGCAGCTGACAGGAGGTCATATCCGGACGAACAGGTCCTAGTTCAGGTAGATGAGTATAACCTGGACGTTCTAATCCAGCCTTTAGAATCTCTTGACCAAGGCTGGGCCCGAAGATGGAGTCTTGCATGGTCCCAGAGGAAGATAAGTCGGAGAACGAATTGGCAAAGTCCAGGATACCAAATATGCCGGATACATCTACCGGGATATCTTCGTCTTCATTTCGAGGGTTAGAACGGGACCAGGAAGACATGTCTGCTTCCAGGTGTCGGAGCTTCTTGACCTAGATAGCTCAGGTAAGCGATGGACTGGGATTCAATCATTCAAATACATACAATTCTTTTAGCACACTCCCACTTGTTGCCCAGAGTCTCGATAAACTCCACGCATTCCTCAAAATTTTGTTTACTTTTGTTGCATGCTTCCTCGGCCCGAGAGAAGCTGCGCTGAAGGTCGACAGTAGCCACGACAGCAACGCAATAAATGGTGATGAAGTCGGTTGACGAAAACTGCTTGGATTTCATCAAATGGATGAAGTGCATGGCCCATGTGACATGATTTGATATCGAGAAGAGGGTCTGTTGCAGGAAGGCTTCTGATGCGTTGTGGACGCCATGAATCTGGAGGGTTAGGAGGAGAGGGTGGTTTAAAATGCAGAGGATGGTGTGGTACATCATGCGACTGAGAAACCATGGGCCCCAGTATGGTCGGGCCTCTTCCAACATCCGACCAGTAAGGCTTGGTATCTTGATGCTTCGATATCTATGTGCCAAGGGAAGCTTGAGCCCTAGGTCCATTAGTGCGGCTGTTGTCCTGGCGTATAGGGAATCAGGGTTCCACGGAAAGCCATCCCTATCGGGAGACACACTAGAGGATTGTATGTAGTTCAGTGCCATAGACCAGACACCACTGAGTTGACAAATGACCTGCATGATTCCAAATGAATGGGGGAATTCATGCTGGGTCGAAATAGGTGTGCGTAGAACATGCCCGGGCGTCGAAGGACTACTTGGAAACGGAATGGCGGAAGCTTGGAGGTGTGTAGTGAGCTGCTCAGGCTGACCGAGTAACCTGCACAGTAACACAACTCCCCAGAAACACCGGCTGGTTTCCTCCTTTTGATTGTTGATGGCGGCGTGACTGTAAAGGCGCGCAGACTTTGCTAGTGAGGCAGCCTGAGAGCACATCAAATGACTCTTCTCATGGCGGCCGACTGTACTCAACATGATTAGCAAATGATAACGACTGGGGGGGCCTGGGAAAATACTTACGGTTGAGATACAGCAGTGAAAGCAGGCAGAGAGTTTGCAAGGTAGAAAGCTCAACATTGCCATCGATGAGACGGGCCATCACTAACCGGTAAGCTGCCTCACAATAACGGGTGATTTGGTTAGAATTATGGTGAGGCACCTGGATATCGTCGCAAAAGCGTGACGCTATTGCAAACACGCTGTATAATAGTTCGGGTTCCCGGCTAGGAAGTGACTGCACGAATGTGGCCTCATCAAACAAGGGGATGGGCTGACATTCGCAATACTTCAGGTAAGCTCGAGCAACCACAGTCAATGCCTCTCTCGCGGGAGGCTGAATCAAGCCCTGAGAAGTTGTTTGCTCTACCTCCAAGACCGGCTCGTTGTCATTTGTCAAGTCCGCTTGCATGGGTTGTTCGGGTGACACTTGAGCCGGAAGACCTTGCTCATGACTTCTTAGGCGCTGGACTACTTGAGACAAGGTATTCTCCAAGCTTTCCATTCGTGCTCGCTTAAAAGCGTTAGTTTACTCATGGCTCCGCGACTCCCCGTAAAATACAACACTAACCATGGTTCGATCTTCTGCAGGCGTCAGTTCGGGCTCCGGCCTCTGCGCCGGCCCCGCGGACGGCAACGGCCCCGTTGCCGGATCATGACGGTGAGTATGCAGAGCCGGCTCGGCACCGTATGCACACGGTTGTCTGAGGCGGGCACAGGAGGAGCAGACGGGCCGCTCTCCGGAACATTTCGACTTCTTCCGGCTATATCTCTCAGTTCAAGTCAAGACATGGGTGGGTTGGTGTCTTGCGTACCGGCACGGGGCACAAGCTTGCCTTGCACGCTTGGCGGGCCTGAATGATTCTTCCATTCAAGAGTAGACACGGCGTTGCAATACAGCAATCGAATACTATGAGCCGAGAAAAGATTCATGCCGTGGCTTGGAACATCCCTACTGAGCGCTGGCTCAAGGAGAAAACACGGAATAGCGCAACGGAGGCACGGAATGACGCGATCAACTAAACCCATTGTCTCCAGAGTGATGGCTAACGGCTACATAATTGGATTCGATCGCAGTTCTGATCGGCTTCCATTCTCATGAAGCAGTGGAAGTTCGTTCTTCAGAATAAACCTGTTAACTGTGCTCCCACCAAGGTAGTTCTTAGCAATCTGCATCACCTCTATAGTCCTTAGACCCTGAGAACGGGGCACCGGGGGTGAGGTACTGGTCACGGCCCCACAATTAACTTGGGCCGTATCCGGTGCTGTGCCGTGCCGTCCGGGCCAAGGGTGAGTAGACGGATCTTACTAACCGCCGAGATTACTGTAAACTTCTGTGCCTGTGCCACATGATGGGCGTTTGCATAGGTTCTTGTTACAATACAGGATGAACCACTCGCAAATGTGGGCATGCATTTTCTATTCGCATTTCTATATCAGGCTTCTAATCAGGTTCCCTCTTCAGTCTTCTGTATTCCAATAACCACGAGAAATCTATTTCTTGTTTGAAACGTCTGAAATGACAGTTAGCACTCTCCCGCAAATGTACAACAACATCCAACTTACTGAACTGGAAGTGGATGATATCCCCGTCTTGGACAACCTGGGAGAGAACAAAGTCAGCTGATGCAGCAACGGGAGGAGTCTGAATCCACGGGCACATACATAAGACTTTCCTTCTTGTCGGTATTTTCCAGCGGCCTTGATGGGGCCCATGGACTTGCCGCCTTCACAGAGATCGTAGAAGTCTTGATAGGCGACCACTTCAGCCTTGATGAAACCCCTCTCAAAGTCGCTGTGAATAGCTCCAGCAGCCTGCGGTGCCAGACATCCTCTTGGGATAGTCCAGCATCTGATCTCCTTCTCACCAGCTATGTAAAAGTCAGTGCGGGATTCAACAAGAGTCGACGAAGCGTGAACAGACCAGTGAAGTAGTATTGAAGGCCGAGCTTTGTGAAACCTTCAGTGATGATCTTCTCCAGCTTCGACTTGACCTTGCTCTCCTCGAGGAACTTGGCCTGGGCATCTGGGTCATCCTTCAAGCTGTAGAGCTTCTCTTCAAACTCGATAGAGAAGGGGATGATGTCTCGGGGAACACCTCCGTGCTCGGTGACCCACTTGGCAATGGGTGGCAGGTACTTGCACTTCTGTCTGAGGTAGTCCTTCATGGTCAAGTTGACGAGGTAGATAACGGGCTTGGTGGTGATCAGCTGGATCTTCTCGTTGATGAGGGCGATCTCAGCCGGTGTCCAGCTTCCGTCTCTGACTGGCTGGTCCTTCTCCAACATCTATATCACGATTGTGAGCACGAACTAGTCAGATCTAAGAGACTGGAATGCATGGACTTACTGCTCGGATCTTTGTTGTTGTCTCTGTGAAGAGAGGCAGCATCTTGTATTTGCCGCCTGCCTTCTTAACAATCAATTCCTCAGCGACGATTTGCTTGTCAAGGATGTCTAAAAAGAGGGGGTTAGCTGATGTCAACCTGATTCGGAGGGTAATACAAACCGAGATCCTTCTTGCAAAGCTCGCTCTGGATGGTGTCTAGAAAACGCACTGATTAGTTTCGCCCGATTGAGAAACTTGGCTAAAATGAACTAACTTAAATCACGGACGGGATCGATGGAGTCATCGACGTGCAAAACTTGATCGTTATCGAATGCTCTGTTATAGAGTCCGAGTTAGCGTGAAAGTGCGGCAATTTAGTTACGGATGAATGCTGTACCTGACAATGTGGAACATGCCGTCAACAGCCTGGATATGAGACAGGAAGGCATTTCCAAGTCCTTCTCCTTGCGAAGCGCCCTTGATCAGACCAGCAATGTCGGTGACCTGCAAAAACGCGGGGTACATGGATGGGGGCTTCCAAAGGTCACAGAGAAAGTCCTATGTATTTCCTAGTTTAGTTATCCATCGATTTTTTTTTCTGTAGAATAAATCGACTTACATATCGAGCGTCGGGAACAGCACATCGCGCCTCATTGGGCTCAATCGTACAAAAGGGATAGTTCTCAGCAGCGGCGCTCTGCTCGGTCAAGAGGTTGAACAAACTCGACTTTCCCACATTGGGAAGGCCAACGCATCCCATCTTTAGGTTCTTGCGAACCCTACCGAAAGCGACGACATTGTCCTTGACGGGTTCAACCTTCTTGGGGGGCATGGTGACTGATTTGGCCAAGTATATCGAGATGTATCGGAAAACTTGATTTGATCCTGGAGGGTTGAAAGAAGAAAGAATCCTCTGGCAAACTTTTCAAAAAATGGCCTGACTTTCACTTTTAGGCCCACTTACGGACATGGGTATGGGGTGTTCCAGGCCAGGGACTAGTGAGGAATGTGTGAGGAAGCGCTCTGGGGGTGCCACGTGACCTTACGATCACGTGTACCCCTCGGGCGCTTTCGCCCTTTTAGACTCGGCAGTTCATGGTCCGGCCGACCGAAAAATGAGACCATCCATCCCAATTGCTTAAATATGAGCCCTATGTGATTAAAATTCGTTATCGCTTCAGCCAGTGATGTGTAATTCGTCGCGATGATAGAGTGTTAGAAGGGTTACATGGCAAGGCCAGGGCTCTTCTCGTAAGCCTTTAGCGATGGAAAATTCTCCACACTTTTCATATCTTTTCAACAATAAACCACCATAAATTGAGAAAAATCGGCCTGTGCCATTCTTGAGATACAACGCCCGCTCTGGGAACAATCTCCTTGAACGAGACGTTTACAACAGCAAGAACAGTTTTAGTCTTGTTCAACATATATTTAAACCTAGAGAATTCTTCATATCAATTAGACTATATATAGACCATACCAGTTAAGACTTGTAGAACTGCCGATGAGTTCCTGGTTCCCTACAGAGCGGACCGGCTGGGGTGACATCCGCCGGCTTCGAGTCCAGACCGCTTCCGTTCCCGGCGGCAATAGTACGGAGATAACAGATGATACCGTCACCGGTCGCTGTCTTGAGACATGCAATGCTCTCTTTCGGTTCACCCTGACTTTGACATGGCGTAATCAAGGCCAAGATTGTATCATGGCTCCGGATGAGGGGATATAATTCCATTGCTAATTGCTCAAGTATAAAGCAAGTCACTCATCGACTTGATCTTGATTTCAGCACTTCCAATCATCCTCCGTATCATCATGAAGCCCATCGCTTGGTCTTTGTCCTTGGCTGCCACTGGCTTGGCATCTTTCGCTGCTGCTGACTGGCAGTACCGTTCTCGCCCTGATCTCGCCGTCCCGAGACTCAACATCACAGTCCCTGCTGATCGAGACTCAGCAGAAAAGGGCTACATCTTCATCACTCTGTACGAGGGATTCGCCGACGGCCACAAAGGTCCTGTCCAGCCTGGCGCTTACATATTTCGTGATAACGGCGAACTGGTCTGGTCTGGCTTAGGATACCACTCAGGATGGGTCGCCAACTTTGTTCCAGACACCTGGAACGGCCAGACCTATCTCCGCGCATTCCAGGGCAAATTGGACGGAACTCATGGTCGCATGTACGGCTATCATGTTCTCCTTGGAAGTGACTATGAAGTGGCCAAAGTTGTCCGGGCCAAGTCTCCTAGACTCACTTCAGCACACGAGTTCCGTCTTGTTGATGGCAGGACGGCACTGATTGAGAACCCTACACCTAGGGTTGTCTCTTTGAAGTCCTGGGGAGGCGATGAGGGGCAGAACTGGGTTCTTTCTGGCGGATTCCAAGGCATGTATAGATACCCCTCGACGACTTGTTCCGTGGCTAACCATTCATGCAGAGGTAGATATCGAAACTGGCGATGTCCTGTTTGAATGGCAAAGTTTTGACCACGTCGACCCAAAATGTGAGTCGAGGTTCTGACACTCCGCATATGCTTGGACATACTGACAAACTCATCAGATAGCGCGTTTCCTCTGGACTTTGGGACAGGTTTGCCCGGATCTGGTAGAAACGAAACCGATGCCTGGAATTACTTCCATATCAACAGCGTTGACAAGGACGATGAGGGCAACTATCTCTTGTCCGCCCGCAACATCGCGGCCATCTTCAAAATCAACGGGACAAGCGGAGATATTATCTGGCAGCTTGGCGGTTTCCACGGCGGCTCTTCGTTCCAAATCTCACAGGAAGACCGCTTCTCGTTCCAACATCATGCGCGATTCCATGGCCGCTCGCCTGATGGAAGCCTCGAGTTCATTTCACTTTTCGACAACGGGGCTCATTCCGCCCCATTTAAGACTCATCCGTTCTCTAGAGCCAGATACTTCCAGCTTGATCACAATAAGGGCACCGCAAAGGCACTCAAAACGTTTGATGCACCTGACGGTCTATCTGCTCACACTCAAGGCAGCGTTCAGATCCTCCCCAACAAGAATTTCTTTGTCAATTGGGGCCAGGCCGGTGCCGTCACAGAGTTTAACAAGGACGGCAAGGTCTTGTTTCATAGTTACCTGGATTCCGCACCCGAGGGAATCTTTGTCCAGAGTTACCGAGGTTTCCGAGCCAACTGGACTGGAAATCCAAGCGAAGAACCAGCTGTTGCTGCATTCAAACGCCAGGAAAAGAGTGGTTTGGATGTGTATGCTTCTTGGAATGGAGATACTGAGGCGGCATCATGGCGTTTCTACGCGCGGTCTCTCGAACAGTCACAAGACCAGCTCCTAGGAGAGTTTGAGCGCAAGGGCTTCGAGACTCACGCGGAGCTTCGGGAATTTTCAGTCGGCGGAGATCTACTTGTTACTGCTGAGGCAGTGGATGTGAATGGCAAGGTACTGACTCGCACGAACCCTGTTGTTGCCCAAGCCGAGGTGAAGGCGTCCCCTCTAGAGCAGTTTGATCAGATCTTCGATCCGGAGGAGCTCTAAGCAGTTAGATCACTTGAAACAGGTACAGAAGGAGCACCTCTCTGGGATAATTTTGAACCTGATAGCAAGTTAGTCCCGGATTCTCGCAAGGGGAGTCAAGAACATGGGGTCCATGACTACGGAACAGGTGATGAGGAGCGCCATGCGCGCAGCCACAAGTAGCCACAGACATTGCCAAAACATGGCCGTTAAGAATCTTCCTATCATCGCTGCTCTACTACGTAAAAGTGTGTTTGCGGTTCAGTGGTTGTGGCAAGCCGACCTTCGCTTTTGTGGCCGAATCTCGCAATCCCGATCCGTAATCGAAGTCCGTGTCCGTAGGCCTTCAGTATCGCCTGTATCCAATCAGAGATGACCACTCTGACTGTATGATTCTATGGGAAAGCCACCGACGCGGAATTCACAAAGAGTATGAGGCAAATCCGTTTATGTGAGACCGGATTTTGGGATTGACTTGCACCCCTGATTGACGAAAGTCGCCGATTGGATTGCAACACCATAAGCGCACAATGGCGGGTTGAAAGTGAGGAACTTGTGATAGAAATGATGACTATATAAGAATTCCAAGACCTGCTCAAATAGATTGCCAACGGACAACCGCCTCCATACATCTTCCTTCCCCTATTGTTCGCTCAACATGGCTGAGAAACTGACATACACCGAACTTCCTTCTCGGATGAAGCCAGTGTCCGAGCTGAAGCCAACTCTAGACCAAGTGGCGAAACGTCTCGCAGAATTTGGGCCGCTGGTCCCTCGGCAGCCCGATACTGATGGCTCTGTTGAGCATTTATGCGGTGCCGCCTTCACTCATCATTTCGTGGAGTCACCCGGAGACTACGACACTGTCAGTTTCCATTATGTGACATGCGGGAGTGAGGGGAAGCAAAAGCCGGTCGTGTTCCTGCACGGACTGCCCGATTCTTGGTTTGAGTGGCATCAGCACATGGCATCCCTTGCGGAAGATGGCTACTTTTGTATTGCTCCAGACCTGAAAGGGTATGGACAGTCGAGCAAGGAACCAGGTGATTATCGACACGAGGGGGCCGCGGAACAGTTGGCTGCGATGTTGTTCAAGATTGGCATCGAGAAGTTCTAGTAAGTGTTCTTTCGTATACCACTCATCACGCCATGCTAACCCCTGCCACAGTCTTGTCACCCACGATCGTGGAACTGTTCAAGGCGATTACATTGCTGCCCTCTTCCCGGATCGCGTACTTGGCTACATCCGCGGAGAACAGCACCTCATCCACTACAACCCAGCTCTGTCATCTCAGCATGCCTTGTTCCTCCACGCCCCGTACAACGGCATTATGGAGGATCCACAGCGGCTCGCCCTGACAGCCTACATGTGGTTCACTTCTCGGGAGATTCCTGATGGAGCCGCAACCTTGCAGCGTGTGGCTCAAGAGCTTGCTTACGAAGGAATCAGCAAGGCCGTGCCTCGGTATTATGGTGCTAGTACCTTTCACCAGGAATGGCTCGACCGACGTAGGAGGCTTATGGGGAAGTGGGGATGCCCGATTGTGATTATGCAAGGCTACGACAGCTCAACTCAACCGCGCGAATGGTTTAAACTTGAAGAGATCCAAGGATTTGTTCCTCGAGCCAAGGTCTTGGAGGTCAAGTTCATTCCTGGTGGGCATTTTTGGCCGTTGGAGAGTCCAGTGGAGACTACTGCAGCGCTATGTGAGGCACTGAAGGCACTGAGGGATTTGTAGCTTGGAGGATGAAATGGTGGCTTAGGCATCCTATAGAAACCAAGAGATGAATCAAGAAGAGGTTCTACAGTGTTATAATCATTCTGCGTATTCTTAATGCTAATTTTAAGACTGTACAGCTCGTATCCTCTGATCAGACAATCCTGATCCTGGCCAAAATGGCACAGTGATCACTCACCCTGGCATCCATCCTTATTTGCCTTGCCCTGATATTTCTCAAGAATCCTAGTTCACTGAGAGTGTTGAAACGTTCTTCAGAGACATATTCATTGCGCAGCCTTTTCACAGCTTGTCCTCCCACAACTTCCGTGTCCTCTCTCTCAAGTTCCCACAATTCAACCGCAGTCTTCAGCCCAGCTCCGAAACGACGGACTCTTTCTAAGCAGTCTGGTGAGTCCTCGAACGCCAAGGACTCGATAGCGCCAGTGTAGAGGAATTTATCGAAGCGCTTCGGGCCTCGATGTCGAGAAGACCTGTCGCCCCAGGTGCCTCCGCCCTCCTCATGTTGACAAATGCCGCGCTGTTGGGCTATCATTTGGCTATCCTCCCATATATCTCCCAAATCCACCTGCGATTCCTTGTGGTAGGCGTGTTCTGACTTGTCTATTGCATTCATGTCGCCTCCTACTACTCCCCCGATGATTCCGGAGCCGGGTAGAATGGGATGCTTTAGGAGGTCGGAAATGACAGCTAGCTGCCCTCGGCGATATTCCTTGCCTTGAAAGAGTGATTCGAGGTGTGTCGTGCAGAGACGGATGCATTCTTGGTGGTTGCTTGTTTCCTCTTGGCTCAAGGTATGGATGTCCATAGCAAGAACATCTCTCCCCATATTCGTGACAAGAGTTGCGCGGAAACAGGCCGTGACCGGTAGATTCTTGGATGCCATCATGACTGTGAAGTATGACGTCTCTCTCTGAGCGGATTGCCTTAAAACGGACGACGCGTCGAGTGTAACCCTCCGAGGGACCTCCGGGGGTTTGTCATTAGACAGAACGAAGTTGCGCTGCACCCATGGATGCCCAAGCATAGCGCATAGAGAGGCGGGAGATACTTCTTGCAGCATGACTGCGAGGTTCTGGGGCTCAGCGCCGAGTTTTTCTTCCAAATGAGCCAGAGAAGCCAGCATCCGAGCCGCAGGATCCGGGTCAGACCAGTTGAGATTCCAAGATGCTGTCGTTAGAACGCTTCCACGACTCAATCCAGGGTTGACAGCCGTAACAGGCTGCCAGGTCGCGGAGTGTGGGTGAAAGACTAATGGCTCAATGTGCTGAGGCCGAACCAAGTGATGGGGAATATAGGCTTTGGAGCTGTTGTTGGAGTGAAGCCAATGGCTTATTGAGCTGATCAGATGGCGAGAGAGGAAAGAACCTGGCAATGGCGCTGGTCTCTGCCAGAGAATGGATGCTCCACGTGTGGCCAGTATGTGCCGAGTAGCCATATTGAAGTAGGGATGCAGGTAGTGCTAATTGGATGAAGGTGAAAGTAGGAATATTGAGCCCACGGTAGGCAGCAACGTCTTAAATAGATGACTGAAACTGTCGATGATAAGAATACTGCTGGGATCGAACTCACCCAACAATTTAGGTTTTCCTGCTGCGTTAAGAATTGGACAACATCTAGAATTAAGAAGAAATGGATGATCACATGAGTAAGAATAAATGCGATGCTCCTGCCATCCACCATTGCTATCTCCTGCCTCGCTTCGGGGATGTTGAGGCAAGATCAAGTCAGCCATCGGATAATGCGCTCATCAACACACAACTCTTCTCCCATTCATCATCCATCCCAAATCATCACCATGACCGTCCATCAAGCTACCCTGGAGTCTGCCGCCCTCGCTGTTTTCGCTGCCGCGAAGAAGGTTTTGGGAGATGAAGCCATACCCCCAAAGGCTGTCATTGTTGGCGGAGCGGCGCTCTGGCGCCTGACTCAACACCGTCCCACTGCCGTAAGTTTAACTTTTACCGAGCTCTCAAACCATATTGCTGATCATGGATCATCCACGACGTAGGATATTGATATCTGGTTGACTGGGCAGATGAAGCCGCGAATGCTGAAACGAGCTATCCCGCTGGTCGATCCAGCTTTCCGCCTCAATATGGAGGCCATTCATGGCGTGACTTACCAATGCCCTCTATCACGCACCATTGTCCCAGTTGACTTTGTCAACATCAAGTCGGTAAGTTTATGGGCCAATATCTGTGGATACTAATTGATACATATAGACCCCTTTCGTCCCACGAAGCGCTATTATCAGCAAGCTGGGAGACAACGAGCTACCCTGGGCCGATAGAGATGATATCGTTGCCCTGAAGGCCTAGAGCGCCACGGAACGATACAAGGAAGAGAAGAGAGACCGGGACATTGCCGACATACAAAGGCTTCTCGAGATGGTGCCTGGGCCCTTGCTGTTTGCTGGCTCTGAGCAGGCCGCCTGGAACAAAGAATTTGTGAAGGGACTCATACCTTTTCTTGTTGAACACAGTGGGTGGTCGGAGGATAAGTGGCTGGGAATGATGGGACTTTATTCGACTTAATGATGGTTCATGAGCAGGCAATTTTGTCAATGGCCGAAGCAGAGAGAAATGATGATGGGGGGAGTACCGTTGGTTTCTGCCATAAGCGGCTAGAAAACAAGAATGATGCATGGTTGATTGTGAGATACCGAGTAGCCATTTTGGGTGATGTTTACTAAATAGGTAGGAAGAAAGGTATCAGTCTCGAAAGCTGGCAGAGTCACAATCCATGCCAATAAATAAGCTCAATTACTAGGTTTAGGTGTCTGGAAATTTACCAATGACTAAGACAAAGTAGGGTCTTATGATCATTTGTACGATGGGTCTGTTCTGAGCCTTAGAAGAGACATCATAAAGGATAATGTAGTTTAAGGTTGAGTTTCAGGGCTGAAATTCGAATTTCAATTAGATGTGCAGTATCTCTATCTATTTAGCTATTAACATAAAAAGAAATCTTAGAGTAATAAATGGCTGACATGAAAGTATATATACAAGAAGAGATTTAAGAAAGCTCATCCGCTGATCGGAACTCCAACTTCGGTACGGTGCGTTCTGGACGCGAGGCATGACCCAACAGAAGAAGTGTCTGAAGGCGAAGTGTGGGAAAATCGAGAACATCCTGCATCCTCAAGTCGAAGCCCGCCTTTTCGCAATGGCCTGCCAGCTCAGCCGCCTTCAGAGAATCTCCACCCAAGTCAAAGATCGATTGATCGAGATCGATGGGGTGTGATATCTCAAGAATCTCTTTCCAGAAGGACTCAATCTGAGCCGATAGGGACCGTGCTGCGCCTGTAATCTCTGTGGATGAGGGTTGTGCTTGAAGGGGCTCAGGTGCTTGAGCTGACAATGTGTTGGTTGTGGGACGCAGGATAGAAGCCACCGTCTGTTCGGGTAGCTCATTGATGGCATGAACAAGACTCAGATATGTTTCTACGAGAGACTTTGCGGCGGAGGACGAGAGTGTCTGGGGACTGTAGGTGAATCGGAATGACGCTTGTCCATCTTTCTCTGGCCATGCCAACAACCAGCATGCCCCGGACTGCAAAAGGCCTCCGCCATAGACGGCACCCCCCTTGACTGTCCAAGGTGTGCTAGCCTCAACCGTAGGCTCCTTGGGGTCCGGAATATTCTGGTACTGGAAGATTGTGCCAAGGCTGGAGGAAGATTTGGGCCACTGAGCCTGCTCGATGATGCGGTTGGTTGGTGTAGCCTCAAATGGAATGCTCTGGATTTGCTGTTCGTGGATATTGACCACAAGATCTGACACGAGCTGGCTGGCGTTGAACTGGACTCGAACGGGGACAAAGTTGATGCAGGGCCCGATCACCTCTTGCGCGCCCTCAAATGGCGCGAAGCGACCGGAAACAAGATTCCAGAATGCCACATCAGTTGATCCAGAGAAAGAGGAGAGTGTGAGGGCCCATGCAGCCTTCAGCAGCGTTCCGTAATTGTAAGTTGCGTGATGGGGCTTTTTGAACTGGAAGGGGACGGTCTGCATCCAACTATCACTCATGACAGGCTGTTGAGTTGACAGGGGCAGGTCAGAAACCATGGTCAAAGTGGAGTCAAGTAGCAGCTCCCGCCAGAAGGTGCCCGTCGTTTCGTTGGAAAGCTCGAGCGTATGTTGGATGAAACGGTGGTAGCCTGGAGAGGCAGTAGGTCCAGCAAGAAGACCGCAGTAGGCTGACCGGAGGTCGTTGAAGATGGTTGTGAGAGAGAAGCCATCGTATTGAGCATGAGACAAGCCCATGGCGATTGTTCGAAGCCCACTCTCAGGGTCGATCAAGAGTCTGAACCGCGTGGGGATCTGTCCGAATCGAACAGGTTGATCGACGTCCTTGTCAATGACGGAGCACATTTCATCTGGTAGGCCCTGTGACATCATGACCTTGAAGTCAGCCCTGGATCCTGTGGTGTGTACTGCCTGGAAGCATCGGTCGTGTTTGAGATGGAAGCTGGTTCTCAAAATGGGATGACGGTCGACTAATGTCTGACAAGCGGCTTGGACATGGCTCGGTGCAACGCAGTCGTCCAACTCGAAGAATGTCCATGCGTAGTACGAGCGTGGCCATTTTTGTGCTTCTAGCAGGAACGCCGTCTGGGTGTCAGATGCTGGGTAGATGGCCTCCACCTCGGAAACTCCTAGCTCGACTGTGAGTCGGTCAGGTCTTGGCTTGAGGTTGGAATGCTTCATCAATTTGCGGGACCAGACATCATGTGATGTGTCTAGTGATGAAGGAGAGACGTCGGAGGAGTCATCCGTGAGAGGGGTCTTGAGGGAGGACTGAGGTGTGGAAGGAGACCTATCGGGACTCTCTGAAGCATTTCGCCGGGGTGTAGTAACTCCACGGCAGCGAGCAGCCATACCGGCAAGAGTCTTCTCAGCAAACACATCTTGGGCGGCGATATAGATACCGCTGCGCCGCAGGACGGCAACGAGCATGATGGCCGTCAACGAGTCTCCTCCAAGTCTGAAGAAGTCATCTTGAGGTTGAACGTCAAAGTCAGCATCCTTGTGTAAGACTTGAAGCCATGCCTCCTTGATCGCCTCTTCTGTCTCGTGAAGCTTTGTCGAGGGTGCGCTTTGGGTCTTGGTGGAGGGAACTCGTTGGTATTCAGATGTATGCTTCGAAGTGAGGCCTTCAGCCTCAGCAACGAGTTTCTTGCGGTCCGTCTTGCTTGATGCCATCAGTGGCCAGTTGAAGACAGGAAGCCAGAGCTGTGGCACCATGTACTCTGGTAGTTGCTTGAGAAGATCCTGTTGAATGACTGAAACGAAGGAAAGGAACTCTTCTGATGGCGAGCCAAGGATGGACTCGGTAGGATCTGCTTGGACAGTGTCGAGTTGGACAAAGGCTGCCAAAATCGGAACCTCATCGCGATGCATCTTGGCAACAGCGACACGCCGGATGCGCTTCGCCCAAGACGAGGCACCAATCGCTGTCTCAATCTCGCCCAGCTCGATTCTGAGTCCCCGGAACTTGATCTGCATGTCTTCTCGTCTGCCAACGATCTCAACAAGCCCGTCGACATCGAACCGGGCAAGATCACCCGTCTTGTAGAGCCGCTGCTCGCCCACCTTGGACAGCCAGGCCACATTGTCCAGGAACACTGCGCTTGTTTTCTCTGGGTCATTCAGATAACCGCGAGCAAGAGTCGAGCCCGTCACCACAAGCTCTCCCACGGAACCGATAGGGACGAGGTGATTGTGGTCAAAGTCATCAACAATCCAGAGTCCAGCGGCCAATCGCTTCCCAACTTGGCCAACTGCTGAAGTCGCCGTGAGGTGGCCCATGGCGCATGCAATGCCAGCTTCAGTGGGGCCGTAGGCGTTGAGCATGAGTTCAACTGGTGAGTCGGGCCCCGTCCATTTGCGCAGCAGCGCACGATTGGTCATCTCGCCTCCAACAGCGAGGGTCTTTAGGCTGGGCATGTTGGAGGGTTCCAGCAGATTAGCGACAGTCGGAGTGAGATCAGCAAAGTTAATCTGCTTTTGTTGAACAAAGCTCTCGAGAACATCGACGCCCTGGGTCTCAGACGGGATGCAGACGCAGCCTCCAGATGCGAGGACAGCAAAAATGTCCACCACACTCGCATCAAATGTGTAGGAGCTGAACTGCAGAGAGCGGCGCCGTGTGCCTTGACTGGCGTGCTGATAGCGCTGCGCATGCTCAAGAATGCTCCGGCTTGCGGCCTTCTGTTCCATGACAACACCTTTGGGGGTACCGGTACTGCCTGAAGTGAAGATGACATAGGCAATGTCATCGGGAGAAGAAATGCGCAGCTCAGTAGCTGTATCTCGAGCCTGTAGATGCTCCGGGCTGACCACTAGTGTTTGCACTGGGAATTGCTTGCGGCCAGCCTGCAGGGGAGACACGATGACCAAATTGGCCTGAATCTCGTTGAGAATCAGCTCTGTGCGTGCCTCGGGATGGTTCGTGTCGAGCGGAACGTAGCCTGCTCCAGCTTTCATGACGGCGAGAATGGCAATGATCATGAAACGTGACTTTTCCGTGCAGATGGGCACGAGGTGACCTGGTCTCACGCCATAGTTGTCTTGTAGGATGAGCGCTAGAGCTTCCGAGGCCGCGATAAGCTCCGCGTATGACATCTGCCCATCGTGACAGTCAACGGCTATCTGATCGGGGTACCGGTTGGCGGTTTCTTCAACCAGCTTGTGAAGCTGTGTTGGGTGCGATGTGTCTCCGGATGAGTTCCACTGGATGGTCCTCTCAAGATCGAACCCTTCCGCAAGTTCCCACAGAGCGGATCGGATGGATGAGGCTCCACAAGCACCACGATGCAACATAGCAATCATCTGTTGGAACTGCTGTAGAATGTGGCCTACTTCAGGCGCTGTCAGCAGCGAGCCATCGTAGGCAGCCGAGACAGTAAGTTGATCAATGGTTGGGTTGTGACTGCACTCCATGACGAGGCCAAATGGTTCGCTGAGACCATCAACAGCCTCTTCTTCAACCATCCGTTGCAAGCCAAGAGGTAGAGTTCCATCTGCAAGCTGACTTGGCTGCACGACCAACAGATTCACGCTCGCGCAGGCGTCACGGGCCGAAGAGCTGATGTCTCGGATGCGACCCGGGCCGAAATGCTCGAAAGGAAGCATCGACAAGGACTGATGGTGAACATGCTCCAGCAGGCCAGAAACAGTGTCGTCGAGGTTGAACTGCAATCGCACGGGTGTGGTGGTGATGGTCGGACCAACAATGTCTTCAATGCCTTCCAAGGGAGCAGTACGACCAGAGACTGTGGCAGCAAAGCAGATGTCCTTGTTTGCATCCGAGGTGCGGCTTCTCATGCCGAGAATGACAGCCCAGGCTGCCCGGGCAACGGTCGCGAAGGAAAATGGACAGTCGGAAGTCCAGCTTAGAGTGTTCTCCAGTGTTTGGCTTGTCGCTGAATGGGCCTCAGGCGCGTAGTCCGGAGAGGGAAGTGCAGGGAAGGCCTCTCGTTGGTGACCTTCAAGCTGGGTTTGCCAGAAAGAGGCAGCCTCTTCATCATCCTCCCCTTGCACAAAATTGACAAAGTTGCGGTAAGAAGGCCTGGCTTTGGGCGGCGTAGATGATGTGAACGCGTGCTCAAGATCTTGCCAGAGTGCTTTAGAGGAGAAGCCGTCAAAGATGGAGTGATGTCTCCAAAACTCAAAGATGAAGCCCTGCTCAGAAGGTCGAAGTCTGAACCTCATCAAGGACGTTCCAAGTCCCATCTCCAAGGATTCGCTATCGGAGTCGATCCATTCGCTTGGGCAGCGCGTCACGACTTGCACCATTTGGACGCGATCGCCCATCACTGCGGAACAGATCCGGGTCCGGAGGATGGGGTTGGACTGATGAACAATGTCCCACGAGGCTCGAAGTTTGTGGACATCCGTGGATGAGGAAATAGAGAACATGCTGTGATCGATGTACGCTCCGGGCTGCCTCACTGTCGAGGCCATGAGTGCTTCTTGAGTTGGTGTACATGGATACACATCTTCAATGTCGCTAAGAGAGAGATTGCAGGCCTGTGAGACTTGAGCCTTCAGTTCGGGATCACACTCTTGCCTCAAATCGGCCTGACTCTTCTCTATTCGCTCGACAGCATTTGGCTTTGACTGGTTGCGTTCCAAATGACCAGCCATCTGCTCCAGTTGAGGCATGCGCAGAATGTCAGCGACCTCGAGCTTCAGCCCGACACCCCGGCATAGCGAAGCCAGGCTGATGGCATGAAGCGAGTCTCCACCGACTCGAGTGAACTGGGTATCCAGCCCCAGATGCTTGGGATCGACCTTGAGGACTTGAGCCCAGAGGCCTTGCAAGATTCGTTCAAAGACTGTTGACGGCTCCCGAATGACGCTCGCTGAGCCTTGATACTGAAGCATCTGATCTGGAGCTAGTTGAGCCCCCAGTTGTTGCAGCAACTTTCGATCCGTCTTCCCGCTTAGGGTAGGCGGAATACGCGAAAGCGGCAAATAGGCTCGTGGAACCATGTAGGGGGGCAGTTTGCCCTCAAGGCGTGTCTGGACGTCTTGAATGGTGGCGCGCATCTTGGAAGACACAGGCAGAAGAAGCTCCTCCTGGCGAGCCTCTTCCCCAGCCAAAGTAAAGAAAGCCACAAGAGCATCGGGGCCATCGCCTTGCAGTGTGATCTTGTCAACCACGGCAGAGGCCACGGATGGGCATTGTTCAATGTTGTGCTCGATCTCGCCGAGTTCAATGCGGAAACCGTTGAGTTTGACTTGGAGATCTCTTCTGCCAATGTATGTGATGGACCCGTCGGCATTCCGCTGGACAATATCTCCTGTGGCATAGAACCGCTCATATCCCGGCTTCGCCCATGGCAAGTTGGTCCCATCGATGAATGCTGCTTGTGTGCGTTCCTCATCCTTGAAATATCCCCTGCCTAGGGTAGGCCCAGAGATCAGAAGTTCTCCCGGACATCCAATAGGTGCGAGGGACGTGTAGTCACCTCGGTTGACGACCCAAAGGTAAGCTCCAATAGCAAACCCAATATTATTGGGATCGCTGTTGGGCGTGACCTTTGGGTTTTGGCTCGCATCGACACACGTCTCAGTTGGGCCGTACGAGTTGATGAGCCGAACACTCTGGCTCCATGTCTCCATGATTGACTTGGACAGAGGCTCACCGCCGGCCCGCAATGCCTTGATTGATGGCACACGGCTTGGTGACTGAACCAAGTTTTGGATCGTGGTCGGAGTCAGGTAGGCGAACTCGATCTGTTTCTCGTTGATGTAGCCGCAGAGGTCCCCGAGTCGCCGATCGTCGGGTGGGATGAAGAGACAACCTCCGTGAAGTAGTGTCATGTAGACCTCAATCACATTGACATCGAACGTGTAGGCGGCGAAAGACAGGGTGCGTGTCCCCACTTGGTAGGCTGTGTGATGGCGGCCATTCACGAGCGCCGTTGTTGCCAAAGCCGAGTGCTCAATCATGACTCCCTTTGGTGTTCCCGAGCTGCCAGAAGTAAAGAGTAGATAGGCGAGATCTGAACAGGAGCGAGAATCATTGCCGTCCTCTTCATCGATGCCCCTGGCGGACACTTGAGAAGATTGCTTCTTGAGCTGCGCAACGTCCCAAGTGACGGCCGGGAGTGACAAGTCCTGTGCCAAATGGTCGTAATTGGCCGTGGTCACGACCAACTGGGCACCAGTTTCCCCAGTGATGAAGCGTAGACGATCAAGCGGAACGTCTGGGGGAAGAGGGACATAAGCTGCTCCAGCCTTCAAGACGGAAAACATCGCGACAACCATGGCCGCGCCTTTGCTCATCAATAGCGGCACGAGATTCCCACGACGTACGCCGTGCTCTGACCGAAGCTTGGATGCCCCGACAGAAGACAAGGCATCCAACTGCTGATACGAGAGGCTCGCATCAGGGCCCTCAACCGCGAGTAAGTCTGCCCATTGAGATGCTCTCTCGCTGAAAATCTCATCGACAAGTCGGTGACAGGCGTCAATCTCGGTGCTGTTCCACTCGAATTCTTGATCCAGCCTCTGTTGTCCAGAGAGGTTCAAGTGTTCAATCGTAGTGTTTTTACCCGAGCTCAATTGCTCAAGCGTCTGAGAGAAGTGGTACGCAACCCACTGGGCATCGTCGTTGGACATGAGACGGTCATCATATATGATTGTGACTGTAACTTCACCGTCTCCAGTCGGTCGACAATCGACGATTACACAGTCCGAATCGATGAAGCCCTTGGCCAAGTGGTCCTCGGGTATCAGCAATGCTGCCTCGTCCTCGGCGACCGGTGGTTGAACGACGAGCATCGAGCTGAACTTGCAGGCCTGCAAGGAATTGTCGTCGATCTTGCGGATATTTGATAGACCGTACTGCTCCCATGGCATGGATTGGATGGCCTCGCCCTGGACTTGGTGCAAATAAGATTGGACTTCCTGCTCCCGGGCTGGGCGCAAGCGACGGGGGATGGTTGCAAGAGTAGGACCAATGAGCGTGTCAATTCCCAAAACAGGGACCGTTCGTCCAGACCGAACGATACCGAAGCAGACATCTTCAGAGTCAAAGTATCGCCCTAGAAGCACACCCCAGGCAGCTTCCGCCAGAGTTGATAGTGTGTGTAGAGACTTGTTGGTGAAGTCAACTGTGAGGGCGTGCTTTCGATTGGCAGCAAACGTCTCGTTGGGTCGCACTTGGGGCAATGATCCAACCTGGACATCGGCGAGTTGAGCTCCCCAGAATCGGTGAGCTTCGGTGCTGTTGTAGACGTCCAGGGAGTGGCGGACGAAAAGGGCATATGGTAGGGTGGGTGGTAGCTGGGTCTCTGGGTCGCGATACAGCTTCTGTACCTCGTCCTTGAGAAGACCCATAGACCAGCCGTCAAAGACTGCATGATGCTGAGACAGGACCAGATATGAAGAGGACTCAGAAGTAATGATTGCACACCGAGAAAGCTTTGCACTGTACTCAGAGGCTGTGAGACTATCCTCCCGTAGGAAATCGTCAATGCTCTCCGAGTAGGTTTGACACACGTCAACATTTTCCCTAATGACAACCTGCAAGCCCCGATAGTCCGAGTCCAAGACTATTCGAGTTCGTAGAATGTCATGGCGGCGCCACAGTGTTTGAAGAGCTTGGAGGAGGTTGTCGATTGATACCTTAGAGGGTAGTCGGAACACCTCTTGGTTGAGGAAGGCACCCCGTGTCTTGGCGGATGCGATCATGAGGGATTCTTGGATGGCAGTGCAGGGATACACGTCCAAAACAGACTCGATGGGAACATGGCACTGTGTGGCAGCCTTGGAACGGAGGGCATCCTGTTCCACCCAAGGAACCAAGGAGAATGGTGGGGGGGCAGCGATACCCTCACTAGTGGGCGCCAAACGTTGTGAACTTGAACTCTTGGCCATTTCCTTGAGCGTAGTCGACTGAAAAATCTTGGTTCTATCAATGTCCAAGTTGCGCTGCCGAGCAAGTGCAAGTATGCGAATCATGGTGATTGAGTCACCACCCAACGAGGAGAGGGAGTCGTCCAGGCCAATCTTGTCTTCCGCGATCGACATGACCTCGGCGATGATCGAAAACAAGGCCCTTTGCTCTGCTGTCTCAGCGCCTCTCTTTGGCCCCTTTTGCTGGAATCTGTAGCTGTCCAATGAAGACTCGACATCAGCACGCAGTCGTCGACGGTCAATCTTTCCTGATGCCGTTGTGGGCCAGCTCGTGCAGGGGACGTAGACAGTGGGAACCATGTACTCCGGAAGAGCTGAACGCAGGCGGCTCTGTGTCTGACTCAAAGCTGCCTCGTCGATTTGTCCTACTGGCAGAGGACCCTTGTAGACGCCTGTTCCAAGCTCGCCGGTGAGAACAAACGCCACGAGTGTTGCGGAGGGCAGCACTTCCACCACACAGTCTGTGAATTGGCCCGATCTCCTGATGTGAGACTCGATCTCGGCGAGTTCAAGACGCTGCCCATGGATCTTGATCTGCAGGTCCTTCCGACCCATGTAGATGATGGACCCATCTGCGGCATAACGTGCCAGGTCACCCGTGCGATAATAACGAGTCTCAGATGCAGAATCCGCCCAGATAGCCCATGGAGGCTTGGTTCCAAAGACTTCTCTCGTATGCTCAGGGTTGTTGAGGTAACCATCCGCCACCGTCTTTCCGCAGATGACCAATTCTCCAACGGCTCCGATGGGGGCGAGCTTGCTGGGCTCATCAGGCACCACAAGAAGAAGGTTACAAGCCGTTGCTTGACCAATGTTGTGTGGGTCTCCAAGTTGCAATGAGAGGTTCGTCGACGTGTGAACACTGGCTTCCGTTGGACCGTAGCCGTTCATCACGTTGATGGAACTCTCAGACCAAGTCTCGATGAGTTGCTTTGAAGGGGGCTCTCCAACGAGCATCAGTGATTGAACGCCGGTGAGCTCTTGTGGCGAGAGAAGCCCGGCGACGGTCGGCGTGAGAACGAGATGGCTCGCTCGCAGTTGGTTGATGGCGTGGCCAAGGTTTCCATCAAGACGTTGACTCGGTGCAGGAAGACAAACACAACCCCCGGCAATCAAAGTCGCGAAAATTTCCAGTAGGCTTGTGTCAAATGTGCAAGTTGCAAACTGAAGCATCCTGGTTGTCTTGCCCAGCCCCATTGTTGCACTGACATCTGATAGAGACAAAGCAATGGCCGAGTGCCTTACCACAACTCCCTTGGGTGTACCGGAACTCCCAGAGGTGAAGAAAACATAGGCAGGATCTGAAAGACTGTGAGGGCTCGACGCAACGTGGCTCCTATCAGCTTCATGCAGCATCTCGTCAAGGATGCAAGTGCGGAAAGGTGTAAAGGTCTCGGCTTCGGAAGAATCTGTTAGCACGACAGTATCTTCTCCTAACTCAGAGAGGATTGCGTGACGGCGTTCGAGTGGTAAGGAATGATCCATAGTTGTAAACGATTTGTTGGCTTTCCAGACCGCCAGCATACCCGTGAGAATAAGTGAAGGGGTGTGATGACAGAGAACGATCCGCGGGCTATTGGGGGCATGTTGACTGATTGACTTAGAGAGCACAGTAGAAATGTCATCCAGTTCCTTGTACGTCGTCCGTTGGACAGTGTCAGGTCTCTCGCCTGCGATAGCTTCCATGGCAGGCAGGTCAGGCTGCCGTGAAGCGACGTCTTGAAATATTTGGCAGATGCTCCTAGAGGGGGGCTCGGGAGGAGAAGGGTTCCATGCTGCAACATCGACCAGATCGGCGGAACTGATCAGATCCAACTCAGATACTGAGCGATCTGGCAGTGAAAGCTCGGCCATCGTCTTTTCCAGCTGCTGAATGAACCGTCGTGCCTGAATGTTTGAGATACAGTTGGGGTCAAACTCAACTCTGAAGTTGACTGATCCTGTGGTCGAGCTTATCTGCGCAATGATGACCAGAGGATACTCGACATACATCGAGGACTCATTGGTCAGCAGCTTCTCAATGACTCTAGGGGTGTCATCCTCGCTGCTTCGGCCCTGCTGCACAACAAGTAGTGTCCTAAACCGGCTGGCGTTTTTGGGACCTTGCTCTGGCAACCGCATAATGTTCTTGAGGCCAAAGTGCTGATGATGACGCATATCCAAAATCGAGCTCTGTATAGTTTGAAGCAGAGAACTCGTTGATTGCTCAGGGGATACATGAACACGCATAGGAACAGTTGACAGTGTCGGGCCCATCACAGCCTCAAGTTCAGGGTTGTCGCGACCGGAAAGAGTCATGCCAAAGCAGACTTGGTCGGCAAAGCTGTAAGACGACAGAAGCAGGGCCAAGGCACCTGCTACAGAGGTGGCAGGGGAGATTCCGGACTTCTGAAAGAGATCTAAAGATACTCTTGTGCTTAGATCTAGGTGCTCAGTTGCTCTTATCTGGCCTTCGCTCTCCCCCACTGGCGGGAAGGAAGTCAATGGGGCGTCACGGAGAGTCTCTGTCCAGTACCGGCTTGCAGATTCCGAGTCTGTCGCATCAAGGTAGTCGACGAACTTTCGGTACGGAACAGGCAAAGGCTTGGCGCCCATGGGATTGCTGTACCAAAGGTTGACATCCTGTAGTAGAAGATGCAGTGTAGGGGCGTCGTACAAGGCATGATGCATGGTGATGACTAGTCTTGTATGATGCCGAGAGGAGTCTGTGTCGATCTGGTATTGGAAAAGAGAATTGTTCCTCATCTGTTGGCTTTGATCTGATGAGTGTTTGACGACAACTTGAACTGGTCCCTCGGATGTGGACACAAGCCTTGTTCGTAAGATCGGATTCCGTGAAGCGACCTTGTCCATCGCCCGTGTCAGGAGAGCAGCATCCGTGCCCTTGGCCAATTGGAAGACCATTTTGGCGCGGTAGGTTGCCTTCTCGTCTCCCTTGACACCGTTTAAAGAGGTTGCCATGAGTCCTTCTTGGAAGGGGGATGCTGGATACACATCCTCAATCTCGTCGGCGACGACCCCAATTGTGTCTTCAATCTCCTTCCATGCCTCTTGAGAAACAGTGACCGAAAGAGACGATTTCTGCACCTCAATCTCAGCCTCGACGTCGACAACAGTCGCCTTCTTGTACCGCGCGACAGCTGCCAGGTCTCTGAGTCGTGGGTGGCGGTAGATTTGCTGGACTGTAATCTCCAGGTTGTTCTCCTTGGCGACGCTCACTAGCCTGATGGCTGTGAATGAATCACCGCCCAGCCGGAAGAAGTCGGCAGCCGCACTCAAACGCCCGGTGATGTTGAAGACTTTGCGGAAAACGTTCTCCAAGACCAGCTCGATCGGTGTCTCTAGGCCCGCATCGAATTCCGTGTCTTCATCTGTCTCGTTGTCCGAAGTAATGATGAAGGGTGCCAATGGTAGCTTCTGTAGCTCGTCTCTGAGTCGCTTCAGGTCTACCTTGTCGGAAGCGGTCGAGGGGATGCACCGAACAGGAACGAAGATGGTGGGGACGTAGGCCACTGGTAGAAGCTCAAGCAACCGGGACCGTCCTTCGTGGCACATCTCACGGAAGTTGTAGTTGCATTCATCAGGAAGGATGAAGCCTTCGTTTGTTATGACCTTGCTGGGGCTGACGGTGACAAAGGCAGTCAGCCTGGAGACCTTGTTGTCGTCAACGGTACACTGAACCACTGCTGAAGAGAACTGTTCTCCGAGTTTCCGGAGCTGATCCTCAGCCTCTCCGGGGTCGACACGGATTCCGTTGATCTTGATCATCCTGTCTCGACGGCCAAGAATGCGAACAGAGCCGTCCTGCTCGTACTGTCCAATGTCTCCGGTGAGGTACACGCGCGACGGGAGTTGCGATCCCTCCAGAGATGGAAGGTTTACGAAACTCTTCTCCGTCAGCTCTTTGTTGCGGAGATATCCCCTGGCAAGACTGTGTCCAGCAATGGCAATCTCTCCAGTGCAGCCCAGTGGAGCCTCGTAGAGCTGGCCACGTTGATCACGCCGAAGAATGAGATGCCACCCAGTGACATTCCGACCGATGACGCCGGGATCCGAGTCCACGGTCAAAGGATCCGTGACAGTTGTAGTGATGGAAGCCTCCGTGGGTCCGTATGCGTTGAGAAATCGTATCCGCGGTGCCCATGTCTCCATGAGGGCGCGGCTGGTCATTTCACCACCAGTCATGATTGTCTTGAGTGTGCCTGCATCCTCAAGAGCAATGAGCCCGGTAATTGATGGCGTAAGAGTGGCCGAGTTGATCTTCATCCTCCGTATCGTTTCCGATATTCTATTTAGTCGCTCGTCATCGGTTGGGACACAGATGCAGACTCCAGACAACAGAGGGATGAAGATGTCAGAGATGCTGACATCGTAGACGAACGACGAGAACTGAAGGTGTCGGTCGCCGGGTTGGAGGGCAAAACAGCGAGCAAGGTGGGTCAAGCTTGTACTCAACGCTCGATGTTCGAGCATCACCCCCTTTGGCATACCTGTGCTCCCGGATGTGTACATCAACACAGCCAAGTCGTAGGGGGATGCTTGAGGAAGCACACTCTCAGATGGATCAATGTGTCTTGGGTCTGTCCATTGCTCGTCAATCGTGACAAGGTGTTGTTGCAAACTCCCGTATCGATCCGCGATGGCAGGCGAGCAGACGATACTAGTAGCGCCCGCATCATCCACGATTTTTCGAACACGTTCGAGCGGCCAACTAGGTTCGAGTGGGATGTAAGCGGAGCCGGTCTTGAGGATTGCAAAGATGGTGACGATGGCGAGAGTAGACTTTTCCATAGCGATGGGAACGATCGACTTTGGTGATACTTGGCATGAAGTAGCGAGATAGGTTGCCAGGCTGCTGGATACTAAATCAAGCTCTCGAAAGTTCAGCTTGTTTCCGGTTGCGCTCTCGTAGCTAGCATCGTAGTCCGGGTAGATATCGGCAGACTTCTTCAGCAGATCATGCAAGCAAACATCGACTGCAGGCCCATAAGACTCGATCCACTCCAGCATGCGCTGATCCTGGTTCTCGGGCGACATCTGAATATCTCTGAGAGTTTGTTCCGTAGAAAGATCCGAAAGACTCTCAAGAGCTCGCTTCAGATGACCAGTCACCATTTGAGCATGTTGTAGAGATAGAACAGCTGGGTCCGAATTGCAGTTGATCAAGACCTTGTCGTCTGCCAGCACCAACTCAAGAGAGAAGGGGATGCTATCGGCCAGGCCTGAGGTTTGACCGTGGACCTCGGCCCAGAGTCCTTCGCCAGCCAGTCGCTCATCTTCAGGCTGCACGACGACGAGAGTCTTGAGTTGACAAGCAGTGGCTGCTCCCGGGCCGCACTTCTTAATATGCTCAAGACCATACTGCTGGTGGGGGTTGATGGCGAGGATCTGGGCGTGAACTCGCTGGAAGAAGTCTTGTAAAGACATCTGATGATCGAGACGAGTTCTGAAAGGAACACATGCAAAGGCAGGACCAATCATGTGAAACACTCCGCCAACAGGCGCATCTCTTCCTGCTAAGATCAAGCCCATGGACACATCCTCGGTATCACCGTGCGTGCCCAGTATCAGTGCAGTGAGGCCATACAGAATGACAGCTGGCGTCACGCCGAATCTAGAGGCCAGATCTTGGAGCTTGAGTATCACTGTGAGCGACTGGTGATCTGTCGCGTGGACGTCGTGATGTGGATCTTGTGGTTCGGGTGGAAACTCAACGCCCTCGTAACCGTCAAGATATTCTGCCCAGAACTGGGCCGAAGCAGTTCGCATGACTTCTCGCTCCCAAAGCTGATGTTGCACGAAGTGCGAGTAGGCAGCACCACCCAACGTCTTGTCCTCTTCACCAAAGTATATCCTCTTCAGCTGGTTGAGCATCAACTGCAAGGACCACCCATCAATGATGCTATGGTGGATCTTGAGGTGGAACGTCCACTGCTGTCGGCTATCATCCCATAGGGTCAATCCGCGGCAAAGATCAGAGCCTAGGGACATGTCTGCCTCGTAAAGAGACTCGCTCCACTTGGATGGACGATGCCGAACTTGGACTTGCAAGAACTGCTGTTCATCGACATCCCAGATGAGACGATTTCGCAGTGCTGGTTGAGAGCTCATCAGAGTATCCCAAGCACGTTGAAGACCAGCAGGATCGACATCATGACGAAGAGACCAACTGAAGGCACAGATGTATGAGCCAGGACACTTGATGTCCAAGGCCATGAGCGCTGTCTGGTAGGGTGTGCAAGGATAAATGTCGTCGATGTCGGCGACTGGGATTGAGCACATCTCAGCCACATCTTGTATCAAGGGTGCCAGAGGTGTGTTTGGAGAAAGGAGGCTGAATTGTCGGTAAGGGGGCGGTGCTGTGACTTGAGTCGATGTTGGCTTCTCATCTGTAGGCCTGCATATCTTGGCAAGTTCTCGGATTGTCTTTGCCGAGAAGATGTCTGCAGCGTTGAATTCAATTCCGACGTCTCTTGACTTGCTAGCCATTCGAATCACATCGAGTGAGTCCGCGCCAAGGTCTGCGAGAGAGTCCGTAACGGGGATGGCTGAGGCAGGGCGAAGGAGGACCTCTGCCCATATGGCCTGAAACTGCTTCTCCTCAGCACTAGCTTCAAGAGTGTGATCCACCGCCTGGGAGCCATAGCCTTGGATGAGTTCGAGAAGGACGTCTTCTTGCAATTGTTCCAGCCAAGACCGTAGCTGGAAACGATCGACCTTGCCACTGGAGGTTAACGGTATCCTTCTGATAGGCCACCACATTTTTGGCTTGGTAAGAGAAGGCAGCTGTTTTGACGCCACCTTCTTGACCTCCCCGAGAATGGAGCAAGTCCATTCAGAAGGCCCAAGCAGTGGGATCAGGTCTGTGGCGAAAGAGGATTCTGTGCCATGTGCATCAGGGACATTGCTCAACACGACAAAGGTCGAGAGACTCCCCGAAGAACTCCCACTTCGAGGCATGACCACGACGCACTTATCCACTTGCGGGCAGGTCACAATGGACCGCTCGACTTCAGCTAGGTCGATTCGGATACCGCGAAGCTTGACCTCAGCATCTCGGCGACCGATGAGTCTGATGGTGCGAACTCCAGCTTTGGAGAGCTCTGATCGTCCGAGATCACCCGTCCGGTAAAATCTCACACCGTCGACGTAGTACTCGGGAGCCTCAAACTGGCCCTTGCTTGACAAGTATCCCCGCAGAAGTTGAGGACCTGCCACGCAAATCTCTCCAACTTCACCGAAAGGAACTGGTGTCGCTTCATCACCAGCCAAAAGCCGTACATCGAGCCCATGGACTTGGCGGCCCACACATGACGCATCGATGTCCTTGTTTTTGCTGAGGTCCTCGACGGTGCAGACAATGGTCTCAGTTGGTCCGTAGGCGTTGAACAACTTGACGTTATGCCTCCACCGATCGGCCAATGATTGAGGCAGAGCTTCTCCAGAACTCGCCAAAACGCGGAGGTTTGGCACTCTCTCGGGGGCAATGGTCTGAATGACGGTTGGGGTAAGTTGTGTGTAGGTGATGTTCATCTTGAGCAAGGACTCAGTCATGTCTTCCATGATGAGCTCACGAGGAGCCATGACCAGGCATCCCCCACAGGCAAACGTCATGAAGAGATCAAGTCCAAAGATATCGAACGTAGGTGCTGCAAATTGTAAAGTTCGCGTGTTTGATTCGAGGTTGAACATCTTGGTGAGCTCTAGGGCGTTGTGCTTCACAGCTCGATGCTCAATCATGACACCCTTGGGGATTCCCGTCGAGCCAGAGGTAAAGAGAATGTGACAGAGATCTCTCTCGGAGCGAGAGTCAAGATCTAGGTTTGTCGTAGTGTAGGGTAAGGGGCTGTCATCTTGAAACATCTCATTCAGGTGGATGACATCTAAGCCAGTTCTGATAGAGGGTGTATTGGAAGTGTAGTTCAAGATGAGGCCGGCCTCAGAAGTCTCCAAGATGTACTGGATCCGATCCTCTGTTGCATCGGCGGGCAGTGGTATCCAAACCATGCCAGCCTTGAGGACAGCCAGCACCGCAACGACGAGCAGCGGCGACTTCTCCGAGGAGAGAGCAACGACATCTCTACCAGGGAGTTGCTTCTCACGCAAGAAGCGTGCCAGAGAGTTGGACCGGCTGTTGAGCTCGTGGTAGGTGAGACGGCCCTGGGGAAAGAATTCCAAGGCACAACTCTCAGGGCTCTTAGACGCTTGGTGTTCAAAGATGTGATGCAGTAGTTGGCCAGGATTTCCCATCTCCTGGGTTTCCTGGCCTCTTGCGTCATGGCTGATGTCCATGTTGTAATGGTTGCTATCCGTCTGGGAAGGTGAAAAGAGGGTAGTATACTTAGCAACCAAGATAACAAGCCGAGGATACCCAGTGGGGAGAAGAGCAATAAATCATTGAGCACCTGTCTTTGCCACCTTTCGAGGCGTCAATCAAAATGGTACCAGTAACATGGTCTCGGAGTCTACATTCCAGCTCCGATACCCCTTGGACTAGCTCAGGCACGGCTCAGGTACCCAGTCCACCCCCCTGCAGCGTGCCGTCCTACCAGGGCTGACCGCCAGTAGCTCGGTAGAATAGGCAGCCTCGTGCATCATAAATAACAGGGTCTTTGAGGAGCCTTTGACCTCTGGATCATCAGTTCCTCACCTTTCGACCAACTTCACCATGCTGGAACACCTCTCCTTTCTTCGCATCTTTCTGAGTCTAGTGCTCATTGGCGTTGTGATCATCATTCGGCGTCTTTATTGGCATCCTCTCAGCAAGTTCCCGGGCCCTGCCTTGCCGGCCTTGACCAGCTTCTATCAGTTCTACATCTTCTGGACCCATGAGGAAGGAAACTGGTATAGTGAACTCCACAAGAAATACGGTATTGCCGAGCACCCCATCCTAGTCACCCGTACACATGGCTGAGCCCTACATTCAGGTCCTGTGGTCCGCTGCGGCCCTAACCACCTCTCCTTCAACGACCCGTCCATGGTCAGCACAGTCTACCACAGCAAAGTTGACAAGACGGGTTTTCACCAGGAGTTTTCTTGCCCCGCTGCTGTTTTTAACAAAAAGTCTCACATGGACCATGCCGTGGCTAAGCGTCGCTTCGCCCATGCTGTATTCTTCTCCCTTGTCCTGTCTCCTTATTGGCCATGCTGACCTCGATCTCGATCCAATAGTACTCTCTACCCCGGGTTCAGCTCCTTGAGCCTGCGCTAGACGACCAAGTCGTTCGGTTTATGTCAAATCTGACAGCAGAGAGCAAAAAGGATCCGCTTGTCGACTTTGGAACATGGATCAGGCAAGTCTACGGCCCCGCGATGATCCAAGACATTGACGCACGCTAATTGCAAACTATTGAAAGGTACTTTTCGTTTGATGTCATTACCGCCATGTCTCTGGGCACCCCAGTTGGATTCATGGACGCCAAGGATGATGTCCGTGGTCTCATTCGTAACATGGAAGAGACAGCTGTCCGTGAGCAGCGACTCTCCCTTTTCCCACCCATTTCAGCCTTTGCGCGCAATAATCCGCTAGGGCGGCGCCTCTTCGTGTCCAGCCCGAGTGATCGTCGGGGGTTAGGAGTTTTCATGGCGGTAAGAACACATTGATTTGTTTCTGGAGTGCATACTCGGCTGAATATCACCATGTAGGAGATCCGTCAGGAGGTACAACAGCGTCGCGCATGCACCGCCAAGCCCACGTACGAGCATTCAATGCTGGACCAATGGCTGGCCTCATCTTCGTCAGATGGTCAAGGAATTCCTCAGCAGGAGATTGAAGATGAACTTCTAATGGACATGTGAGTACACACAACGCCAGAGACAGTGGATGTCCCCCTCGCAGTCATACGAGACTTACCGACCCCGTGTCCAGGATGGCTGGCCCAGATTCCATCGCTCTCATGGCCACTAACCTCATCTTCCTTGTCGCCGATCAGCGCCCGATCCTGCAAAGAGCCCAAGCTGAGGTGGATGCCGCTTATGCAGACGGACGCCTCAGCGGACAAGTCCCGACGTACGAAGAGTGCCGGCAGCTCCCATTCATCACGGCCTGCGTTAACGAGGGCCTCCGCTTCGTGGCGTCTACCTTCCCGCGTCGCCGGGCCTCGCCACCGGGACGGCCCTTTTCCCTCAACGGCATGCACGTCCCCCCCGGAACGTCAGTGTCGTCGAGCGCCGCCATGATTGGCCGTCATCCGGACCTTTACGGTGACCAGGCGGATCAATTCCTGCCCGATCGGTGGCTGGCTGCATCGCCGGAGCAGTTGCAGGAATGGGCCCGTCTTGATGTCCACTGGGGAGTTGGAGTCCGCAAGTGCCTTGGCAAGCATGTAGGGTTGATGGCTCTCTACAAGACCCTTGTCACGGTGAGATCGACGCGCCCCTTGTCCCCTCGGCGCTACATGTCAGCTAACACCCATGTCATTCAGCTCGTCCGGTCTTTTGATCTGCAACTCGAAGAGACGACAACCATTGATCGATGGAGCTACCCGTCCTCTGAGCATATGCTGTTGACCCCTCATGTGCCGCCCACTCAGTGAGACACAATGTGGGTTGTAAGGGCGGGGAAGTTGACGAATGCAGGCCTAAGCAGGATTCAATTAGGGCGGACACGGGATATGTAGCTTGCGGGTAAATGAAGGACTTGATGTAAATACAATGACAAATTTGAACTACGATACTTGGCCTGTAGTCATCATCCGGACTAAAGATGATGGCGGAAGAGGACTGTTGTGAAACCTCAACCTGCATGTCGCAGTCGTACTCGCCTCATACTGCAGAGTAGATCAAACTGGTGGATACCTGCTTCTGCACTATGCTAGAAACAGAGAACACAGATGTCACAACAGCCGCGCTCTTCAAACCATGGCATTCGTACGTAAATGGTGCCATTAAACATCCAGCCCCTGATTTGACATGACGTGTCATTGCAGATCTCTCTCCACCCTGTATCCCGACACTCTGTCTGTCTCACTCTTAAGGACACATGCAACATTCCTCCAATATCATTGAAGAATTGCGGTATAATTAGTGTCTGTCTCCGAGAAGGTTGTATGTCTTAGATCAGCCTATGATTCGCCAATTGACCTTTCCACTTGTGGCTATGTAGGGACTACTATGTCTCAGGGCGGAGGGAAGCGAGACCGGCAGCTAACGCCCAGGGTCTCAGTGCGGGAGACACCTTCCGGTGGAGGAAATGACAGGAAACGCGTCATTCAGAATACCGTGCTCGGCACTACTCCATGGTACTCTCCTCGTACCTCAACCTGTGCGATGCCGGGGACGCGGGCAGTGTAGGACCATGTCTTGGTCGTGCTAAAGTGCTCGGTTGCACAGCGTCTCATTTGACCTATTTGCCATTCCTCCCGCCGCAGTGTTTAAGACTATTGTAGCCAATGAGATACTGAGCCCATTGCCATTCATCTCATATGTCTTTCTCCTTTTAATCTGGGGGTTTTCTGGGCAGATAGCGTTCGAACGACGAAAACTGTAGAGCAATCAGCTAACAGATCTCCCTATCTTGCCTATCTTCTATCTGCACATAGTCATGTCTTCCACCATCACACACCATCTTCACACTGCACAGACCAGACCGGATCTCTGGGATCATCTCCTAGACCCCAACCATCCACTGAACACAGCATGGCCCTACTTTCTTGAACAGGACACAACGCTGCTGAGTCTTTCTCAAAAGATTTGTGACTTTCCTGGACTACGGAAGTTCCAATATCTCATCTCGGAGCGCAACGATGAAGGAAACGAGGAACTTGTAGCTTGTGGGCGTTCTATCCCCTTTTTCTGGCAAGAGTTGCGTGATGCCGAGAAGGGCGGGCGTCTTGATTTGAATCCGCACCTCTTCCAGAGCCTACCCGATGGTGGATGGGATACTATGGTCGCCCGTGGGATACGGCAATACATGGCTTCTCATCCTGAGGAGGCGCCCTCCTGGCCGTGGTCATCAGCCCCTATCACAACCGATGACCAAGAAAGAGACACAGCTCGAGCATCTAGCCCGGAACTGCCTAATGCTCTTTCTGCCCTTGCAGTCACTGTTCGCGCAGACCGTCGACGAACGGGCCTTGCCGAGCGTATCCTTCAGAAGATGAAAGACACAGCTCGACAAGAGGGGTTGAAGATTCTCGTTGTACCCCTGAGACCAACCAAGAAGTCTTCCCATCCTTTCGTCCCTATGGAGGAGTACATCACTTGGACCCAAGCACAAGCACCCCTGAAGCCAACCATTTGCCGGACTCCCAGCCCGTTTAGGCTTACACCACAAGCTACAGTGCAGCCAATCACCATTGCCAGCAAGGATCATGCACTCAAGTCTTCGCTGCCATTCGACCCGTGGTTGCGCAAGCATGTTCGGATAGGGGCCAAGATAGCCAAGATTGCTCACAAGAGCATGGAAGTCGAAGCCAGTTTGGATGATTGGACTGCATGGACGGGGATTGACTTTGACTCATTCCCAAATGCTCCGAAAGTGAGGGAGATAAACAGGACATCGAAGGTCGTGGAGTACACCCAAGTGGCATTGCAAGGAGGGCTTGTTCCCTTGAAAGTGTACAAGGAGGAGAAGAGAGCAGTCTACGTCGAGCCAAATGTGTGGATTTACCACCAGCTAGACTAGGCGTATGTTGAGGGAGATTGGAGAGCTCCGCGTGTTGGGATATTAAGGATCCTTATTTTGATATTTTACCCTTTGTTTATGTTAGTAATAGGCGTAATGGGACCTTTGAAGGTGTTGGCCGCATATCAAACCACCCATTTAATTGTCGTAGGATTCTCAGCAACGATTCAATTTCAACAGTAGATATCTATCCTCGCGCCCAGTCTCTATCGTTGTACCAGTTGCGCCGTGCTCTCATCTCCAGAGTCAGTACCGCTATTCCGACTGACCGGCCTGCTCGAGACTTGTTCCATCGCCTTATTGCCTTTCAAACAGCCTTCACAAATCATAGCATCAGGGTCCGCATTTGGCAACATAGCCTGTGCTGCCAATCCCAGGAGCCTCCAAGCTGCCTGCAGGAAAACCAGATTTGCGATGACAATCGCTAAAATCATGGTCCCAGCGCTCTTGCTCTCGGGAACAGAGCAGAGATACTGCGCAACAATGGTCGAGTTCTTGCAACCGCGCTTCCCCGTAAGAGGCCTAAACTCATCGTACGTATCATTGAGAAACGTGAGGTTCTTATCGTAGAATGTATATGGGCGAGGTATTTTGCAGTATCGGTCCATGCTGCCCTTGTAATTCCTTGTGCCACAGTCAAGGTCCTTCTTTGGCTTCCTGTTCGGTGAATCAGGGGCGTCGATAGCATATTTGAGGCCGTCGTCGCTTAAAAGTAGGTTCGGCGCCTGGCAGTTGCCGAGGTCGATTGAGATGAGGGAGTGCAGGAGCTTGGCGTAGTGTAGCCCTTCTGTCGTAACAGGCGACAAAGGATCCTGCAAACATGGGGAGCTAGTTAGGAGTGAAGTTAAGTTTTAGAGATGTTGTGACTTACCTTGGGATTCTCAAACAGATAAGTCAAGTTCTTGGTAGCTGAGAAGTCGTTAGCAAAGCCAAGAGGAGAGTCTACAACGACCATACTGGTAGTTACGATCCTTCCATGCGAAGACGCGATCCATGCATCGGATTTGAAAAAGTCTATAGTCCGAATACTCCAATGATGTCAATAGAAGAGGGCAAGTTGACTAATGACGATGACATACTTTTGTTCGGATAAATTTCGAATGTATGCGATGTCCCCAAAAGCCCAATAATGATCGTCCTTTGCCCCAGAAACTTGTTGTGTGAGTGCCATAATTTGCCAGACCCCAGCAAGATAGGCATTGAGTAGCCTAGTCCCCTACCAGATGCTGGCATGTTCTTTGGGGTTATCCTCGAGAATGTACCCATAAAGATGATCAGCTCTTCCCTGATACTGCAAAGCAAGCGAGATGTTGATACGACCATGCTGCGTCATAATCCTACACGCCGCCGTTGCCTCGACAGTCGAGGCGGCAGACCAGGAAATCCACCACGTACGGGACCCGATGGCGTCGGACTTTATGAGTTTGAGAGATGCTCGATCAAGGAAACAATCTTCGAGGGTATTGTTCAAGTAAGGGATCGACGGGAGAGTTTCCATAGATTCGTCGCTCTCGTTGAAGCGCCTGAGTGACTTGATTGTGTATTGGAATCCTAGCCGACTGGTGAAGAAGCTATCTCCAACCGATAACATCTTGGGTTCGCATTTTGGCTCCAGGCTGTTTTCCCCGCTAAAAGGTGGTTTCATAAACCACCTACACACTCACGTCAGTCAGTCCTAGCGTACAATGATATCCACATACTGCAATTGGCCAGAAATTGTGCTGTTAGGATCTGATGTGAACTCGGATTTTAGGTAGAAACCACTAGAGCCCAGGTTGATCAAAGTGAAGAGGACAGCCAGAACCACACCTCCGACCAAGGTGACTGGTGTAAACCACCGAAATGGATACGGCCTCGAAATAGGGTATGAGAACCACGAGGAATGCATATTGCCGTGATATCAAGGAACATGAATAATGGAGGGTAATGGAGAGATGGGGAAGGATGAATTAGATTTCTGAATTTAAGAACAAGCTTGGGCTGGAGAGCGGGGCAAGTCCGAGGTGAGAAGTCAGCCTAGGACGTAGATCAGGAGTCAGAGGATCAGCAAATGACGTTTCTTGGCAAACACTGCCACCTATACCTCTACAAAATAGAGGAGCGGAGGCACGGTTGCGTGCCAAGTCTGTCTCCCAAAACAACCAGAGAAAGTCTTATAATAAAGCAAGATCCTTATTTAAACTAAACCCGCGTCTCTGGGTTGAGACCTAGACGTTCAGTTCGAAGCATCACTCGGAGCTGTGCCCTTGGCCTACTAGCCCTTCTCCAAAGGACCTGAGTGGCGAATCTGGGCGATGAAGATGTACCTCCTGCTTGTGTCACTTGGAATCGATTCTTGGAGGCAACCCAGCAGCCGCAGTCAGCACTGAGCCCTACAGACGCGCAAGTACAAGGCTGCTCACAGTGAGGCAGTTGTGTGGCGGCATCTTGGCATAGAAGCAGGCTCTACACCTGTTGTGCCTATTGGAGGATTGGCTTTGTGATTTAAGACATATTGCCCGAAATAGGTATTGTACGTAAGAAAACCCGAGCATGATTCTAGAATAACGTCAATCCTACTTGCCAGATCCGCTGATCGGCGACCTTCTCCAAGCTTCCCCTTCCCAGACTTACACCGACCCCTCTACAATGAGTTTCGCATATAGCTTGGACTACTCAAAAATGGCTTGCCTGCTTAAAGCTATGCGATATGTTCACTTGCATGGATTGATTGTCATTGATCTGGGGCAGACAGTCATCATTAGACACACTTTAGGCCACAATACTTGAGGGTGGTTTGTTCGTCTCATTTCTACATGAGTTTTCTAAATGCTAAATCATTCCGGTTCCATCCTGTGGATATAAAAATATTAGTATAACTGATTGCAAAGACGATATTAACTACAGCGTACCTTGTATGCCAGATGAGCACCTGATTGTAGTCGCCAATGGATTTCGTTTTGCAGCTCGCCTGGTGACCATTATCGGCGCAAACAAGAGTTGGATGGTTTTCAGGGGAGACTCTTTTTTCAGATTATGCTTGGCTATAATACATCCAATTTTCTCGATCAAACCAACACATCCCTCTTTGACCTTGTTACACCTGCTGCCGGCTCAGGTCTTCAACTATCCCAGTGATGGCATTTTGGATGTCGTTGCGTCGATAGCTGCCTAGAGCCTCCCACTCTTCCTTAACCGGTTCATAAGACACCGTCTTTGTTCCTGTAAAGAGCGTGGCTCTTGGGAGCAAGGGATGATCCTGATCCAGAACAGGGAGCGGCGTCTCCTTTCCCACTGCTTTGAAAAACAGTCCAAAGTAATCCGCAAAGGTCAAGTTCTCATCCCCAACCAGCATGGCCTTGCCACTGACAGAAGGCCCACTGGCCAATGCGCCCGCGATGGCTTCTGATAGGGATTGTGCCGAGATGAAGTTCGTTCCTCCGGGAGGAGCGGAAGGGGGGATCGGAAGCTCTCCTTTCGCGTACCTAACATAGGCATCAAACATGGGAACCTTCATCCCCGGGACCGTTCCAACAACGAAAGGAGCGTCGAGGCTGGAGGCATAAAATGAGGGCGATGCCTGCGCAACGATCCCGTCAGCAGCCAGTTTTCTGGATCGCACGTATGGCACAGTGTCGGCCAGTTCAGGGGCCACGTGGTAGTAAAAGCTGCCAACGTGGATGAAATGGCGGACACCAACTGACTTGGCCAATCGTGCAAAGTCCGGGATGAGAGTTCCATTGACGTGAAGGTAATGCTGGTCTGCGTCTGTGTTTTCCGGAACGTGGCGTACATCGCTACCAGCAGTAAACACAACCGCATCGAATTTGCTCAGTTGATCAGCACCAAAGTCGCCTGCAGTAAAATCCCCTTTGACGAATTCTAGCTGGGCTAGGTCGGGTATACTGGATGGTGGAGGATTGCGTCCAGCGATGGCCACCTCATGGCCTAATGAGCGAAGATGAAGAGCCGCATGCCCACCAATCATTCCAGTTCCGCCGACAATAAGAATCTTCATTTTGGGCAAAGGACAAGTTTCCGGTATTTGTGTAGCTGTGAACGAAGTAGAGAGGAACGGTTGAGCTCACAAACCCAAGTCTGATGGGGACTGGGCGTATTTAAGCCTCTATTGGAGGTTTTTTAAAAGCACCATTCTGACCTAGCTATTGAGGTTCTAGACATTATTAATCCTCGTGTCATCGAATCATATTTCTAAGCCGTACCCGCGCGAGGCGCGGCCTCCGAGTTTAACGTTAAAGACGAGAGCCTCGACCAGTGCCCAGGTTCCACACTTTGCACGGTTCTCAAAGTACGGCGAATCATGTGACAGTATTGAACCTTAGCAATTAAGGCTAATAGATGCGAAATATTAATTTAAGGTCATTTCAAAGCAGTAATGCAAATTAGTCATGATTCAACTACAATATAGTGAAGCTCGTCACTTCTTTGCCAAGACAAACCGTGACCAGTCCTCTAATCCCTTGAGACTCTCCTGTCTCCAAGCTTGAAGACCTCCAACCCAGAAAAGAGGTTCTTTGTTCTTGCCAGGAATGTTTGAGCCGTTCCACCAAGAGGGCACTTCGCTCATGAGCGAGTGACTGTACGCGTCGATATTCTTTTGACGGTACTCGGTTGCGGCCTCGCTTGAAACCTCGACAGTCGTAGCCTTTTCTTCCTCCAACTTCTTCAAGAATTTGAATAGCCATTCCACCTGAAGCTCCAGGAAAGGCGGTCCGTTGGCTAGGCCTGAGGGTGCCTGCGGTCCATAGAGCATGAAAGCGTTTGGAACCCCAGGAGTCATCATCCCAAGGTACGTATAGATTCCATCCTTCCAATTCTCCTTCAACTTGGTACCGGTCTTGTCGGTGACATTCATCTCGTAGAGACTTCCAGTCACAGAATCGTACCCGGTAGCCACAATGACCAAGTCCAGCTCGTGATGTTCGTCGACACCTTCGGTCGAAGTGACAATACCGTCGGACACAAACTCCTTGATTGCGGATTTCTTGAGGCTAACCAGTTTGACATTGGGCTGATCGAGAGTTTCGTAATAGTCCATCTCCAGGTTTGGCCTCTTGGCACCGATCCATTGGAACTGCTCGAGAGGTGCCATAATATCGCGCTTATAAGGATCGCTGATGCGGGCCCTGACCTTTTCAACCCAGAACTGGTACACTTCGGCATTTGACTGCTTGTCGTAATGGTGCTCAGGGTACAGGGAGCACAGAAAGGCGTATGATCCTCTCGCCCACAGTTCCTCATATCGCTCCCTACGCTCCTCGGGCGTAGTCTTATAGAATGAGCCAACTGGCGCGTTGTATGCGTATCCCGCTGCATCACGATACTTTCCGTGGTAAAACAAAGCCTCATACGAGCTCTTGAGCTCTTCAGACTCTTCTTGAGACATAGATCGCTGATTCATGGGCAGGGCCGTGGGCGGGTTTCTAACAAAAACGGTGACGTCGCAGTCCTCCTTGGCGATATCCTGCAGAATTTGCAGTCCTGACGCGCCTTGGCCCACGAGGCCAACTTTTTTGCCTTTCAAATCCAGGCTTTCAGGCCAAGCTGCAGGATGGACAATCTTGCCAGAGAATTTGTCGATGCCAGGAAAGCTTGGGATGTAAGGCTTGTTGGTGGTGCCGGTGGCGAAGATGACATATCGAGATTTGGCGACAAGTCCATTCTCGGCCCGAAGAATCCAACCGTTGGACTCGGTGTTGAACTTGGAATCAATGACTCTAGTGTTGAAGATTGCATCCTTGCGAAGGTCCAGGGCTTCAGCAATGTGCATAAAGTAACCCCGAAGTTCGTTGTGGTCTGGGAACCGTTCTCGGAACGTGAACCCGCGCCAAGCTTGTGGCAAGCTCAGTTGATACAAGGGTACTTCTGAGTCGACGCGGGCTCCTGGGTACTTGTTGAAGTGCCAGACGCCGCCAAAGTCACTGCCGGCTTCAAGAAGTTTGACAGTGTAGCCCATGTTGCGTAGCTCATGCAAGGCGTAGCAGCCTCCGAAGCCACCTCCGACTATGATGATGTCGGCGACGAGCTCGGACTCTGTGGTAGAATTGACGTGGCCGTTCATGATGAAAATACAGAAATACTTAGATGAATGGAGGAGTGTGATGCAAAGCCAGGAGATCAGTTTACTTGGTGATAAGTGATCTTTGGGTCTACGTCAGGGTATTCATGTGTCCTTATATCATGACAACTCTGTCTACTCTTTTCCCGCTTGCTTGCCGATCCATAAAGGTGGTTTCAAGTGATCCCGACTCACGAAGCTACAACCACGAGCGCCCAGAAACAAAAGCAATGGGGCACGCTTGCCGTGCGACGCGCGGGCCCCGATGAAGCCGGAGCATATGCCACGGAATGCCGAGAACTTCCCCGGTCGGGGATTCGGGGCCCCGATATAATTGATTGCGGGGGAGAAAAGATAGACTAATAAGAGATCTCAAGCCCCCGTAATTGGGTGTATATCAAATCTATCTTGTTTGTTAATTCGACGCTCTACCTCATCAACACGATCACCAATCTGACACCATGGTCCTTGAAGTTGATCAAGAATTCATTGCCGCAATCGGTCCTCTTCTGGAGAGTCAGAAAGATGTCGTCAAGCCTGAGCTGCACGATATAGAAGGGCGAAGAGCCCGATACGCTGCAATGAAGGCACCACCACCCATCATCCCAGAGGACGTTATCTTTGAGATTGTCAAGATTCCAACAGAGGATGGCTATCAGCTGCCAGTTTACCATTTTAAAAAACGGGACACGAATACATCCGATAGTCTCTCGGCAGCAGTACTTCATGCTCATGGCGGTGGACTGATTACAATGACTCCCGAGATCAGTATCGAACGACTTGTGCACACGGTTTCCGACACTGGAGTCCAGGCATTCTCTGTCGACTACAGACTGGCACCAGAGCATCGTTATCCTACCGCATTGAACGACTGCTGGACCTGTCTCACTTGGCTTCACTCCAACTCACGCACTCTACGCATCGACCCGGCGAGGATTGCTGTCATGGGTGAGAGTGCAGGGGGTGGTCTCGCCGCAGCATTGACACTCCGGGCTCGAGACGTCAACCTGTCTCCTCCAATTGCCCGACAGATTCTTTCGTCCCCAATGTTGGATGACAGAACCAATTCCGAGGTTCCTGGCGCTTTCAAGCTATGGGACGCAGAAGACAACTTGACAGCCTGGACAGCTTACCTCGGAAGGACCCCTGGAGGTGAAGACACCCCGGTCTTTGCGGCACCCGGTCGTCTCAAGGATGCTGCTGGTTTGCCAACACTTTATCTAGACACCAGCCAGTTCGACCTGTTTGTTGCGGAGAACCTAGCCTATGTGCAGAAATTCATTGAAGCTGGTGTCGAGGCGGAATGTCATCTCTATCCCGGTCTTCCTCATGGTTTTGATGGGCTTGTGCCAACGCATAGCGTGACACGGCAATTGGAGGAGAATAGGAAGCGGATCTTGAAGCGTCTGTAGAAGCTAACGTTAGCATGTAGTTAGCTATTTTAACCGAGGAAGTAGTTTGCGCCTCTCATGACCAATCTTGCTTGCTTGATTTTGATTCAATTTTTAAGACTTGTACTTCCGACCCTCATTCTATTGACAGTGCCGTCTATTCTAGCCAGACAGATCTCGCCAATTCTCGCTTCCCCCAGATTCCTTGGAAGGCCTTCCCCAGACCGCTCTCCGCAATCCCCTGCCTCTAGGCTCAATCAGAGCTAGACCAACTCCGCTATTAGCGATCTTCATTCCGTCGCTCCCGGATCCGGACCCCGCGCTTCCCGTGGAACGCGTGCCCTCCGTCCCGCGTCTTAAAAATCCCGACACGCAAGGTCGTACGTTCTCTCCATCACAACTCCCTTTGGCTTATCTGGGTACACAGAATCATCGATGGGCTCCACTACCAACATTGTCCCAAGAGCTGTGAGTGAGACTCGCTTATCTTGATCCTTCTCGTCTCGGCTAATGATATCCTCAGTGCCGGAACTGCCGGATCCGCAAGGTAAGCCGAACCCCAGAAAGCTGACTGCCGGCGAGGGGCATCGGTCACTAACCCACCTTAGATACGCTGCAGTCGAGAGATCCCTTGTACCAATTGCATCACATCAAAGATTACCTGCCAAGAAAGCACCAAAGATGTTACTCGCCGCTCGACACACGCGAGATCGGTGCTGGAAAAGTAAGCACAGGTAGTCTCAGACAGGTGAAACTTGTGCTGACGATGTCTTGTTTTTGCAGAGACCCAGACAGCATTGAATCTCTGCGCAAAAGAGTAACTGCCCTTGAGCAGCAGCTCAGCAGCTTGTCATCGGGGCTTGACTCCCAAGTCCCTGAAGCTGCCACATCAACTGTACTCTCACAGACAGTGGCACAGTTAACTCCACAACACAGCCCGTGCCATATAGACCTAGCATCGCTTGAGGGTGATTCTTCATTCAGGAAGCAAACTCTTCTTGCAACTGACATCACCGAGTTTGGGTCATTGGCTGGTATTGGGTCACCCCAGGTTGTTGACAAGATCTCCGGTCTACGCAAGCTCCTCGAACGCAAGACGTCCGACGGAGATACGCCACAGTGCCGAGAATGGAAGCCATCTACAAGCATAACCTTGCAGAGAAACTTGCCTCCGGCTGATTTTGTCATTCGCCTGTTGCGCGCAGTGCAAGGTGGGTCACAATATGTTGCCACCCCCTTATCTTCACCGGTCCTAACCCGCAGCCCAGGTTCGGACTGCCTGTTGACGTTATACTTCCCAATAGACATGAAGAAGGTCGAGGATTTGTGTCGTCGCGTGTACTTTCCAGTACAGGCTGTCACAGTTGGAGAACTAACCCTGTTGAGTGCTCTGCTCGCCGTCATCTTGTGCAGCCTCGAAAGTTTCCCGCAGCCAGAATTTTCCGAGGAAGAAGTTGCAAAATACCAAGCTCTTTGCAAAGAGAACCAACTCACTGGAATAGAAACATATGAGGTTAATATGGTCCCGGCCTTTGAGCATTGTCTAGTGCTGTGTATGGCGGCAAGTATCCCTCTCGCTCCAACCGAGCGCAGAAGGCCACGTCTGTTAACATTTAATACAGGCCCAAAAGGCCCAAACTGAAGGCGACATTGTACTTCAGTGGCGCTTATCCTCGACTGCCGCACGGCATTGCCTCGTCCTTGGCTACCACAGGGAGCATGTAGTAGCAGCAATGCCTCCAGATGAAGCAGACAGAGTTCGTCGACTATTCTGGAGCATCTACTTCTCAGATAAGAGTACTGTTCTCACTCTTGGGAGAACTTCAACTATTCAAGACCTGGATGTCGATATTGAGCCATATGCCATCACCTCCGACCCTGGACGAGAGCCATGGGACACTGCCATGTGGATGTTTATCGATTACGCGAGGATCCAGGCAAGCATATACGAAAAGCTCTACTCCCCGGCATCACGCAGACGCAGCGCCGCAGACCGACAGATCATCGTGGATGAAGTAACCAAGTGCCTGTCTAATTGGCATGAGTCATGGAATCAACTGTACACTTCGAAAGCATACAACAAAAGGCTATTTGACAATACGTTTGGGCCAGTCGACGTTTCCTACTACTCTACCCTGACGCTTGTTCACCATGCTCTCGACCTCTCGACCTCAATTAGAATTATTTCTGATCCTTGCCTTGAAGCAGCAAAACAGGGGCTGCAGTCACACGTGTCGGTGCATGCCAAATATTCTCTATTGGATGCGCAATCGTTGGCATTCTTTGCGGTGTGGTATATCAGCAAACAACGAAACGTCCCCCTATTCTCGTGCATCAAGACTAATAAGCTTCAGGGTTCATGTGTACTGTCCTCTTACTCCGTTCGTCGTAATATTCCTACACTGCATCACAAATTCCGACACTGGCGACCTTGATCTACTCAAGGGATCACTAGACGTCATGGAGCAGACAAGCAGTCTAGCCAGGTCTTGCGAAAGACCATATGAGTTTTGCAAGTACCTCTACAGCATAGCAGAGGCACACATCTCAACCTGTACAGGGAATGGGGGTGACACCGCTGACAAGGTGGACTTGGATTTGGCTTCCCTACAACACCCTCCGAGTGAGAACTGGCCTTTCCCAGATCTGAATCTTCAGCTCATCTCGTCGGCTTTCCCATCGAGTGATTGGTGGGCGCCTCATACGAGCTGAAATGCATGTACCATATGATTGTCATTGTCGCTTCTTTGAAATATCATAAGATTACGGTGGCGTCAGGAGTAAGACCTTTAAAGCCAATGATATAGCCTTTGTTGAATGGATCAACTACGATGCAAGTCTAACCCGAGTCAAATTAACGTTCATGTGCCAGCTCAGCTTAATGATCCTGGGCCCTGGCATGTCCAGGGACAATAATCCGAGCAGACGAATAGTTTTGCAGATGTCTCTTGCAGCCTGTAAGGTACGAGGCCCTTGCACCTGTCATTCCCTTCCAGACGTGGTCAGCAGCATGAAACAACGTGGCTGCCGTCAGCCAAGGAAGCTTGGAAGGGATGAGTGAGCATGGTTGGTGTGCCAAGACTGTCAAGTCTCGGAACAGCCCACCCTGGATGATATGGCGTTCGGAAAAAGATTCTCCGCCAAACGTCAGCCAAAGAAAGCCAAGCTCCCTCAGACAATGGGTGACATTGAGACCGTTGAGGGTATTTTTCAGACCGTGTTAGGAGACCACGGATCATGTCTGCAGAAGTTCAGTTGTCCCCGATAGGTTTCAAACGAAAAAGTAGTAGTGAGTGGGATGAATACACGCGGCGTCTCCTCCAACACGCAGTGAAACTCAGCCTGCACCCCGAGACAGAAAGAACATTGTTATTAGCGTGAGTGATGAAGCCCAGCACTCAGATATCAACAAAGTCTAAAGCCTGGATCATAGAAACACAGAAGAAACACTAGCTCAATAGATGGCGTTTGAATAATGGCAGCATTGGGTGGCGGATTAGAAGTTCAATTAAAGGTCCATCATCAAGCACTCCGATAAACCCCATCAGTAACTAAAAGCTCGACTCCTTGCCCCGCCTAAAGGCAGTTGTGCCAACCCAAGTAAATTCCCATCGCTTTACAATTCCAAGAATATCAGTGAACCAGCTTACTCCTTAGTTCTTCAACAAGGCAGCGTGCGTGCCCTTGGCATCCTCCAGGCCATCCCGATCCTGTGGACCGGGCTTGAGGTAGCAATCACCAGGAGCGTTGTTGGTGGCAGCGTTTCCTATTCTCGCCCAGAACGGCACAAATGAGACGCCTTCGCAGGTCTTTTCGGTCGTGTTGTAGCTGTTCCAGGCGTTGCAGGCTTCGATGCATCCGTTCAGGTTGGTGGCGAAGACTGAGAAGATGGGATCGTTGGGGGCGTTGGTGTTGCAGTAGAAGGTGAATTGGGCCTTTTTCATGACTGTGAACGGTTAGACGATTCTTGTTATGATCGGTGGCTTGATGGAGCTTACACTTGGATGTGTACACAGTTCCCGTAGTCGTGTCCTTCTTGTTGGAGCAGCCGCTGGTGAGCTCCTCCTGATCCACATCGGTCGAAGCAGGCGCAGTACTCGTGACAGTGACAGTAGCAGCGGTTGCTGCAGCAGCATCGGAGACGGCGGCATAAGATTCACGCAGAGCGTTGAGCTTGGCATCCGAATCATTTGACTTCTTCACAGCTACACCAGTTGCGGCGGCCAATCCAATCACGGCGGCGACAGCGACAGCCAGGGCCGTGATGAGGACGAACACTATGACCGGGCATCCACATATCCGTGATTTCTTTTCGCGCTCGCTGACTACTGCTGAGGCTGGTGTTGGGTCTTGTGCGGCCTCCTTGTCGTTCAGAGGCGGTGTTCGGGTTTGGGAATCGTTACGCTCGAAGGGAGGCGGTACATCGCTGCTCGGGGAAGTGTAGCTGGCGTATGGGTAGCCGGAGTGAGTCGAGTTTCCAGCATCGTACACCTGTGGGAGATGATCGGAAGGGTTGTGCACCACCTCAGGTGAAGTGTCGAACTAGAAAGGTCAGTCAGTGCGTTGTTCTCTACGAAAGCAAGAGGCAAAGGGCTCACTTGGGTAGCCATGTTTGAGGTTTAGAGCGAAACCGACAGTGCTTCAACAAAGTCAAAGAAAAAAGAGGAGCACCGCACACGATAAATGAGGGATATCATCAGCCTGTTATCCTCCTCATCTTCTTAACCGAGCCGTTGCCAATCACGACCAGGGCTCCCTCCACAAGGAAGTCGTACATACCCGTCGATTGGGCTGGAAAAGGCTTAAATCTTACCCTCAATTTGCCAGGGTAAGCCGGCACTTGAATCATGCTTCTACTGGCTGCAGGTCCGACGACCCCTGAGCAATTGTTCAACGTCGTCAGCCCACTCATCCTTGTAGGGCTGCGGGCGGCTTCGTCCCGTTATTGACTAGTGGCGGAGTTTGGCAAAGGCTTGTTTTTTTAACGGCCGAGGCAGGATTCAGCTTGTCTGACGATCTGT